GTTTTACATGTCAATCCCAGTTCCCTCACCATCCCATCCTTCCTTATCACCCCCCACCAAACCCCAGCCCATCCCCTTTCTGCTCCCCAAAGAGGGTGAAACTTTCCATGGGGAGTCTTCAAAGTCAGTCATATCATTTGGGGCAGGGCCTAAGCCCTCCTCCACCATGTGTCTAGCTTGAGAAATTATCCCTCTATGTGGGATGGGCTATGGGCTCCCAAAGCCCATTTGTATGCTATGGATAAATACTGGTTCCACTGCCAGAGGCCCCATAGACTGCCCAGTCCTCTTACCTAACACCCACATTCAGGGGGTCTGGGTCAGTCCCACAATGGTTTCCCAGCTATCAGACTGGAATCCATGAGCTCCCCCTTGTTCAGGTCAGCAGTTTTTGTGGGTTTCTCTAGCCTGGCCTTGACCCTTTGCTCATCACTTCTCCCTTTCTGTAACTGGATTCCTGGAGTTTGGCTCAGTGTTTAGCTGTGTGTGTCTGCTACTGCTTCCATCTATTACTAGGTGAAGGCATATAAGGTAGTCATCAATTTCATTATCGTGGAAGAGCATTAAAGGTAGCCTCTCCACTATTGCTTAGGTTATTAGTTGGGTTCATCCTTGTAGATCTCTGCACGTTTCCCTAGTGGCAGATTTCTTTTTAGATCTAACATGGCTCTCTGTAATATGGTGTCCCTTTTCTTGCTCACCTCTATTCTTTCCTTGACTCAATTTTCCTGTTCCCTCGTGCTCGCCTCTCCCCTCCTCTTCTACCCTTCTCTTTCTCCTAACTTCCTCTCCCCTCTTTCCATGCTTCCAATTTGCTCAGGAGATCTTGTCCCTTTCCCCTTCTCCAGATGCCCATGTATGTTTTTCTTAGGGTCCTCCCTCACATAGCTTTTCTGGCTATGTGAATTGTAGGCTGGTGATCCTTTGCTCTGTCAAAATCCATATATGAGTGAGTACATACCATGTTGTCTTTTGTGACTGGGTTACTTCACTCAGGAGGTTCTATGCATTTCCCTGCAAATTCCAGGATTACATCGTGTTTTTCCAACATTGTGTGAATGTACCACGTTTTCTCCATCCATTCTTCAGTTGAGGGGCATCTATGTTGCATCCAGGTTCTTGCTATTACAAACAATGCTGTTGTGAACATAGTTGAACAGATGTGTCCAAGTATGTTATTTAGTCTTTTTCCCTTGCAGCTTTTAATATTCTCTTTGCTATGTGCATTTGGTGTTGTGTCATCATGTCCTGTAGGGAATTTCTTTTCTGATATTGTCCACTTGGTTTTCTGTGTGCTTCTTGTACCTTGGCAGGCACCTCCTCCTTTGAGAACATTTTATTCTATGATTTTGTTGAAAACATTTTATGTACATTTGACCTGGGTTTCTTCTTCTTCCTCTATTCCTATTATTTATAGCCTTTTTGAATTATTGGTTTTTTTCAAAATGTCTCAGATTTTCTGAATGCTTTGTGCCATGTTTTTTCTTAAATTTTGTGTTTTCTTTGAACGGTTTATTCATTTCTTCTATTTTGCCTTCAATGCCAAATAATATAATTTCCATCTTGTATTCTGTTGATGATGTGTACATCTGTGCTTTCTATTTGAATTCTTAAATTTTTCACTTCCAGTTTCCCCTCAGTTTGTATTTTCTGAATTCATTCTAATTGCACTTTCATGTCTTGTACTGTTTCTTTTTTTTTTTTTTTCAATTTGTTTATGTTTCCATAGATTTCAAGAGCAGAGCCATTCATACCTCTCTCAGGACTTTGCAAATATGGATGATAACTATTCTGAAATCATTGTGTTGTGCTTTAGCTGCCTTGTGTTTCTCGTGGCCTACAATAGTAGAGATGCTTATCTCTGGTGGAAATATGTTTTCCTGACTTTTTTTTTTTTTTTTTTGTGTGTGTGTGTGTGTGTGTGTATTTAGGCTTGGACTTTAAACATCTGTGTTTGGGATAATTGTAGTTCTTGGTACTGATATCCGGTCTTATGCTTGCTGAGAGGTGCATAGACCCCAGGTAATGGAGGTAGGTAATAAGGTCAGGCAGGGGACAGGGCACAGAAGATGGCCTTTGACAAAGCTGGGGAAAAGTTTTGGGGATTGAAATTGGAGGACAGAAAATTTTTGTCTAACAAGAAAGGAAAGCCACTTTTTTGTAGTACCCATATATTTAATGTTTTGGGTCAATTTCTTATATTAATTATACTTCTATACTTACACATACATTTTCATTTTTTCTTTTTCACTTTGCTTGGGTTTGTTGATGTTGAGGTGGTTTTATTTGCACTGCTGTGGACTGTTTTTTTTTTTTTTTTTTTGTTAAATTCCTGCTACCTGTACTAACTAAAAGAATTAAGACAGTAAGACAGTCTTTTTTTTTTTTTAATTTCCTCATTGTCTTTACTTTTGTTATATATACTTGTATAAAGCATCGGAGTTGTGGAGCCACTCTCCCACAATGAGAATGGATGGCTGTGTATTGACTAATGATCCTACTTACTCATCTGTAACAGAGACCTTTGAGCCTGCTTTCTTTGGCTCCCATGGGTACTGACAAGGTACAGTTCCAGGTGCCTGTGGAGTTGGCCACACCCAGGCTGCACTCCCTTTAATTTCATCATTTCCCCAGTAGACCTTCTGTGACCCGTTTCCCACATATTCACATTAAAACAGTGCTCTAATTTCTACTGTGTAACAAACAGACAGAAAAAAAAAGATATTCTAACAACCAATCCTCTGGCTTTGACTTTGATTTTGGTTTCTTTAAGAATTTTTGTGTTATAGTTGTTATAATTGTTATAATGTATCAGTACAATTCTCCTGATTTTATGAGATTATGTAAAACTCAATTGAAACTATCAAAATAGCACTACATTTTTTCTTCTAAATGAGTATGTAGTTCTCCTGTATATTTACTCCACCTTGAATCTATTCATCCTAAGGCTGTGAGGTAATGATCTAACTTTATTTGGCTGACAGATAAGAAATCATCTCAGTCCCTTTCCTTGAATAGCTATTCTTTCTCATGTATTACCAATAACACTATGTTTAATGTATGCTGCTTGCCATGCACAAATCAAGTTGTTTCTGGGTTCTTTGTTCTACACTGAGTTGCATATCTGATCCTTCACTGATTCTACATTCCCCATCGTTACAACTCTGCAATGAGGTCTGTTACCTGATAGGAAAGCTCTGATCTTATTTTAATAGTCTGCTTTGCACATTTCAAGACATGATATATTACTTCTCACACCACCTGTTTAATTTCAGACTGTCCATAACTTATTATCTTCAACAAGATATTCTTCCATGTACTTATTTGCATACACTAAATTCAGCTATACACACACATATTACACACACGCATGCACACACACATATATTACACACACACATGCACACACACATATTACACACACGCACGCACACACATATTACACACACGCACACGCACACACACATGTATTACATACACACACGCACGCACACACGCATACACATATATTACACACACGCACGCACACACACGCATATCACATGGAAGAATATTTTTTCTTTTTATTGTTTCCCCCCCTCCTCTTTCTCCAGTCCCACCAGGCCACACCATCCCTGCAGTTTCCACCCGCTAATCTACTCCTCCTCTGTTTCTGTTCAGAAAAGGGCAGGTGCCCCATGCAAATCAACAAAACTTGGCATATTAAGTTTCAGTAAAATAAAGCACCTTTCCATGTATTAAATCTGAGTAAGGTGACTCACTCAGAAATAGAAGTAAGGTTCCAAATCTGGACTTTTGTAGTATTTCTGAACCTAAATATATTCATTTGGATTTTCAGTTTTATGCTTTATGTGTGGTTTCTTCTCTTAGAGCTCATGAAGGTGGTAACAGAATTAAAAAGTATGTGATTTGCCCCTAAATAAATGATTTATTGGATAGTTGATTGGTTAATTTATATTCTGGTCTCATTATTATGCAAATTAAGAAAATTACAACTATATACCCCACTTTAATTATAAGAACAGTTTAACTTTTCAGGGGACACACAGGTCTACAGTTACCGCAGTGAAGTTATCTGCTAAGGACATCTTACCCTGTTCCCTTGTTATACTGGCATATTTTACATGATAAAGCACACCATAACACCATAAGTGAACAAAGTCTCCTCTTTCTTGCAATTTTCTTAAAATAGAAACCAACACTCTGTTTTTCTTAGGGTGATTAATCCCAGGGACTGATAATTAATTGCTCATATCATGTAGAGTAGCCCTATGAGTCCTAAGTGGACTCTCCTTTAAGTAAAATCAATACTGCCTTACAATGCATAACTTCAGGAGTGACATGAAGACTTCTGTTTATTTCAGTAATATATCTATGTACACATACATACACATAAGAGAAAGGGGGAAGTAAGAAGGGACAAACAGAGGCGTAGACTAAGATTATCTATAGTATACATCTATGTCTGTTGTGATTTGGAAGTTTTTTACCTTCCTACAGAGGAATAGGTGAGTCATGGGGCAGAAGGTCGATCAGTTAGGAACACTTATGCAAATATAAAGTGCATTCCCTAATGACCAATTTTTCTATTGTCATTTTCATGGTTTTTTAATAGTTCTCAAGGAGACTAAGGGTCAATTTATTGTTTATGGCATTCATTTCATTTCTCTTACCCTGACACTGACAAATGGCCTGTTCACATGACTACAATTTACAACTCTAGGCATCTTTACTCACTCACTCTATCTTCTTAAATATTAACTGCCCCTTTTAAAGATACGGAATGTGTAGAGACACACCATTCCCAGAGGGACATTCACAGCATATAACACTGAAGACTGCCAACGTTAGCTTGAGTAGTTGGTGCCTTTAAAACCCCTAGGAATTTAATAGACTTTACTCTACAGCTAGTCTTAAAGTATTGGTTTTGCTGAGGTGAAAAACTATAGTCTCTCATAACAAGGTCTACATTATCCATCTTTCAAAATTAAAAAAAAAAAATGAAGTCAAACAGAGAGGTGGTTGCAAGACATCGTTCTCTCAGCTCTTTCGAAGCAATGGTCTCTGCTCTCTTCATTATTCTTGTTGCCCTGTGTGCTGGGTTAATTGCAATGTCCTGGTTGGCAATCAAGGAATCAGAAACAGGTAAGCCATGCACTTAAACATGGAACATGTTCTAAGTCAGTCTTTGCTGAAATTTATTCATTGCTTTTGCTACACCACAAGATACTTTTTGTTTCATTTAAGTGGTTCTGGACACTTGACTTCATAGATAATTAAGAAAATCAGTTGTTATGTCATTTAAAATAATCACAAGTTCAAATTTTGGAAGAAAATATTTTAATTTCTTGAAAAATAATATTCAGTTTTTAATATCAACATATAATATAGTAGATTTCACAGTCTGTATACTCATACTGATAAAAATTAAATCATAAACATATCTAAATATTGTCAATTATACGAGCTCATACACATGAAGAAAGTGAACACTGTAGTCCATTTATATAAAATGATATCTTTATTCTGTTTTTGGCCTAAAATGTTGCTGATAACTTGAGTAAATACATCTAAACATAAATACATAAATAAAGGTATATTACTCCTGCTTGAGGAGTAATATGATAAGAAAAAAGAAAGAAATTAAAATTGTGTAGAATTATGCAAATATGGGCCAAAAGCTTTTCAAAGACATTCAAATATAATAATATGAGGTAGCAAATTTGACTTCATTATTATTAGTATTTCTCTGTCTGGGTTATGAATCTGGAACAAAGAACTAGAGAACAAATTTACTTAACTCGGCAGCATTTGATTCATAGAAGGCATCAGAACACAAACTGGACCTCAGTTCTGAGGTCCTAAAACCTATTCAGTTATAAGATAAATATACAGTCATAATCATCACAATAGTCTGGGCACTGATGATTCTTTTTTGATAAAATTTGATTTGTGCTTCAAAAATAATAAATTATATGTAGGCAGATTAATTAATTCTAAAAATTCACAAGGAGAATTTACTTGTGAGTCACCTTAGTTTTAATAAGTAAGTACTTGGGGGTAGATATTTTCCTCCTGACAAATAAATGTTTGAATTTGAATATAATAAAAAGTATTTGTGGTTTCATACAAATAATTTAGTATAAAACCTGATAATTTAAATATTAAAACCATCTAGAAGGTATCAGACTATAAGATGAATAATTGTGTTTTGTATAATCAATACACAAGTTTCACATAGAGTTTTAGAAAATTGTTGGTTTTAGGCTTATTATATGCTTCAAATAACTTTTAAAAAACAATAATTTTTGGTCTATAATTTTTTGAGTTCATAAAGGATATGTCACTTATTTATTCTATGATATTGACATTATTTGTAAGTTTAAATTCAATGCAATGAGGAATAACTCAGAATAAAGAGAAATTTGATTTTAACTAATAAGACATTAGAAGAAATAAAATGTTTTATAGTTGTTTCATTTTTGTACTTATGGAAATATTGTAAAGTATTAACATCTTTAATTGAATAGATTCACCCTCTATTTCCACTCCAGCTACCCTCCCTTGAAAACCTTTCAATTTCCCCAACCTCTTTCCTTGATTATTGTTATATGCACATATATGTATGTATACAATTTTAAAATGCTATAAAGATTATATAGAATGCATATATAGATTTCATCAAACTTGTCATCTTGTGCAGGCATAGAAATTGTCCCTACTAAAACATTCACATTCATGCAATATTAGTAACTAGACCATATTCTTTATTCAGACTGCTGGTTTCTCCATCAACATCGTAATGTCTAGTATTCAGTTCAGTTCCATATACACACATATGCTAGTAAAGGTCTCTGATCCTTCTTCAATCAGACATCTCTCAACTCTTTCACCATTTCCATACTTAAATTGGAAAATTTAAATGCAATTTAATTTGGGCACAAAATGGAAATTATATTAACAACAACAAGGTACATAATTGTACAATGTTGATTGTTTATGCTAAATATAAGTTTATTATTTGAAATATTAGTTTTAATATTTGTCTGAACAGGAAATGTATGTGTCTAGGAAAGTTTAGATGTTATAGTTAGTCAAATATATCTTTAAGTTTTACCCCCATCATTGCTCATCTTTATTACCTTAGGATATTATGTCACTCTAAGTTCCTGTTTCCCTGTTGTAAGAAAGAAACCTTCTCATATCATACCATGGTGAGAATTATTTGATGTTACTATTTCATTAGCTGATGGTTTTATCGTTTTGTGAGTTTAAGCCAAAGCTTCTCATTTTAAATACAAGTATGTATCAAAGAAAATATTCAGATAAAAGGACTGTTTAACTTGTTCGCCACATCTTACATTACTTCCCCTCTGAGACTGTGGATTTTCTACATCATTGTAGATAGCTTCTCCAATGAAGACAGTTCCTGTCTCATGCCAAAAGTCATACGTGCCAGATTTATAATTATTAGGATGTAAGAAGTGCCTTCAAAGCTGTTTCAAAGTTACACATGAGTAGAAATTTTCACAGAAATTCACACATAGAAAGCCAGCAGTGTCCAGGAGGCTTGGGGTCCAAGAAACATCTAACAGCAGCTACACAACTTTTAATGGTCCATTTCTCACTATGTTTTCCTGAGTCACTTTCCGTAATTGGTAAAGTATGATTATGCCCTGTGACTTCCAACAGGAATCTCAATTCAGAAAGAAAATGAAAAAAGAAAAAGTGTATTGCTTAACTTCAAAGAAAGAAGAAAGAAATAATGGGACAGAAAATAAGCCTATGTGTGTATGTGTATACACACACACACAGACACACACACACACACACACACACATTTTAGTCTTTTAATAAAACAACCAGATATGTGAAAATGAAAAAAGAGTGGGAAGTAGCTGGTTTTAGAAAAAAAAGGACTGCAAAAGAAAAGCAGGAATGAATTGATTACAGAGAAAGTATATTAAATGAGTGCCATTGCCTCTATATTGTAAACCATGATGCAATATTCTCTTCTATTAATAATCAGGAGTTTTATTTCTTATTAATCCATCTAGATGCAGCCCTTGGAAAAAGTCATCAAGTCAGAGGGACATTTAAAATAACATCTGGAGTGACATATAATCCTAATTTACAAGACACACTCTCGGTGGATTTCAAAATTCTTGCTTTTGACCTTCAGCAAATGGTAGGGGGCTGTTTCTCCACAGCTTGTTTAAAATACCATAATCAATTTTATTAACTTATTTTCAAATGATACATAGCCCACATTTTTTTTTCACTCAGAAAATATCAAAAAACTGCATGTTGCATTCAGGATTGAAAACTGCATGAACTCCCTCTCCCCCACCCCAACCATGAGTATTTCCTTGGTTCTAAACAAATGGATGGCCTGTATTCTGTATAAAAAGTTGATAAAAGTTAAATTATAGAATTTAATGCAGTTTTCATCTTTTTTAGATAGATGAGATCTTTGAATCAAGTAATCTGAAGAACGAATATAAGAAATCGAGGGTTTTTCAATTTGAGTGAGTATACTTGAAGCCATCCCATCCCCCTGATACACATTGCTCCAGAGAACATACTACTCAAATGTATGCTGTCATTATGTATAGGAAAACTAGAAAAATTTCCCACATTGTGTGAGGACCTAAAAATGATTTCTAGTAAAAAAAAATTTCATTTTTAATAAGAGATAATAGTAATGTTTGAAAATTGATATATTAACATGCTCCTCTTACCAGGGTAAAACTGTGCTGATGTGTGAGGACTAAAATTGAATAAATGCCATGGAGATGTAGTGCTTAATTTGTTAAGAACATGTGAAAGAAACTTCTTAGTTATTAGCAAAATAATATGTCACCAAGTTTGTTTACATTGTAAATCACAAAAGAGATGAGAATTGTTAACTTTTGTAATTAGAGAAAAAACGCTCTGCCCCTTCTGGCCTCTGTGAGCTTATGTGCATACACATACTCTCACATAGACACACACACTTGCACACATGCCTATGCACACAGTAAATAAATATTCATAATTTCAATCTTCAATAAATAAATTAGTCATGTAAATAGGATAATATTTAATTTCACTATGAATACTTCAATCTAGAGTATGTATTGGTATCCAGATATGTTAAGCTATACTATATATGTAAATATAGCATTTTCTACAGGAACACTTAATATGAGATTTAACCTCTTAAGAACGAATGTTTCTTCAGAGATTATTCCATGTGTCTCTGTTGAATCATTGTGTCTATAAATGAAAGTCCAGAACTCCCTGATCTGTCTTCTTGCTTACATCACAGTAAATCTAATGATTTATAACATGTTAGGACCAAAGGGACTTTGAAACAGAGATACACACGAACAGTAAAATTAGCAAAGAAGATTGTGCTGCTAATAAGAACCTATAAAATTTCAAGAAAAAAAAAGTAGTGTTCTACTCAAAAACTAAAAAATTCAAATACAAACATATACAATTTAGCAATACCTCTGGTATTGCTAAAATAAGAGAGAGAGAGAGAGAGAGAGAGAGAGAGAGATTTTTAATTTCCTAAAATGAGGGGGGAAATGTGACAGAAACAATTTGGATGCGAAAACACAGTGTCAAAAGATCACATCTGTTCTTTTTTGGATAATTTTTATGTAAAACACTATTGAAGAAGAGAAGAAAATGATGCAAATGTAACCCTGAAGGCACACACATCATAACCGGTCATATCATCTCTGGATATCTCATTCAGTTCATTTCCAAAGTTGACTTTTTATCGGGAAATTCTACACTTTACTTATCCCTTGCTTCGTTCTCCCTCCTGCTTTTTTCTTCAGAAAATTGATCATAATATGTGAAGACTTATAGCAGAGTCTGTATCCAAAGTCCCTTATTTTTTATTATTATTATTATTATTATTATTATTATTATTATTATTATTATTTTATTTTTAAACCTTTTTTACATACTAATCCCAGTTCCTCTCTGATTCCCCCCATCCACTCCTCAGAGAGGGTGAGGCCTCCCATGGGGACTCAAAAAAGTCTGTCACATCACCTGCGGCACGCCTAAGGCCCTCCCCACTGAATAAGGTATCCTCATTTTTAAGCCAGAGAATTAAACATTGTATAAAACACAGAACTCATAATCAAAAAAGTGCACCTTATTTTGCTATGTATTTTGTCTTAAATTTTATCTGTGTAAATAGTTACATAAATAAAATTCTTCTCTGAAACCAATAGTAGTAGTTAGAGCCACCATGTGGAAAGACAATACATCAGATTATTAATTAAATGAACCCAGCCTGAGTCTGATGTGCGGTAGTCAATCCAGAAGCCTAGGAGAGTGTTCTAACTTTATGTTTCATACCAAATATGACGCAAATTTATTTATTTTTATAAACCTTACACTGCTTTACTAGTAAAAGCTGCAGAAAAATCGTAGATGTAGTAAGAGTTTTACAGTAACTGTATTGTGGACATGATGTAAAGACAAATCAACATATTAAAGTGATGTACGGGTATGTGTGGGAGAGATGTGCCATAGATAGAGACTTAAGTGCCTTCTGTTATTATGCAAATCGTACCATCATTTCCCCTTTCTTTTACTTCCTTCTCAGAATGACATTTCACTGTCATGTTTCTTTCCACTGAGGCATTTATAATTATTTCTTCAATTTGACATGATGAAAGCTGTCACCTTGACTTTGTGTAATCTCTAAGAAACATTATTTCTCTTCACTTCCCCAAATGGTCTTTAGCTTAGCTTGTGATGTCCACACCAGTCTGTGTGGGGGAACCACGCACTTTGAAAGAGACGATGAAATGCAAAATTAAAATCAAGTATAAAGAAAATAAAGTAAAACCACTCAAATATAAACTAGTGTCCTGTGCACCTGCACAAGTAGAGGGCAAAATAACACCAAAGGTCAAACATAGGTACATAGCAAGAATGAAAAAGGATTGTATGAAAGTGGCAGCAGTGGGCAGGGCCATAGTTCAGGCAGCGAAGTCTTTGACATCATGGAGGTTTGAAGACTTGGGTTCATTGTCCAGAATTTACATAACAAAGCTGGTTTTGGTAGCACAAACTTGTAATTTCAGGTTAGGGTGGCAAGGACAACCAGATTTCCCAGGCCTCTCTGGCCAGCTAGCCAAACTGAAATTTGAGTCAGCGAGACCCAGATAAAATAGGAGATTCTTTTTCAAAAGTGAAAGTGGACAGCATCCTGAGTGAGGACAGCTGAGGTTGTCCACCTGCCTCCCTGCATAGGGGGGGATGCATGCATGTACCCTCCCACCCACACACCCAAATATCCATACATAAGAACACAGGCCTGCCCATCCACACACACAAAAGAAATGACTACAATATCTACGAAAATTGAAACAAATATTTTGTCTTCTCAACAATAGCCAAGAAATATGTTTATGCTTCCACATCTCTTATTTTTCTCACAGATGAGCCTTGCTTTTAACCACATGATTTACAAGTATTTAAGAATCAAGGTATTAAGAAAGAATTTTATTAAGGAGTTCACATACCTAACACCATTAAGACATTCTCTCTATTGTGATGAGGTACTGAGAGCATTGTCTTGACCTTCCTTCATTTGGGATGCTTATAACGTTTTTAATTTCCTACCTAAAAGAGTTACCTAGGCAGTGACTGATAAGTACATTCAGCCATTAATTAATTAATAATAATTATTCTCTGAAGGTGCTATGACAATGCTTATTTAAATCCCTGTTTCAAAGAAGTAAAAATATTGTTAAAGAGATATATCAACATCAAGGAATATCTAATGTTACTAAGTAGTGATTCCTATAATAGTTCAAGGAAATATAAAAGATTTAAGATAACTTCACCTAGCCTTTGATTGGCTGCTTTGTCTAAGTTATTTTCAGAGCTTTAGACAGAAGTTCATTCAATTTCTATAAGTGGAAAGTATTCATGCTACTTAAAATTAATTCTTTCAAACAGCATGTGTGCAAAGGTGTTTAATTTAAGGTTGTGAGGGACATGAGAACACCGTTAAATAATCAGTATTAGCGCTGTCTTGTGTATTTTCTAATTTCACTTACTAGAAGGAGGCTTTATTCCCCTCATCCCAATGCAGGTTTTCTGCATCCTCATCCACTGATGAGGCTGTAGCAGGACACCTTGGAGACTGAGTGTAGTTCCCCACTCATACTTTGTGTTTTTAGCTGCTGAAGACCATAGCATTGCCACTCTGAATGCAGGTGTGTTCCTACGTACTGTGTCAGGCACTCGTATGAATTCCATGGATCCTTGAGACTCTGTTTTAGCACCTGTACTGAACTATCCCATCATGCATACACCCCCACAACCATCTTTTGTTCTCCTGTTTTCCTCCTTAGCATCCTTCCTTTCCAACCTAGCAACTGCTAAGCTCCAGTCCATGGCACATCCGCAGTGATGCTTAACTGGTGAACTTTTCTAACTGAGCATTTTTCTCCCTAGTTCATTCAGAACTTTGTGCAGTCATACAAAATGCCACCCGCAAGACATGACGGAATTGTATTCTTCTCTCCTTATTAGACAATGGGGTCTGACCACAGAGGTCAGAAGAAGGCATTAGTTCCCCTGGAATTGGAAGTTATGTGTTGATTTTAATAATCATGTGGGTGCTGGGAACCTAACTCTGGTCCCCTGAAAGAGCAAGAAGTACTCTTAACCAGCCCAGAATCCACTGTTCTTGAGACTAAATGAAGGTGGGATTGTCAATTCAGGGTCAAAGAGTTATGCCTAGAAAAAAAGTGACATAAAGTCAAACAAAATTAATATAAAGAAGACAGTCCATGGTATTGTCACTTTCTCAGAAATAATAATCTGGAAAAGGGAAATACAGGAAGGGGAAAAAGAATGAGGAATCATTCAGACCTATTTTATTCTCTCTCTCCGCCTCCATCCCTCCCCCTTCTCGTGTGTGCGTGTGTGTGTGTGTGTGTGTGTGTGTGTGTGTGTGTGTGTGTGTGTGCAAATCTTTCATCTAAACCTAAAGTGCACCTATTCACCTCAACTAGTTAGCCAGTTTCTATCAGGATTCCCCATATTTGCCTCTGAATGCTGACATTACACTTAGGAAGATAATGCCCTCCTAGCATTTATATGGGTGTTGGGATTCAAATTCCAGTCATGATGCTTGTGTGTTATCCTCATAAATAATCACAAATGAATATCTATAATCATAGTAAAGGGGGCAAAATCACCATTAGACTTAAGCATTTCAATTTGTATTTGATTTGTAAAATCATGGACCATAAATTGTTGCTTTATCCTCTACATAACAATATCCATTGTAAAAACCTTATATTTAACAATATTTTTTAAATACAGCAATTTTAGTGACCTTACATGACATATGTCATCAAAATATATCACCAAGAGTAACAAACTGAGTCATCATTCTATTTGATCATATTTTACAAGTATTTTATGTATTTTTTACCACTTTCTAAAGTGTGTGTGTGAAAGTGTGTGTGTGTGTGTGTGTGTGTGTGTGTGTGTAACCAATCTGAAGAAAAAAATCTGTTGTCTCTCTTTGGGGTATTGTTATTATGCTCTGTGGAAAACGTTTAATTCACGGAGCACTAGCAGTTGACCCTTTTAATAAAGGACTGGTTGCCCTCGGTGGCAATGTGCACTTTAAGTTTGCCCTTTACACACAGATGAGTCACAAAGTTCTTGAAGGAAAGTGCTGTGTTTATTCAGCAAACGTAAAGGTTATCAGTATCATTAAAGAAAATATGAGATAAGAAGCATTTTGATCTATTACAGCCAAGCTCTCTGTGCAATGATAGGATTTATCTAACTATAAAATTAATGAAGAAAGAAAGAAAGAAAAGCAGAGACTAAAGGAGGAGGGCTGTGTACCTCTACTAAGAACAAGTTCTTTGAAATGAAAATGGCTATTATTTTTCCTTAAAGAAATGATTTTTCTCGTTTATCTTAATAAATAAAATAAATCTCACAGGATGGGTACAGATCATTGATAAACTTCCCAAAATAAGTTTCTGCCTACTTAAGCGATAAAACACAAATACTTATCATGGTATCATTGATTTCTCCTATACATCTTTCTTATCTCAACATTTATACTGAATACAAGAATAAACTGTAAAGGATACAATCATATGTGTATCTATAATATAGAGCTGTTATCCTCACAGAGGTAAATTATTAACTGCAATATATAATTCACAACTAAAAAGACACATCTTTCATACAGATATGTTTACGCCTGAGGTTGAATTGTTCTAGTTAGTTACAAGCCAGTGTAGGAAAATTTCAGAACTGCATTCTCTCTACCCCAAATACCTTGTGTCTTCTACTGCCTGATTTCAAGCTGCACAAGATCAAGGGATCTGTATAATTAAATATGTAGAACTATAGAGAGAAGATGCGTATTTCACTACCATAATACATCATCTTCTGTGCAACAAAAGCAAAAGTAAAACCATGGAACAGACAAGGATAGATAAAAGATTCTGTGCATCCATGTTTTATCTTAAGCCATATTTAATCCCATCAGCTTTTAGTTCACACTTAAGCAGTCCGGTTTGGCCAAGGGGATAGATTCTGTAAACATGGAGGAAACGGGGAAGGGATGAAGAAGGACTGAGAAAAGGGAGATTGTGGTGAAGGGTGGAAAAGGAAGCTGAACACATTGAAAGCATATAGGAATGAAACACCTTTCTTTCCTTTAGTAACTAGCTATTTCCCTATTTCCTCGCACGTGCGTGCGTGCGTGCGTGTGTCTGAGTGTGTGTGTATGTGTATCACTGTATGTTTGTAAGCTTAATAGGAAACATGAGGTTAACAGAAAGGTGTGAAAAGAAATCTCTCAAGTGTCTCTACGTTTTCCAAATGCATTTTTTTCTTTAATCTCTTTTACAATGTAAAAGAAAATGTCATTAAAAATGCAAATACAGTGAGGGGTTAAAGTAAAGGGAAAGAATATTCCCTAAGGCCATGGGGTTGAATTCTTCTACTGTGACAGATCCTGTGGGCAAGAATTTCTTAAAAGTATAAATATCCTGAGTGCCCAGTAATTCCCATTATGTTTCTTTTCTTGCTATCCACCAAAATCAAGACATATTTTAAAAATTTAGGTTAAACAAAAGCAAAAAGAAAACTAAATACAAATGTTTACAGAGCCTTAGTATCAGGCCTTGTTCGTTTTGTACAGTTTATTGAAACAAGAATGATGTCACGTTTCTCTCCACCAGACACATTGCAAACTCATACACTCCGTTCCTTCAGACAGTAAAACGACAGGACACCTTGTGACACTATTGGATTTGACTCAAGAGACTAGAGAAAATCATTGTGTTCCTGTGTGCCATATTGAACACTGATTCCAAAGTTGGGTTTACTTCAGCATTTCTGTACTTGGTAAAATATTGAAGGTTTTAATTACTTTTTCCTTCCATCATAAACTAAGGGTAATACTTGGCATATCTAGTATACTGTTCTATACAGTGGGATAATAAAGCCTAAGGATGTATTTATAGCAGTTTTCAGACATTTTGCCTGAACTGAGAACAAATCACTTACTTGAAGATGCTTGACTTTTACTCTTACGTCATTTTTTTTTTTTTTTTTTTTTTTTTTTTTGCTTTGCAGAAATGGCAGCGTTATAGTCCTTTTTGACCTCTTTTTTGCTCAGTGGGTATCAGATGAAAATGTAAAAGAAGAACTAATTCAAGGCATTGAAGCAAATATATCCAGCCAACTGGTCATTCTCCATATTGACTTGAACAGCATTGATATCACAGGTATCTGTGAACATTATTTGATTTCTTTGAATCATTAAGCTATGAAATTAAGATTCTAGCAATTTAGGAGAGAGGCAGGAGAATCGTCCTTGGCTTTAGGAGCATGTCGGATCGCCTGAGGTAACACATTTACATGAGAGAAGTGAAATATTTGAAGGGAAGTATCAGTGAGGAGAGGTTTGGGAAATACGGAAAGATTCTAAAAATATCAGGGGCCAGAGTTGTTTGTGAGTCTTGTCACATTCTATGTATTGGTCAAGTGTGTTTTAGAGCCAGTCATTAGAAAGTCAAATTCAAGAAATTACGATTGGGTCACAGACCTCAGGAGATTACAGTCAAGTGGCAAGGACAAATGTCTAATTAGAAATTGAAAAGAAGACAAAAGATGGATTAATAAATGTAATCCAACCCGATTTCCTATTGAAAAAGTTAACTTTCCTCTTCAAGTGATAAAATATTTTTATCCTAAGCATGGGAGTCGAAACTAACACTAGAGACCAGGCAGAGGGCTGAGTGGGTAGCCCTGAAAGCCTGATAATCTGAGTTAAATCCCCTGAACCTAAAACTGAAAAAGAGATCTGATGCCAAACACTGTCTTCTGACTTCCATAAGCATGCCCTGGTCACTCATCATGTCCACAAACACACATGAACACACAATCACACAAAATAATAAATTATTTTTTAATACCAAGACAATATTTGAGAGATACTTGGATAAGGAAAAATGCTAAATCGACCAATGGATGAAATCATTAATGAGATCCTGTTGAGTGTGCTATTAGATAGGGTGTGGCTAGAGAAAGTAAGTTACTGTATGTGACTTTGCATATATATACATATATATGCAAACATGTATACTTATAGCTTTGGGGTTTTTTGTTTGTTTGGTTGGTTGGTTGGTTTATCCAGTCAGGGTTTCTTGTTTAACAGCTCTGGCTGTCCTCTAATTCAGTCTGTAGACCAGGCTGGTCTCTAACTCACAGAGATATGTCTGCCTTTGTCTCCCAAGTGCTGATATTAAAAGGATAAACCACTGGTATTTTTAAGCTTAAGATATCTGAGTAGAGAAAACCACCACAGTTGAGGAATTGCCTCCATTGTATCAGCCTGTGGTCATGTATGCTGGGCATTTTCTTGCTAATTAATAGAGGTCAGCTCAAGGTGGGTGACGCCAACCCTGGGCAGATGAGCCTGCGTTACATATGGAATGTAGCCGAGCAAGCTACGAAAGGGAGGCAGGAAGCAGACGTTTTGCTGGCCTTGCTTCGGGTTCTTGCCCTGGTTTCCCTAGATGATGGCTAGAAACACTTTCTTGCCCAGTTGCTTTGGATCCTCTGGTTTTTGTCACAGCAACAGGAATGCAAACCAGAGCAACTAGTAAGACTAATAATGTCTTTATTAGGAATTTTGTAAGGCTATCAACTAACGCTGTTTCTGTGTTCCAGGGTACAATTTAGGATACTACCCTGTATGTGGAGAGCTATTATTTTAATTCTATGTAATGGATATACCTCTGGAAAATAATACTTGATTTTTTTTTCACATCTTTCAAAGAAAAAACTTCTTTTCTCTTTTATGTGTGTTCACATTGATAATCTCCTTGATGAACTATTTGACAGACATGCTAAAATTAATCATTATGATTCCATACATTTGCATAACCTGAAAGATGAAATTTATGGTCAAAAAAAATCACGTGTGATTAAAGTAAAGCATATTCTCTTAAGTTGACTTTAGTCTGTCTTACACATCCCACAAACTTTATTTTAACTGTGAATTAAGAATATTCTCAAATCAAAGTTATACTATATTTGATTTATTGAGCTTTCTTAAAACACATCTATAAAAATAGCACCAAGCTTAATTTTAGATATTTATGTTTAATATTTGCATTTTGCAATTTTCAAATATATTTCATTTTATATTGGTTATTGTTAGTCCTGAGATTGGCAATGTCTGATAGGTAATGTTATATTAGTTGAATATAAACTATCCCATATAACTTTAGCAATAAATGAATAGGTACTTTCATTGAGTTAACACAAAATAAAGCAAACTTAGCTTAGGCAAATTGTACAAACCAATTAAGCAGTTGCTAAAACTTATCTGAAGTATCTTAGCCACATAACGAACGGCAATTGCATGAGAACAAGCAAAGTGGCGTTCACAGGACCAGGTGCCCTTTGAAGAAATAACCAAACGGTACTCAACTGTATTGAGGTTTAGTACGGATCAGGAGAAACAGGCCGAATAGATGCTTATTCAGGGAGAAATATCTCACAACATAGATAGACGAACACCAGCAGGTTCCTGGTCCCAAGGATGTCTCCGGATGCTCTCCTGTCCCCGTGTTGCAAGTAAGAGAGCTCCAGGCTCCCCTTCCTCAGACTTAGTTCCCCCCAGGTAACATCCGCCCCTGTCCCCACCCCCAATGGGCGTGGTCTGTGCCACAGGTGTGGACAAAGTGAGTATCTCACTACACAACTGTATTCTGTACGGTTTTTTTTAATAATACAGTTATATTATAAAGCCAGTATAAAACCACCATCTTTACTTTCTTCTAGCATCTTCTGATAACTTCTCAACACCATTCCCTGTAACAACTTCAGGTCAGTATTTGTATTTATAACTGTGTGTGTGTGTGTGTGGGTGTGCTTGCGTGTGCATGCGTGTGTGCGCATTTACTTACTAATCCACAGTCATGTCTGTGGACATGTAGAGACCAGAGGTTGAGGCATGTCACCTCCCACCAATGCTTTAAATCTTACCTTGTGAGACTAGAATATTGGTCAGACCTCCCAGCCAGCCAGCCAGCTTTGGGGACCCACCTGCCTTCCACCCCACCCAATCTCTGGGATTCCAGATGTATACAACCAGACCTGAGATTTTTAGAAGAGTCCTGGGACTCTGAACTCAGTTCCTCATGAAGGTTTGACAGGTACTTTACTGACTCAGCCATTTTGCCTTACAACAACTCAGGGTTATCAACGTCATGACATTAGAAAAGAACGTATTTTGTTTCTGCATCGTGTTTTGATATTTAGTCTAATGTGTAGCTAAGGTATTAATGATATCTACCTGCTTATGCCAAAGATGGATGTTAGTATTTAGGTACCTGTACTGGCCAGTCCTTGGGGTTCTGACAAGATAAATCTTTATCTGCAGCCACTAAGAGCATCACCTGTGCATATTCGCTATGTTTCCTTTTAAAGGGGCCCTGCCCGCCTCCCATCTCTCTCTTTGTCTCTGTCCCTCCTTCCGACTCCCTCCCTCTCCCTTCATCCCTTCCCCTCTCTTTCCCTCCCTTCCTCCCTCTTGTCTCTCTTCTCTCTCCTCTCCCCCTATTTCAAAACCCTTCCACCCAAGCTCTGTCACACGGCCTCTTTCTCTCACATGCTGCTATTTTTAAATTATAAAAGTGGGTATTTCTGATTTCAATACTCCTGTTGTGTTTTGAATTTTATTTGGTGTGTGTATGATTCCCCAATTGACCCACATCATGTGACATGGAGATAAAACATTTAAAACAGTAATTTAAGGAATATATATATTACACATTTTTGGAAAAAGAAAACTAAACTGTAGTGCTAACTGATCCACTTCAGTGTTTGCTGCTTTGTCTCTTTTATTTCAGATTCCATCCCTGCTCATAATATTTAGAACTTTCTCATGTCTCATCAAAGCAATAAAGCAATATCACTATTTGAAGAATTATTTTTGAAAAATTATATATATATATATATATATATATATATATATATATATAATTAACACTAGTTACCTTAAATGTAACCTTAATTACTAATGAGGGTATATTAAAATAGTAACCAGAAATCAAAAAATTCATTGTGGTTCTGCTAACTTACCAATCTACAAAGCACCTTTTGTTATAAGTTCTTTGAAATCAGCATCCTGGAAATTGTATGATTACCAGTCTTCTCCTGGATATTGCAAACACTATCCTAAATGTCAATCTTATGTACATATGATTAAGAAATAAAAATTGTCAAAAGATATAATGATAACACTTTTAGTGTTATCCATAATCATGACATTTCCACAACATTTGAGACAAGTATTATAAAGTACATACCTGAACCAATAATTATATCATTTAATTTTCTGGAAAACCCATTAAGGAAATAACATCTTTCACACTTAAAAAGACATAAAAGAATAAATAGGAAGATAGAGAGATAGCTCAGTGGTTTAAAGTACCTACTGCTCTGGCAGAAGACTAGAGTTGTATTCCAGTACATACCTTAGAGGTAACAACTATGCAAAACTGAAGTAGGGTGTTTTCTGTTTCCATGAAGACACAAACACACACAAACACACACACACACACACACACACACACATACGGTGTACAAATATACATGCAGTCAAGGCATCACATATAATCCCATAAATATGCAAAATTACCTTCAACTAAAATAATTATGAACATTGAAATAAAATATAAAAGGTTTATCCTTAGACTGATACATAAGTATTAAGTCCTCATAAGCACAAACTTTCTTAGATAAAATATTATGCATATGATACATATGGTAAAATTCTTATAACCAGACTAAAATAAATAATAATTTTAATCTCACTTATCTTTGCAGATAAGCTGACAACCAGCAGTTCTGTGACAACTTCAGGTCTGCCTCAATAATATTTTAATTTATTTTACGATTTTATTGTGGGAAAGTGTGAATGTGTGTGCACATGTTTGTGTTCGTGTGTGTGCATGTGTTTGTAAGTGTACACCTGTTACAGTGCACTACAGAAGTCTAGGAAAACTCCATTTCTATCTGTGAGTTCCAAGAATTAAATTTCATGTCCTTATAAGCTTGACAACCTTCTTTCATGAGAGACATGCATTGGTTTCTATTATGGCTTCTATAGTTAAGTCTCTTAATTTTAGAAACAAACATGTTAAAAACTGAAGAACAAAATGAACAAATGTAAAAAAGAGCCAAACAATTGTTACATTCTATATTATTATTTTGATTTTTCCAGAGACAGGGTTTCTCTGTTTATCCCTGGATGTCCTGGAGCTCACTCTGTAGGCCAGGCTGACCTCAAACTCACAAGATCCACCTGCTTTTGCCTCCTGAGTGCTGTAATTAAAGGCGAGTGCCACCACTGTGCTAAAATCAACTGTCAAATAAGTTTTATTTTCGTAAAGCGTTTTGGGTTCTCACAACAGCAATTCCAATACTGACTTCAAGTGAGGTCAGTATTTAACAGCACAATGAAGGTCAGATCACATTTAACTCCATAAATGTACAGAGTTATTCAGCAATGAATTAATAGCTGCAAACAAATTTTTAAGAATCATAAAAGACTTATCTTTAGATCTAGATATAAATGGCATATCTGAGTTAGCATACACTAATAATTCAGAAAAAGCTAAAACTCATATGAAATATATTTTAAATTCATTTATTTGATTAATGGATGATTTGTCTGCTTATCTGTGTGCATGCTATGTGCATGCCCAGTATCCATAGAGGTCAGAAGAGGGTGCCTCATCCCTGGGAACTGGAGTCACAGATGGTTGTGAACCACTATGTGGGTGCTGAAAAGGGACAGGCCTTCTTCAACAGTAATAAGTGCCCTTAATTGCTGAGTCATCTCTCCAGCCCCATTGGATAAAACATTAAATAGCACACATAACATTTTAAATATGTGGTATTATTATAATATCATCTATCTTTGCAATCCACTGGCAACTTAGGTCGGTTTTAATAGCACATCTTCAATAGGTGCAGCATCAGCAAAACCCAAGTGAAATGAAAATCTACTCAAACTGTAACCATGTTTTACGATAAAGTTAAATTGTAAGTGCAAGTATCAAATCAACTTTGCTTTCTTCTAGCATCTTGGGGTAACTTCTCAACAGAAATTGCTGCAACAACTTCAGGTTAGTTCTTTCAACATCACATTGACTTAAGCTGTAAACATGTTATACATTAACTTTGTCACAAACCCAAGTATCAAGTCAACTTTGCTTTCTTCTAGCATCTTGGGGTAACTTCTCAACAGCAATGGCTGCAACAACTTCAGGTCAGTTCTTATAGTGTGATGTCGATTGTCATAAATATGCACAATTATCTGTCAATTAAAAATAGCTATAAAATTAAAATAAAACATATTTATATCTATATATCTGCCTAAAATATATATAACAAATTAGCATGTACTACTAATTTACAATAAGCTAAAACCACCAAGATAAAATATTGTACAGAAGGAATAAATAATGAATAGCTAATATCCACTTAAAATATATAAATTATTTTAATTTTATTCATTTGGCAGATAAACTAATAGACAGCACTTCTATGGCAATTCTGACTGAGTCTTAATAATTATATATATATATGTATATATATACTTTTTAGATTTTCACTAATATTTGGAAATTATCTAATGCATCCACAGTTTAATACTCTTTAAGAAGAAAAACTGGACTTCATAGTTTGCAGTTGAAGCATAATATTTAACAAACATAGTTAGATATTGGGGCTAATATTAGCTGCCCCCAACTTACTCTTGCATTCTGATTTTTAAAACTATAGTTATCTCCACTTGCCAGAGATGTAGCCACTAGGACTGAAGGGTTTTCTTGAAAGGATGCCAGTTTCTTCAGATACCGGGATATTTTCTTTTGACTGTATTCTCTGCATACAACTTAGGGCTGTTCTGCAATTGCAATACTGTCATAAATCAGTCATAAAGTATGCTGGATTCATTCACTCAGTTTTTTTTTTCCAGTGAGAGTGTAACGTAAAATAGTTCACAGGATGTTCTTTTCTTACATGTATTAATTTATGTTTCCCACAAGTACAAGGGCATGTGTGTCATAGTGCACATGTAGATGTCAAAGGACTTGTGAGAATCAGTTCTCTTACTCCACCTGTGGGTCCCACCAGTGACAAAATGTCTTGGTCCGACCCACTAGTGGAATAAGGGAACGGTTGCAATGTTTGAAATGCAAAACAAAGCATGATTCATTAGTTACAATGATTTGTAGCCAGTAACAACATCCTTGGAGCCGATGGAAAGTTCATATCTGTGTGGCAATGCCCACAGTGACATTTAGGCACAGCTACAGAGCAGTCACATACAGAAAACACTCACTTACCCCACATTCATTTTTTTGTAATATGAAGAAATTCTAAAAGTTTCCCAAACCACACTTTTATATATTTAACTTCAAGCAACAATAACTGACTTAAAAAAAAAAAACTCAATAACTAAAACTAAACTGAAAAAGGTAGTTAAAATGTTTCAAGACATTCTTCCTGAAGCTTAAATATAAACAAGCATGCAAATTAGTGTCCTGTTTTCCATTTGTCAGTCTACTGATTTGTTGTTACAGGACTCATCTAACTGAGTTACTGAGGTCCTTTTAGATGCATAAAATATTATAAGAGATATACATGGAATGGCTCAGTTATGGAATAATAAACACCAGATATATGACAACAAAAGAAAGCCTTGAACTTTTTCTCCCAAAGTATGTTGAGGAGATCAGTTGAGCAATAGTGAAACCTAGCTGACCATATGTCCAGTGCCTCTGGGAGTAAGGAAAAGCAGGTATGGAAAACAAACCAAAACACCCCATCATCTGAGTCACAAGAATATGGTCAACACACACTTGGGCTTGTCTTTCTTATTATACATAAGCAAGTGATGTTCAGGACAAAGATGGAGAAGTAATGTAAAATGTTGAGGTGTATTTTGTACTGAAATTAAGGAGCATGCACTAAATTCTAGTTTATGATTCTTAGAATCCCATAAAAATTTTTATGTCAAACTGCTCATTATTGATAAGACTTGGCTCAATTTCCTCATTGACTAATTCTACCAATTACTCCTCAACTACTCACAAAGCTATATAGTATCTTAGAACTTTATAAACATTACATAGAATATAAATATTAAAGTACATGCCTGAGATGGTGCCTAGGTATTTCTTGTCACTGCAAAGTAGACTGAAGATATAAATAGAATACATTCAGATACTGTTTCACTGTGAAGAGCTCAACAACTCACACAGAGATGTACAGAACCAATTAGGTCACTTCAGCCTGCTCCTAGGGACTAACATCAAAATAACAGCATGGCATATTACTATATCGGCAACTGTATATTGTTCTAAAAGAGGGACGTTTCTAATACTAGATTTCAAGCATGACTTCACATCTGTGGTGCTCATCTTCATCTGGCAACTTATGCATCAACAAAACATTGTTTTTGACTATTGCTTTTCACTGTATTATCTTAATTAATTCACAAAGAATCATTGTAAGGTAACTAGGTAGTGAAATATCATATTCTCCTTTGCATTAAGTTCAAGTAGCACGTGAGTCCTGAATCATACCTCTCATTTAATCCCCTCATACAGCAAGACACTATAGATTTATAGAGAGGAACGAGGCAATTAAACTTGAAAACTGCAGTTTCCAAGCAGTAATTTATTATGAATAAGTCTTTCAGGGATGTTAAGTTTATTCTCATTTTTATATGCCTTGGAGATGGAGTTTGAGAAAAATCAACAAACACATGCATCATATACCAGGCATTAGTGCTATAATAAATTCTGCCAAAGAGAATTTTTATATGATAACAGGTAAAAAGCCCATGTGGATTATGTTCTCTTGTTCAGCTGCCTTTGTTGCCTGCCAATTACTGTAAAGTTTTACTAACCAGTTTGGAGCACTTGAGGAGAGCAACCGGAGCTAAGGCCACATACACAGACTGATTTCTCGGCTGCTGCAGTATGCCTGGAGAGGCTTTTTTGGACATCTGCTCGTAGGCTTGAATTCTTCCTATATTGTAGCTTGTTCTAGTCCTTTCTTGCTGACAGTGCAGACAATGATTTCAGAAACATGGAAGTTTCCATACTGTGGTGTTCTCTATTTCACACAAAATGCACTATCTTGCCACTAATCCACTGTGTGGTGGAAATTGGTAATTGAAGAGGGGAGAAAAGCAATGTGCAGTTTTTTGTGAAGAACAAGATGGTTGGCCAAAAGAATCCAGAGAGAACTGTGTCCCTGATTGAACATCCCTGATTTGGGGATGTGGAGATTTTGTCCATTCACAAGTATACTGCCATCTTTATTTGAGGAAGAACTATTTTCATACTTCTAAGTCTTCCTCACTCTGTGCTGACATGCCCTCACCCTCGACACTTCTAGATAAATTCGACCTTTCTGTGTCTCTAATTTCCATGTTCTTCTGCCACATAGTCATACATGGTCCATCCTTGTCTACTCAGGTACATCCAGGGGCTCTCCGAAGTCTGATTTACATATGAATTCTCTTGTGAGGATGGTCTGGATCTCTGCGTACTTCCCAGTGCTTTCGTTGCACGCTTATCACCTCACTGAAACTAATTAGAATGGGTAGCTACTTTTCACTGCTCAGTAGCTGTGTGGTGGTGCACACCTACAATCTCTACACTCTCAAAATGGAAGCAGGATGATCAGAGCCTCAAGTTCACCTTCAGCTATGTAGGGAGTTAGAGACCACCCTCAGACCAACCTGTTTCCCCCTCCCCCCAAAAAAAAATCCTACAAAAATGATTGCTATTTCCTCACATCAAGATCTGTGAGAACAGAGACTGTGCTATTCCGCAAACATTTTTTTTTCTCCTTTTATCTTTTATCTACACCCTGTAAAGTGTCATGGCATAAGTGGCCATAAAAATCTTGCGGATTAATGATCACTACAGGGACAGCCTTAGTAGGGGTCCCTATAGCTGTGATAAAACACCAAAGCCAATAGTAACTTGGAAAGGAAAGGGTTTATTTCAGCTTACAGTTCCACATCACACTCTATTATCACTGAGGCAAGTCAGGGTGTGAATTCACATAGAACAGAAGCCTGGAGTCAGGAACTGGTGCAGAAACCATAGAGAAGTGTTGCTTACTGACTTGTTCCCCAGGACCACATGCTCAGGGCTGACACCATTCACAGTGGCTGGGCCCACCCACAACAATCACTAATTAGTAGAATACACCACACACTTGTTCACAGACCAATATGCTTGGTACATTATGTTTTCAGATGACTCGGGAGTCAGTAAAGTTGACATAAAACCACTCAGCACAGGGATCACAGGGCCTCAAGCAACCATCTCTTGCCAGTGAGGTTTTAAGGGTTAGCAGACAAACAGAGAGACATGTAGAGCTTCAGGAAGCAAAGGTCCAAAGGTAGCACCAAGACATCCCAAGTTATATCTTCCTAGCTATGTACCCAAATCTATTCTTCCATGAACTAAATACATAGAATCTTATGGGCCCCCAGCAAAATAACATAGATATGTAAAGAAATGCGTTTTTTTCCTACCTATTTATTCACCAAAAGTTTCTGACACACTATCAAATATTGTGCCTTTTGAAAATTGGGACATAGTAATTAAATGACTTGGTTTGAAGTATAATATTATAATATATTTGGATATAATAAATATATTTATTTCTATTTTATTTTATTAAATGAGATTCCTCTATCATTGAATACAGCTCTAATCTTTATGCTATTTTTTAGATGTTAATGTTTCCATTAGTCTCACAATGATTTATATTCTTTTTAATCAGAACCAGTATTTAAAGTCTAATTTGGTTATTTATATGTTATATGTTTGCCAAATCTATCTATAAATGCTCTCAAACAATATTTAGGTAGGTGGATACATGATACAAATATTTGATTTTTCCCTGTTGATTTTATAGAAAGCATAAATAAGAATTTCAGAATTCATTTTGTTTGTCATAGTTTTAATCGCCAGCAGATGGCAGTACAGTGTTTCCTTTCATGTTAAGAATGCTAGGTCATGGCCCTACTCCCTATACACACTACAAACACTAATAGAACTCAGTGGGAGCAAAAGACAGGATGTGAAGTTGGGAAGGAGACATGGTGGGGGGATCTGGAAAGAGCTGGAGAGGAATTAAGGTTACAAATGATCAAACTACAATATATACATGTATGGGATTTTCAAAGAATAAATAAAAAGCAAAAGCATTTTTCAAAGTTAGGAATAATAACAAAACAAATGTTATGCAATAAATTTCCAAAACTGCCAGGTGTTGGTGGTGGACACCTTTAATTCCAGCACTTAGGCGGCATAGGCAGGCAGATCTCTGTGAATTCCAGCCCAGCCTGGACTACAGAGCTAGTTCCAGGACACGCTCCAAAGCAATACATAGAAACCCTTTTCGAATAACAAACAAACAAAAAATTTTTTTTCAAAAACCCATAAAGCATCAATGATACTCCAATCACAACCAAAAACATTCAAATTTCCACATTGTTATGGAAAACAAGACGCATATTACCTTGTAGGCATATAAGAGTATGTCTTATTCTTAGAATTTCAAAGTTAATTTCTAGAAGTATGTGTGTCTTGGTATGTTGCTGTGGTGGTTTGAAAGAAAATGGCTCCCAAAGGCACTATTAGGAGGAGTATGAGTAGCCTTTTTGGAGAAAATGAGTTACTGTGGAGGCGAGCTTTGAGGTTTTATATATGCTCAAGACACTGCCCAGTATCTCAGTCTATTTCCTGTTGTCTGCATACCAATAAGTAGCAGCTACCTCTCCAGCACCATGTCTACCTACACACACCCATGTCCCACCATGATGATAATGAACCTCTGAACCATGATCCATGCCATGATGATAATGGACTAAACCTCTAAAACTCAAAGCTGATACCTCAATTAAATGTTTTCCTTTGTAAGAGTTGCCTTGGTCACAGTGTCTCTTCACAGCAATAGAAATCCTAACTTAGACAGTCTTTCTATATTACATCCATGGAAGCAAGTCACTTGAAGGATAAACAGACTGACAGATACAAACTGGAAGGCCTGGGCAAACAATTTAGCACTCTAGAGGGATGTTTTTGTATTGGATGCCATAACAATGGCTGTGACAAGAGGCAAAGAATTATGGAGGAGAAATATCCAACATTTTCTACATTTTTATTACATAGCACACTCGCAAGTAGACGTTTTATCTTACCCAAGAGTGGTTTTCTTTAATAACATTTTCCTTTGGAGACTTTATGAATTCCACTGTGTTTTCAAATAATAAAACTGTGAGTTAGTTATGAAATATGTATATGAAATACTAACTAAATGCTATAGTAAACTTTACAATACATTGTCCCATATAACACAACCTTGTTAAAGGTATAAAATTAGGAACTTGGGTATTTTTCCATTGCTGTGTTAAGATACCATGATGAGGGTGGCGTACAAATGAAAGGATTCAGGGGGCTTATGGTAATAGAGGGTTAGTGTATCCTTGATCATTGTGGTAGGGACCAGAGCAGCCTGGCAAGTGTGTCACTGAGATAGCAGCTGAGAACTTATATCCTGTTCCACAGTATGGGTCAGAGAGGCAGAGAGCACTAACTCGGGATGGCTTTGAAAATGTTAAAGTTAGTCCCTATGACACACCCTCTATAAAGTCACACCTCCTAATCCTTCCCAAGGAGTCCTACCCACCAAAGACCAAGTAAAACTTATATATGAACTTATGGCGGCCATTCTCACTCAAACCACCATAGGCATTAAGTGGTTAAGCTATAAGCTTACAAGAATATAATGAACAGCATCAGCATTCACATTTAACATCAGTGAAGGAATAATCTCTTTTGCATCATTTAAAGTGCTTTGAAGTTTTGTAAATGATTCACCGAGTGAAACACATATTCCTGTTTTACAAAATGAACTACATCCGTCCATTACAAAGCTGAAGTGAAGGAAAACACACAAGAAATATTCAGCCATTGTGTATATCTGACCAGTTGGAAAATTGCTGTTCAAGAAGCTTATGATTTGAACCTGTATTTTTAAGGCAACGTCCCAATAGATTGCCAACCTGGCTCGCGGCCCTGTGCTAACACTTGGAATTGTATAGCAACTGATTTATTTTGTGATGGAGAAGTGAATTGTCCAGATGGTTCAGATGAAGACACAGAGCTATGTGGTAAGGCCACCCACCTTCTGTTACTCTTCTTCATCTTTTCTCTCCTGTGACTGTACAAACACAGACACACACACACACACACACACACACACACACACATACACACATATACACATACAGGTACACATACATATGCTACACACAAAAACATGCATGCACATACATGCACAGCACACATATGCATTTACACACATGTGCATGCATTTATGTGTACACATATATGTGCACACACAGGCACACACTTATGCGTACACATTTAGTCTCATCTAGTGGAAACTAGTGAAGAGCTATCTACTCCCATATCCATATGCATAGTTTAACACAAAATCTAGTATATTATTTTTAAACTTAAATTGCATAATATTATATGTAACTAATTTTACACTTCCCCATTTGAGAGCTCTGTAAAGAATATTGTGACCAGTCACACATAACTCAGGTAGGAAGTGTCGCTCTTTTTCATCTCTCCTTTGTCTTCAGCTGCCATGATTCTTAGGAATAAGTACTAATAATATAATACCATTTCCTGATATTTCACCATCAATTGTCACTCCCCTTGGCCCTGCTTCACAGTACCAAATCAGTGAGCTTTTATTCACTTTTGCTCTTTGCTTTTCTTCTCCTCCTGTAGTTCTATAAATAGGACAAACAGTGTAGGGTAACAACTTAATAACAACAATATAAACATATATATATATATATATATATATGTATATATATAATGTTTTGTGAATCAATTTTGCTATTTGTTCTGATTGTCCTCATTTCAATTGCCTTTATTAATAAATACTTAAATAGCATAAACTACACCAAACATTAATCTAGATAATCTAAATGGAATCTCTCTTTGATTTATATTACACTACAGCTTGCTTCCACTTAGACTTACCAGAAAGAATCTTATCAAACAATGCAGTTTCATTGCAACCTATCATCATGTAAGTGTAAATTCAGGTTGTAAGAATTGAAAAGTACCGTTAACTTAAGTCTAACCTATAATTCATTTTTGAACACTTAAAGAGAAGTCTGAATTAATACTGTTTTGGTTTGGTCCATAATCACCGTTTGATTTATTGCTGATTTTTTCAGAGATGCTCTGAGCTTGAGCTCATAGTTATCATGCTTCTGTCTACGGCTCCTTAGTGCTAAGGTTATGACCAAATGTGTAGTACTAGTCAACTTGACAAAGCATGTACAGTGATGGTGAACACGTCTGTTGGAGTGCTTTAAGGCTGCAATTTCCTTGACTCTTACCACTGTGCTCTCCTATTCCTTGACATTAATTCAATATGGAGATTTGAATGCAGAACCAAATTAGGAAAATTACCTATCCACCAGTTCTATACTTCATAGGACAGGCATTGGGTCTGTTTCATAGCAACAACTCAAAAAATAGCAACTACACTTGACATTCTTCTACTCAGAAATCCCAATTCAAGTGTTCTTGGATAAACGTGAAGCATACAGAGTTGAGCTATGCACTTTGAAGTTCACTTGTCATATACGGGAAGAAAGTGCAGCTTATAGAATATTTTTAATTTATTTTCTATAACTAAGCTGATCAAAACAGAAAATGTTTTTTTCTGGCATTTTCCAAAACCTTTCCCAAGAGAATATAATCCAAATGTGCCATCGAGAGAAAACAAAGGTGATTCTGATTTTTGTTTCTAAAACAATAATCCATATCAAAGTCATATAGCTTTAAACCTATGTACTGATGATTAACAACTTTAAAGATAGGAGATGATGTAACATTAAACAAATCAAATAATTTGAAAATGTGTCTCACTTACTGTTTGTCCTTTAACCTCAATGAGTTCATCATTTTCAAAGTAAGTTGATAATGATTCATATAAAAAATTAACCATAAGACTAATAATGTAAGGATGACAAATTATCTGCAAATAAGTTTTAAATTAATAAATTATTTTTTCTGAGTCACAAGATGAGCCTCAGCATCTACATTAAATGTCTGCCTTTGCTTTAAAAACATAGTGATCTGCTTGATATTTTTTCAGTATGTGGTGTCTTTGTACTTATCAAACCTTAGGGTCACCCCTTTTCACAAAACTCAAGTCTTAAGTTCTTGTTCATTTATTGTCTCCATTCCTCTATATGTCTTATAAAGTTTGCATTGTATTTATTTCTCAAAAAATAGTTTGAAATCATTGTTTATCCAAGGTAGGAGGAAAATCAATCAACGAGCTGTGTTCAGGCAGCGGGTGTTTCAGAACACAGCTGATCTTATTCATTTTAATCAGTGGGAGCAGTGAACCCCAGAGCCCCAAACATCCCTTCAGCACCAACTCCAGAATCTAGCAGCAGGACACCGCCTCAAAGTCCTCATGCATCAATCCATACTCAGAGAAAAAAATGTGTAAGCTAATTTAGGAATTTTCTCTGTAAGATATTGACCTTTGATCTCTCTCTTATTTATTGATTTTACCCCAGCTGTGAGCTCTAATTCTAGCTTGTGTTATTAATAGAGCCATATTAATGATGGCTTCTGTACCAAGTTTCTGTATTTAGTGCTTAGTTATTTGGGTTTATACAATGTATAGCTGAGTATAGCTAAAATAAGATTTCCTTAATTTGTGTTTCTCCTCTGATTAGCATTGCAAGTGCAAGAAAGTTTGCTTTGTAGCTGACCTATGTGGGGAAATGAGGCTGACTAGCCCAAAGTGCAACATTGTCCCCAAGCTGGCAACTGTTCTTGTGGTTTGCATGCTCAGATGCATGTGTGTGATACGCTTTGGTGTGTCTTCATAGATCATGTTTAACTCATGTGTCTTGGAGAATTCAATGCTCGAAAAAACAAAATGGGTAAATATCAAGCCAGCAGAGCAACCTTGTGGTGGGCTTCAAGTGCATGTCATTGGGGTGGCTTCATGAATGTGGCAAAGGTGACTGGTGGCTAACAGGATAGCTACTTGTTTCCCATCTAGCATTTCTTCTAGTGCTCTTCTAGGAGGCTCTCAGCAGGTCACAGATTCACGATTCCAAATAACCTACTCACTCATAGCTGAGATATGTTGTATAATTCTTTTTAACCCTGAGAAACGATCTTTGCTTCACTGTCAGATATAAAGTTGCCTTTCTCACAGGCTCCCTGGAAAGAATCTACCTGAAGCTACCCACCCAATCCTCCATCTTTACTGGATATTTTTGGCATCCCGAATATGATTATATATTCAACCGCTTTCAGGGATTTGTATACCTTTGTTTATACTCAGTAACAGCCAGGGTCCATTTACATCAGGCTAAGATAGAGATTATTCACTGGCAATGAAAATGTAAAGATCCTAAAAAAAAGTAGGCAAACAAATTAATCATATTCTATAGAACAGGCTAGACACTGTGATACAAAACTTCCTAGCCTCTTAAGACGAGGATTGTCCCCTGAAAGCGGTCACAGAAACTTGCCTAGGTGGTAAGGATGCCTCCTGTCTGTCACCCTCCCTTACTCGGCTCTTTCATAAACTGTTAACAGGCAGGGGGACATTTGGAAATAGACACAATTTGTTGAATAGCTGATTAAGCAACCCAGTCACATGACTCCATATGACTGCAAGTACAGACATCGGAGGAAGTACAGACAAATCTTTTGTTCCTGAAAGCGCTGCAAGAGAGTCCAACAAACACAGAATACTCTCAACACTTTAAAAACTATGAATCTCATTGTACAACAAGACACTGTTGATTCCTTTCCTCTAGAGAAATGTCAGAAATAAACCTGGGGAAATGGGTAAATTCACCAGCAGAGTAAATGGCTATTACAAATATCTAGTCTTCGGTTTTCTCCTCCTTTTCATTTCATTCCTTTCCATTTTTGATACTGCTGCTGACATGGTATGAACTAGTGTTTCAGAACATTGCAAAAGATGGAAATTTATAATTTACTTTTGCCTGTGTAACGCATATGGTCATGGGAACTGCAGATAGAAGCATCCAGAGAATGGGGTGTGCTGTGAATATTGTTATGAACCAAGAGACCTTGGTTCATATCCTATTAATCACTCCTATTCCAAAACTGCTTATATCTAACATTACCTGACATATTCACACAGCCACAGCTTGTGATGGAAGATTTTTGTTGATGGGAAATTCTGGGTCTTTCCAAGCTGATCATTACCCAAACAATGGGTCAGCTGTTGTTTGCCGCTGGATCATCAGGTAAGAGATCATTGTCTATGTCCTGATCTTTAGTATGAGAGTCCTCCAACATAATATACTCCTTTCTACAGTATGTTTAAAATAGTTACAATTTTCATTAACTACCAACTGATAGATTGTATCAAAACTCCTCTTTCTATCTTAAACTTACAAAGAACTCTGTACCAAGAAAAATTTTGTCTAAGATATTTCTAATAGAAGCAGTTTCACTGGAATCTTAAGTACCACCTCAAAACAAATTTTAGACATCATTGTCAGACTTAACTGAGAAAATTAAATAATTTAACCTTTGTCTTTTTAAAATTAGTTGCTACATGTCTTCCCCCCTCCCAAAGATCAAAGCACAAATTTTCTGCAGACTTATAAATTTATTCCCACAACATAATAACTCAGCCACACTGAAACTTTGCAATCAACCCCATCTTATTTCTTGCTATAAACTACCACTCGAAGTTACTAGATAGTGTACACAAATATTAGAGAATATAAGACTGAGTCAATGGATCTGATTTAAAGTCACAAATTTTCTGGTTAATAGGACAGCAAGTATGTGTCTAACATTACACTGATACTGTTAATATTACATGAAGTGAAAAAGGGAATGTGGAATGTACATATTTTGGGATATCTTTATTTGGCCACAGAAAAGGAAGAGTTTCCTATCCAAGTTTCATGATTGAAACTTGAGACCACTAAATGAAATAAACTAACTATGCAAGATAAATCATTCATAATTTCAATTAAGTGAAAGAAGTAGATTAATGTTATTGGGGCCAGAAGGGCAGAGCATTGGTCTTGTTTAATGAATGCACGGCTTCAATTGTGCTAGATGACAAGATCCTAAATATGTATGTTCTGGTAGTAGTTACAGGACTGGGTTGTGTGGTTAAATTTATAGTATGGCTTACCCTATATGCTTTGTCACAGAATAGAAAATACAATCAAATTTTAGAATATACTGAGATTTATCACAGCTTAAGAACTTTTATCCTTTTTTATCTTTTAATTTAGTGTAAATGGAGGACTTTCCATAAGAATCAGCTTTGGATCTTTTATTTCACATTATACAGATGTGTTAGATATTTATGAAGGTGTAGGACCCAGCAAAATTTTAAGAGGTAAGTTAAAACAAACATATATAATTGACTATAACAATGAAAATAAACAGGAAGCCATGAGTAGGATAGTTTCTCTTTGAATTCTGATCAGAATATTAAGTTGAGCTTCAAGTCACTAAAATTAAGATGGCTGTCATTGTCAAAATTAGGAAATGAGTATTGTATGTTGTCTATTTGCAATAAAACTAGTGTATTTTAAATGGTGTGAAATTAATGACTTTAAAATCAGGTGTCATTCATTCACTGTTTAAATGTTGACGCTATTCTTAAAAATCAAATAACCCTTAATATTGCATTATCTTTTTTTCATAACACTACATAGAACAATTTGTCATTAGTGTGTAGACAGTGATGGAGCTGGGAAAAGGCAGGATTCGACTAGAGGTCCACACTAGACCCATAGTCTACATTCCAGTTTGCTTAAATTGCATAGCTTGATCCCCACTGACAATGAAATTGGAAGAAAAGTTCCAGAGGAACTTAAGTAAGAATGAAGAAAGCTACATGGAATAGAACACAAGAGTAGCCAACTTTCCTCACAGCTGTCAGGGAAATGTCAGGGAAAATAAGTTTCAAACAATTCTTCATATCAAAGATTAATGATCTCACCTTGGAATTGTATGAAAGATGGAAAATGATTTGATCTCGAAATGGCTTTGATTGATGTTAAGTATTTAAGCATATTCCAAAGATGCATACTTTATTGTATATTGTTGATCTAATAACGTACTGGATAATCTGTATAGAACCTCTTATTTAGTATTGTTAAATATGACTGTAAAATACACATTACAGAAGAGTAAAGAGAGATAAAGGAGAAGAAATTAAGTTCAGAGAGATAATGTTAGAGGCAGAAGTCAACACAAAATTTGAATTATGCACAGTGCTCTAGCAGTCCAAAAGTAGCATGGTAATGAGGATGCCTGCAACACATGAGATCATATGTTCACATTCCCTTAAACAAATGAAACACACAGCTGATACTCTGTCCCTGCAGTTTAAAACTGCAGTTCTTTTTTGTTGTTGTTCTTTTGTTTTTTGAGACAGTGTTTCTCTGTGTGACAATCCTGGCTGTCCTGGAACTCACTTTATAGAGCAGGGTGGCCTCAGACTCACAAAGATCCACCTACTACTGCCTCCACAGTGCTGGGATTAAAGGAATGTGCCACCACAGAGGAAGAATAGATGGGGTAAAGGGGAGGGGGGAAGAAGGGAGGGCAGAGGGGAGAGGAGGAGAGGAGGGAATAGAAACTGTGGTTGGTATGTAAAATAATAATAATAATAATAATAATAATAATAATAATACAATAAAAACAAAACAGTAACAAAATATCTGCAGTTCCTTGACATAAAGATTGACATACTGCAGATGGTTAAATACTGTGGCTGAAATGAGTATCACCAAATAACCACGTGCAGTGTGTAAATCAGTTTCAGTCATCTCAATAAGTGCCTCCTAATTAATATGAACCGAAATAAAATACATCATGCTGATGATCAAATCTAACTCTACATAGATGCAAATGTTTTATGTTCAATTACTCTTAAAATACCTAGTTTTATATTATTGTATTTTCATATATTTAGTTTTGCAGTTAAGCAATAAGCAAGCATTGAGGTAATTAGGCATGTGGATGTCATAAGACAAAACTAATTATTATAATAATGTTATATGAAGCTAATAGTCACAGAGAAAATGAGTTTATGAAAACTCATTTAAATTATAACAGTCAGTTAAAGATTTCACACAAAACATTTCAAATTAAATATATAAATATGCCAATCTTAACAAGAAAAAAATTAGAAAGGTCACTTAAAATTAAAGCACTATTAAATAATGACAATGATGTCTCTAATATTTAGCATGTGGATTTAATTATAAAAACAAGGGATTTCTATATTTAAACTTAAACTAGAGGGTTTACATTCTTATACTGTGATGATATACCATATAATAGTGGATGCCAGCTGTATTTGCAATAACTTTATATGTATTTTTATTGAAAGGCAGCTAATAACTTTGTTTTAATTTAAAGAACATGTTTTCAAAACTTCTTTTTAAATGTTCTTTTAAGAGATGCTTACCAGATAGTTGTCATTAAAGTCTAATTCAGAATATATAGCAGAAACACAGTTTTTATTTTATCATAATGGAAAAATATGTATTTGTCTTTCATATATATATATATATATATACATGATTTTTTTCTTATTTTACATATATATACTTCTTAAATTTCTTAAATCTGGGATAATTACCCTAAAAAATTATAAGGAAAGAAGATTCTCCAGTGACACAAAATAATTGTTATAAACCCTACTAAGGTGGTCAAAACAGGTAAATTCCAGAGGTATTTGCCACTAGCTTTTAGATAGTTCTTCATAGATTGCCAAGAAATTAAGTCAAAATATCTTGTCCCTTAGGTCCTATTCATGAAGACATGATCTTAATTCAGTGATATTAATAAATGTCAGCATTGAGATAGGTTTGGACTGTGAACAGTGGCTCCTTTTCATAATTGCCTAAAATAACGTGTAACTTTGGAGGTGCTACGGTGAGCCAAGACCTCTGCTATATGCTGAGTAAAGGGTTCTGTCTGAACTACATTCTCAGCTCTGTTGTCTTTAACTTTGAAACATGGTCTCACAATGTTTCCTGGGCTAGTTTTACTCACCTTGTACCAGCAGAATGCCTTGGACTTACAATCCTCCTGCTTTGTTCACCGAAGTAGCTGGGCATCTGGGCAACAGTTCTGCTTCACCAGACTTTGCCAGGAACGATTTGCCTTCTTAAAGACATGTCATAAACATGGCCTGAAAAAAACACATGAAAACAAGTTTTTAAATGTCATGTCCTGCAGTAAGTCTCACTCCCATAGGGCAGTAAAGCTCACAAGTGCATGGTAAATACTGTAGCTTTCATCGATACACTTTTTCTACATACAAAAGTATCCATTCATTCACTTCTGTTAATAGTGAGAATTTATAGGGGAAAAAAAAGTTTGTTGCTAATTTAAGAAGTTGCTTCAGTCCACAACTGATTAAAAAAAAAATCACCTCACAAGACTGCCTGGAAAAATTGAGAAGACTTTCCTGATTATTTCCATCACATTTTTTACCAGTTTTTTTAAAAATATTAATGGAAATGTCTGGATTTTTCTAATAAGGCGTCTAGTTATTTCTCCATATCATCAATGTGTGGCCCTGTACTGAATTCATAGTTGGCACTGAAGGCTACATGGTGGGCATCTTTGAAGTCTTCTCCATCATAAACTGATGCTCTAAAACAGCCAGAATTTTTCTTATTTAAATAAAAGATAGTAAATGTCTTTTATAACATCTGTTGAAACCCAGTCAATAGAATATCTGCCATTTCTATATTTTGGTCTCTTTCTAAAGACCCTTTCATAATTTTTCTCTGCATTTTTATCATGTTTCTTTGCACACTTCTTTCACTAAAATTACTCTCCAGAGTTACTTCTTTTAGGAAACAAATGATTATTTGATCAATGAAAACTATGTAATCATATTAAATTAATATCCACATAATTGGGTCATTGCTGAAAATTATACTAATGCTTTTAATGTAATATTGCAGAAAATCCAGTTTTTAATATTATTAGGTATATTTTTTTCTTTCCATAAATCTTCATGTACTTTAGGAATATCCATAGCTTATTACATATGCTTAATCATCAACTAAAATGTGCTCATGATAGGTCCCTGTGGCAGAGACACACAAAAATTAAACCATAAGCCTTACTTTATTGGGACTTAAAAATCTAATTGCTGCCAGGAGGTGGTGGCGTATGCCTTTAATCCCAGCACTCAGGAAGCAGAGGCAGGATGATCTCTGTGAGATTGAGACCATCCTGGTCTACAAGAGCTAGCTATTTCCAGGACAGGCTCCAAAGCCACGGAGAAACCTTGTCTCGAGAGAACAAAAAAGCCAACAAACAAACAAAAAAATCTAATTGCTGAGGTAAGGAAACGATATCACCCATTGAGCATTTACTAGGTGCTAACCGCCATTCCACACGGAAATCGTTTAGTTATCCCTTAGAAGATTTCACAAATAAGCAATGCCTTACATCAAAGTAAATGGGGACAAAAAGACATGGAGTGGAATTAAATTCAGCTTTTTCTCCAGAGCCTAGATCTTGTGTCTCAGCCTTCTGGTTCCCCTTTGTACCTTTTTGTACGTAGCATACCATCTGGCACTGAGGTTCTGATTCCTTTCGAGGTCAACAGAGTGCTCTGATATAATTAATGCTTCATGGAATCTCTGTTGATTAACACTCTGCACTTTTGCCAGAGGCTTGCATGCATACCAAAAGCAGGTTAATGGGCTTCATGACCTGAACTCTACACCAGATCCTCCCTACTTGCAAATGTGGAATACACTGTCAAATACACTGTGATGTCCCAACCCTCATTTGATCCTCCAGAAGCCACTGGGTATAACACTTTTAATGTACAGGAAATGAACATGGTGAGAGGAGAGGTTAGGCTTAAAGCAAAGCTTGTACAGTATATCTCTAGAGTGATTGCAGAAGGTTTTCAATTTAAAAATCATGTTGGCTATGAGTCAGATACCCTGCAAGATCAAAGAGCCAACGTAAGTCTTCATGAGCAAAAGTTGAGTAAAAGACACACTGTGGATGGAACATTAATACACGGCTCAGTGTTTGGTCATGATGATTCCACTGGGCTTTGTTGAAATTGCCATGCTAATGTTAAATTGTGCTAATTTATAGAGAAGTACATATGTTTTCAATATTCCGTGATTTATTTCTTTACAAGAAAATAAATGGCAATGATCTGCCCTTGCTCCATCTGAAGTTTGACACTTTCAAAGGCCCGAATTTGATACATGCTCCAGATGGCCCATCTGAAATATGTGCCTTTGTGTACCTGAACATTGCACATTTAAATTTGTGGGCCTTCCCCCATATAACCCAATTCTGATTCTCCTAAAAGTGAAATTACTACCTTTGATGACAGACATGTTAAGCTGCACATTGTTGTTGTAAAACCATTTCATGTGTTGATAATTTTATAAATTATGTGAGTTCAATTAATTCAACAAGCATATCCATCCTTGGGAAATAAAAGTGAGAAAATCTTCTATGGGTGGTAGAGTTAATGAAGAGCAATAATATAATCAGTATAAATGGCATAGAAGTAATTCTTACATGATAATAATAATAATAAAATTACTATTATTATTTTGAGTTTTTACTACTTTATTAGCAAGCAGACCAAAAGAATACACTATTGACTATGAAGACCCTGCTCTAGCTCTCACTATTGTGACATGGGACACAAATTTAACCTTTAGCCCTATAACTTCTCAACTTATAGCCTTCAGAGGCACATACTTGGCAAAGTAATTCATCTTTTCCTTTCATGGATAGGATATACTCGTAGAATATAATCATTTGTCAACATTTTCTTTCATAGCCTCTTTTGTGGAAACGGATCCTGGGACAATTCGAATTTTCTCCAACCTAGTGACAGTCACCTTCCTGATACAATCTGATGAAAGTGATTTTATTGGCTTCAGTGCCTCCTACAGCACCTTTAACAGCAGCACCCTCAGCAGTAAGTGCTTTCTACTGTTCAGCCTATGGCTGTGGTTGTATTTTAACATCAGCAGAACCTACACTTTTCTCTAGTGAGCTCTTTCTAGCTCTTAACTAATCCCCTCTTTGCTTTATAGTTAGAATCAAACAATATATGAAAAGTAGTTTATAGTCTTCTGAGGAAGCAGATGACCAGCTTCAAAAAAATATCACAAGTCGATCTAAAAATTTCATTATTTTTTAATATTCAGAAAATAAATGTTACAAGCGACAGGAGCAGGGGGGAGTATATGTGGCAAATAGTGGAATCAACATAAAAAATAAACAATAAAAGTCTGTTAAAGCCCAGTACTCTAAGAAACATAACAATTTGTCATGGTTGAAACTTATGCCATGTGTTGTAACTTAAATAAAATAAAATTGAAAAATAAGTAAAACTAATCATAGTGAAGATTAGTAAAATAGAATGGCTTGATGCACAACAAACAAGCAATTAAAAACTACATAAAGTTGGACTCTTACATTTAATTCATTGAAATTGCTCATGTTAAATATTAAATTTGTGGGTTTTTTAAATTCACAGATTACGAGAAAATCAGCTGCACTTTTGATGATGGCTTTTGCTTCTGGACCCAGGATCTCAATGATGATAATGAGTGGGAAAGGATTCAAGGGCCACAGTTTCCTCTCTTCCCTGGACCACCTTTTGACCACACATTTGGAAATGAATCAGGTTTGATTTACATTTATCCATAAAGCAAACCATAAAAGCATGTACTATTATTTCATTTTAATGGACCTTCATTAATTGAAAAAATTATATTTTCCTATTAGCTAATAATTATATTTAAGATAAAAATGGTAATCAAATATCTAACAATACGTGACCAGTTTCTAAAACACATACTATTTTACTCTTTTACCCAGATATGATGATGGAGAGTAATCAAAGGACATTAGAGATAAGGAAATTAACTTGTAACCATAGCTTTGAAATGATTCATTAGTAAGTGGACTCATATAAGTTAACTGACTCTTCTGACCACTAGTCTGTCTTGCCTCAAGTTCATTTTTCAGTTATTCACTGTGAATACACAGAAATGTAATCTAGTTTTGTATACTGGTCCAGCGCTCATATTCTTGCTCATAGTCTTGTTCATTGGTTCAGATAGTGTTGTTTTAAAAACACCTTAGAATTTGAGTGTACAAATCCTATCAAAACAGATATAGATATTCTTCTGGTAACCATAGTAAGAGTAACTTGAGAGTATAGACCCCAGGGGCAATCTGTGATATGTAAAGATATCTTCCTGTGAAGAAAATGCTAGATTCCATGTAAAAACACTAATGTAGGGACAATAAAATTTGACTAAGTAGAAAAGATAGCGCTAAGTTATTATTCTGGGATGATACTACTGAGATACTAGAAGTAACACATCTGTAAGACTAATAAACTCTGTGAATAAAGGTTACAACTTAGTAAGAATCATAGTCACATTAGAGTGTGTGTGCTTGTGTGTGTGTGTTTATGAGTGCATGTGTATGTATGCAGTGTGCATGTGCGTTTATAATGCACATGTATGAATATATGTCTATGTGTGCATGTATGTGTGTATGTGCATTCATGGGTGTGTTTATCTATGTATGTGTATGCATCTATGTGTACATGTGTATACATGTATATATGTGTATGTATATGAGTGTATGCATATGTGTGTTTATGTGTGTATATAGGTGTATATGTGTGTGTGTGTGTGTGTTTATACCTATTAAGAAACAAATTCATTCTGTGAAATGACTTGTCAACATCCCTGATAAAACACAGTGCCAAGAATCTCACACCAACACTGCAGTATTCAGGGATTGAAGACACATGCCACATGTCAAAGTTTGCGTGCAATTTTGAGACCTCTGTGTGAACCCATCTTTTCACTCAACACTGTGTGCTGACTTACCACAACATTCCTTCAGGTGACAAGAACCTAGTCATCTTAGTTATGATGTAACCAGTATGTAAAGCTATTTTGAATGTAGTAATGTATGTCCACACCCCTGACTCAATTACCCATTTCTGAATAATTTATCCAATAAACCATTATAGCACTAAAAATCTAAGCACATGTACACTGTAATTTCCTTTTAATGACCTGAAAAAGCAAGTGGTAGACTTAATGTGAACTGTGACTGATATACAGCAAAAGGATGTTGAAAATTTAGTGTTTTTAAAGATAGAAGCTTATTTGACTCTGGTTCTTTAAACAGAAACATCCTGATAATAGAAAATACGATTTATTAACCTGACTGTATTTAATGCATTTTCACAGCAATCACAAAAGCTACCTTTTATTTTTTTTTTTCTTTTACTCATTTTTGACACCTAAGTCATATAAAGATGCTCATAATACATATGGGGATTAAAAATAAAAACATATTTTCTGGTTTCAAAGATCACATGTTCTATTCAAATTTTTGAAAATAATAAGCAGCTGCAGTTGCAAGAAGAGTAATTTTGGTACATGTGTATGAAAAACCTGAAAAAGTATAAAGCTTTGGAAGTAGAATTAGGACAGAGAGTGCTAATTAATACAAGACAATTACTTTAGATGTCAGTGAAGGAGTGACATGAACCAAATTTCTAGGGGATCACAGGAGGCAGCTGCACATGTACTAGACAGAGGGAGCAAAGACAGCTAAGAGAAGAGATTGTTGGTCCCTTTGAGAAAAATCCATTAACCCGCGAGGCTGGGATGCAGTGGGGTGGGCAGTGAGGCTCCTTGTCTATGAGGAAAAGCCATTAGGCCTGTTAGGCTGGTGTTGTGTGTTGCTGTGCAGCTGGGTGTCTGGCCCCTGTTGTCCTTCCTTCCTTCCTTGCTCCTGTCCTTATTCTCTCCTGCTCTTCTCCTCTTGCTCCTTCTTCCTTCCCAGACTTTTCCTTCAACACATTCTCTCTGCCTTCCAGGCCTGCCTATCCTTTCCCCTCCCTTGCTGTTGGCCATTCGGCTCTTTATTAGACCATCAGGTGTTTTAGACAGGCAAAGTAACACAACCTCACAGAGTTAGACAAATGCAGCGTAAAAGGACGTAGCACACCTTTGCATCATTAAAGCAAATGTTCTACAGCATACGCAAATGTAACACACCTTAAAATAATTTTCCACAACAGGCTGGGATGCAGTAGGATGAACAGTGAGGTGTTTCTGATGTTGGCTGTCTATGGTGCTATATTTCATGCTGAGGATAAGGAGGAACTGACTTAAGGTCCAGCACAGGGAAGTGTTAGGGTGCATGCTAACTAAGAGGACCAGCACAGGACCATCAGTTCCACACTGTCCACTGACCCTGAGAAGGGGTCACGGGACTTGAATCAGAGAGCAAAAGTGGTGAGAAGTTAGATTTTTGACTGTAATTTAAAAGAAAAATTAGTTATAATTACTTATCATTAGTTATTAATAACTAATAGCTATTAATTTAAAACAAAACATTACATACCATTATAGACATATGCATACTAATGTGTTCTGCACAGATGGCTACTTCCATAAGACCAATGGTATTTAATATTGAAAATGATGACTTATGAGTGATTTCACATGGTTAAACTACTAAATCACCCAGATGAAGACTACCCCTTAGGCTGATAATCACCTTTGCCCTAAAAAGACATCCTGAGACATCCAAATAACAGGTGATGATATCTATACCACATTTAAACAATAGGAGCTAGATGAATGCTCAAGAAAACAGTAGTGCTTATTGACTACGGCAGATGTGTTATGCAGTTGAAATTCTTGATGTTAAAACGATCATTTTCCTACTTTTGTGTCATCCCAATAAAGATAAAAATCATGTCAGTGCTATTTTAAAGTGTCTAAGTGCATTGCAGGAGGGGGAAATGATTCCAGCGTGCCAGCAGAATAAATGACTAAAGAAACCAGATGAAAATGGCCAGAGTGAAGTGGGATGAGTGTCCGACAGAAACCTTAAATGCTTGGGAGGGAAATGGAGTCTCGCGAGAAAGGTATGTAGCAGGAGTTATGAAAATTAGACAAGAGCAAGCAGGTCAGAGCGCAGTAAGTAATGAGGGCGACGGTAGGGCATAATGTCTCTCTGACTCTCCTAGCTGTGATTTCATAATCTACCAGTCATTCACCTCCAGGGGTATTTTTCTTCCAACTGGCTTTTTTTTTTTTTTAATGTGTCAGAACATTGTACCTCTGAAATGCAAGCCAATTAAACCTCTCCTGCCGTTCTTCTTATCTACGCAGGGTGCTTTTGTTCTTAGCCTTCACTTTAAATGACACGGGAGCATAAATGGAACAGATAAACTTTGAATTAGCATCACGTTAGGAAAGAACATCTAAGTGCTCAACTTTTTCCACGTCTTCTAAAGAACTCACTTTTGGGGGAGCCTCTGCTCCTCAATCTTTGCCCTGCCAGCTCTCAGAAAGTCTCTGTACCTCTTAAAAGTAAAGGGAATTGGAAGGTGGTGACATTGATGCAGGGCAATGCTTTGGCATGCTAAAAGAGGGACTGTTCGCTCTGAACATCAGGGGCAAATGAGGTTATGAGCATTTAAAAAAAAAAAAAGACTTTGCAAATGGAGGAGTCACAATGGGTTAGGTGGTCTTAGGTTCCTTTTCTCCTCTTTTCAACACAATGCCAATTGCTTCCTTCCTTCCTTTCTTTTTCTCCCATCCACATATAATTATTTATTTTATTTTATCATTATTTTCTTATTTTACATATCGATCCCAGTTCCCTCTCACTCCCTTCCTCCCTTGCTTCCGACCCCTCCCTCATCCCATCTCCCCCACCCCATCCAACCCCCCTGCACTGCACAGGGAGGGTGATGTCTTCCAGGAGGAATCATCAAAATCTGCCAAGTCATTTGAAGTAGGGACTAGGCCCTCCCCTTGCCTCTAGGCTAAGGGAGTATCCCTCCATGGGGAATGTGCTCCCAAAGTCCTTTCCTGCACCAAGGATACATCCTGGTTCCACTGTCAGAAGTACCTTAGACTGCCCAAGCCTTCTAACTGAGACCCACATTCAGGGGATCTGAGTCTGTAAGAGAAAACTGACTCTAGAGAAATGTCCAGAGACCTACAAGGGTGATCCCAACTAACAATTTGAGCAACAATGGAAAGGCTACCTTAAATGCCCTTCCCTGATAATAAGATTGATAACTAACTTATCTGCCATCATAGAGCCCTCATCTAGTAGCTGATGGAAACAAAAGCAGACATCCACAGCTAAACACTGAGCCGAACTCCTGGAATCCAGTTGTAGAAAGGGAGGAGTGATAACAAAAGGAGTCAATGCCAGGCTGGAGAAACCCACAGAGACGCCAATTGTTTTCAATGCTGTGAAAGGTAGCACTGCATAGAATGGAAATCATTAAAATTAAGACACTGACGTCTTAGCTAGAGCAAAATTTTATTGCTCCCTCCTCCATTTAGGTAAATTATTTTTCTTCTCCATGCCAATTCCTTTCTTTAGAAAATATGATTGATAATAATAATAGTTGAATGTTTAAGATTTATAAACATTCAATTCATCTCTATGTTCTAGAAACATCAGGAAAATACCGCCAGGTATGTTCTAGAAACATCAGGAAAAAAGAGTGCCATATGATGCTAAAACTATTTTCTTTCCATGACTCATAAGTATTCAAGAGATAACACTTGTCCATGATTCTGTTATAAGTTTCTGTCTGGGAAGAAAACAGATGTCTGGCTAATATATATATGTGTGTGTGTGTGTGTGTGTGTGTGTGTGTGTATGTTTGTGTATGTCTATATATGTGTGTGTGTGTGCACATATATATGTGTATATGTATACATATATAATTTATTATTATTTTATATATCTGCATTTCAACTTAGCTAATTACTTTCTTAGTGTAATTTATATTTTTTAAAGTAGTATTCTTCCCATTTGTCTATTCTTTCTTGCTATATTAAATTTTAGAAAATAATATTACATTATCATACTTAAAGAAACTAAATTTAAAACAGTCTTTTTACTAAAACTTTCAGTAATATTTATCTAGTAGATTCAGCTATCGTATACCCATCCTAAGACTCACAAAGCCATTTAAGTCAACCTAGCGTCTTCTTGAAACAGGCCTCCAGTTTTCTAGAACACATTATCTCCCTGGGCTGTGATGTCTACATGAGCACCAATGTATGCCCAGAATTTATGGTTTTAATTGGGGTGTTGGCTGGAGAGAGTTTAAATTCAGTCCAGGGAGGAACAAACAGAAAAGATGTCAGAAGGAAGATGAAAGAAAAGTCTAATGACTAGAGAAAAAGTTCCTTGTGTGCTTGAATTAGCAAAATTTACTTAGTTTTCTGGCTTTAATCTTACTTTAAGTTAATTTCAAGAGATCTAAAATGCATCTCAAGAAAATTAAAGAATTTAAAAGGTTATCAATTAGCCATAGAACTCCTGTAAGGTGGTGTAAAATATCTGATGAGTCATTTCTTCTAGGACTTTAAAATGTGAATTCAAGTCAAATTGACATGACAATATATTAAACAACATGTACCTTACCCAAATGGAAAATACAAAAATTATCAAGATATTACTAATTTTCCCCAAATTCTTTAATAAGTACAATAAGTATATACTACAGGCCTAGGGAACTAGTTTAATGGGTAAAGTGTTCACCAGGCAAAAAGAAGGCCCTGAACTAGATTCCCTAGCACTTTTGTAAAAAGCCTGGGTAGGCACAAAAAAAAAAAAAAAAAAAAAACCATGGAAACCACTAGCCTGGCTCATGGGAGCAGAGTCTGAACCAACAACCAGGGAACTTGCATGGGACCAACTAAGGCACTCTGATATATGTGACAGTTGTATAGTTTCTTCTGTCTGTGGGACTCCTGGTCTTGGGAGCAGGGCTGTCCCTGGTGATTTGACTGGCTCTGGGGAACCTATTCCTCATCCTGGGTTGCCTGGCCCAGCCTTAATACAGGGGGAGGTGCTTGGTCTTACAGCAGCATGATATGCCATGCTTTGCTGATGCCCATGGGAGGCCTGTCGGAGTGCACCTGTCTGAGTGATTTGAGAGAAATGCAGAGGACAAGAGAGGAAGAAAGTAGAAGAGGAGGGAGGATAGACTATGGTTGGGATGTAAAATTATCTAATGAGTTAATGAAGTAAATTCATGTACCAATTGTACAGCTCTAATATATATTACCACTAAATGACTGAATTATAGATTTAGAACTTTGCACATGGTAAGTAGGTAGACTGACTGTGATGGTTGAACATGCTAAGAAATGCCAACACCATGTGTGCTTCTAGTACACAAAAAACAACTAACTTGGAAAATTTCAGAGCACTTAGACCACCTCAGCATGTATTTCTTTCTTCTCATGCCCTAAGTAACTAAAAGCAGGAGAATTCAAAATGGATTTGCTTGTGGGCTCTTAGACAATAGGTGCTGGGAGTTGTGCTTTGACTCTGAAGCTGATCTTTTACATAGCTTTGTACACATGAGAGCAGACACAGCTAAAGTATTCATGAAATAGTACAACACATATAAACTGCGAGTAATCTGTTACTAGTATAAACTGTTAAACACATTTATTTCGTCATGCATTTTCTAATATAAAACTAATGTGTGTGCATATATTACATTTATGAGCCATTAAGCATGATCTCACCTTGATAGAACGCTCATATATTCTGAACAATTTTTGCCTCATTGGTCTAAATTTGTGTTTATAAGCAGTTCTACTTGTATTTATCTTCTTCATATCTTATTCTTACTCTGCATATTACAAATGAATGAGATTGCATTTTATAGGCAACATTATCTATATTTTTCTCTTGGAAGGTACAGGAGTGAAGATGTTGATTTCAAGCAAACATTTTTGAGTAGTTCAGAAAAATATGCACGGGAATCAAATTCTATTAGTCCTATATTTCATTTACTTTGTAGCAAAGTTTGCTGCATGATTCCTGCTTCTGTCTTAATATATGAGTTTCCAGCTAAGAATGCAGTAAATTCCCACAAGAGAATGTGCAAAGTATTCTTACCTAACTGTACTTCGCACACTTGGAATGAGTCAAATCATTGGCTCGAATAATGAAATCTAGACCTGAAAGCACTTATGCAGTATCTTGTGCTATTTCAAAAGCTTTTATATGGATTAGCATGCTGCCCGCTCCACAGTGATCTGATTAGTTATCATTCAGAGGAATACAGAAATACAAAACCCTTATAAAACCAGGCATCTTCTTATGTAAAGATATGCAGTGCAGTCAATGGGCTATAAAACCCATTGTTCTTTGGAACATTTAGCCTTGTCATCAAATGTATGCTTAAATAATTGTATATCCCTTGAGTTAACCAATCAGTATATCTAGATACAATCAGCCATGTGCTGATTACCTTTCAAGCTGTGAGTTTATCAAGATGTATAGAAAAATAGAATTAAAGTGAGAAGCCCAAAGTTGAGTGAACTTCCTAAACAATTTATTATGATGAAGTCAATCATTCTGGACTCAAGTCTGGTGCCTCATCCAATGTGCAAAAATGCATGTCCTAATGCTTCATCTTAAATAAGTGCCTACTTTAATCAACTAAAATCCATGGTTGTCTTTACAGGATTTTGCATTTCTACACCAACTGACCAAGGATGGAGAACAGAAAGAATGGGGCTTTCAAGCCTCTATTTAGAGCTCACTTCAGAGCCTGTCTGCCTTCATTTCTGGTATGTTTCCTGCCAGGTCCTTAAGTAGGACATACTTAAATGCTATCTTTGTAAATGGTTAATGATGCTTTTGCTAGGGAACCAACCTGATTTCACTATGATAGAAAAAGTTCATTCATTATTTTTTTCAAGTGATAGAACAGCAAGTGTTGGTAGATGCCCCCTTACTTCCTTCCCCAGAAACAACCAAAGAAACCAAAAATATTTTAAATACAAGAAACTATGTAGAAAGAATCAAAATTAATGTCATTGCTTATTTCCAAACTAGGTATTACATGTGTTGTGAAAGTGTCTACAACTTGAGCATTCATATCAGCAGTGATGAAACTAAAGACAAGACAGTTTTTCAAAGGACAGGAAATTATGGGATGAATTGGAATTACGGTCAAGTCACAATAAATGAGACAGTGGAATTTAAGGTTTGTAAAAATACTTTGTAATTTCTGTTTGTATATTTTGGTGACTGTGATTATACTTGACAATGATAGGGTGAAGCATTTTCTGGAGAAAATCTATCTAGTGACTTTCCCTTCTGTACTAATCTACCTTTTTTTTTTTTCATTTAGGAAACTTATTCACTGACGTATTATATAATACTTTTGAGGAATTGTTTGTGATATTAAGATACTGTTTATAATGGCACACGAAGCCATAGAAAAGACAACTTCATCTCCCTTCATCAACACTTCCTTCTATTCTTCTGCCTTTACTGAGCTCGACACATCACAGAAAATTGACATTTCATAGTTGTGTATCCAAGCCCATCAATATCCACCAAGTGACCCCACTCTGACTTAATCTCCATGGATTTCCTTTAGAAAGAAATTTTATGAGCCATATCATTGGGAAGTCTCTGATCATTTATTCTGCATTAAGTTGAATTAATTTTTCCAGATAAGATTTTAATGTCTTCATTTCCTAAGGGTTGTTGCTATTAAACTATAGGATAATGTGCCCTATTAGTTTAACCAAATTAACAATGTTTTAATTGAGTAATTTGAAACAAGTTAGTATCACTTTTAGAAGATGTATATTTGAACAGACAATGTCATCACCAGAGGCATAGAGTCTCTGCTCCAACATAATCAGTGGCCCTTGTCTGAATTCTTCCTGTCATCTTTCCCTTTATTTTTTCTTATTCTAGTCTTCATGTTGAAATTTTCCTCTTTAATTTTGTTTGTAATTAGAATAAGGGAAAATGGAACATCAAATAGAAAAGAAGGACATGAATAAAATGAGGAAATCGGTATTTCTGCAAACAGTTCTGCCCATTGAGCTTCCTTTCTAACCTTGTAATGATTCAGGATTTTGGAGTTAGCTCAACAAACAGATAGACACTGCCCCATCTCACTTACACAGTGATGATAATTTATTCGTGATTTAATTTCAAGGGTTTAGTTAATTGGAGTCCTAAAGCTTGTAATGTAAAGTTTGAAAGAAATAATTCCCATCGCACAAACCTTATTACAGTGTACTGTTACAATTATGCTTTGAGATATTAATCCTGGGGACATATGAACTAACATCTACTCACCATAGACAGGGAAGTGATGACAGGCCAAAGTAAGGATACCAGCAAAATACAACTTGTCGACCAATGAAATTCATTGGGATTATTCGTAGGAGTGTGGCTGAAGGGTACTTACAGGAACAGAAATATCTCAAAGACAACTTCATGACACAGCATAGATGGTGGGTCATAGAAGCTGGAACCTTGAAACCTTTTCCAGTTGGCTCTACTGACATGACCCTATCTTGGTAGCTTAGCTTTTCTGAGAATGTCTCCCAACAATTCTTACAACTTAGGAAAACCTTGAGGAGAAATGGCCTTGTAAACCTCATCACTTTGAGGGAATTCTTGGATCAATTGAGTGGTCTGCTTCCTGAGTTTGAAAGAATTTCCCTGCAGGATGGGATGTTTTACCTTACTTTAGAATACCCTGACTTTTAAGGAATTTCCTTGCAAGATGGAGGAAATTACTGCCCATCAAGCTGTTTTGTTGCACTATGTTCTATCATTGATCCATATTGTACCTAATTTACACATCACACTTCTTCGAAGGTAAGATAACATAGAATATACCATGGTCAGTATGAGGTTTGATGCTATATGGAATTTCAGTCATATTGTGGGACTTGGGGTATATTATTCTCTCTGGAAGAATACTAACTTACTTTCTGGTTATTACATTGCATTGAGAGATTGTGGAAAACTTGCTGTTATCTCTTTAAAATTTTATTTTCTCCTCTGGGAAAGGAAGAAATTCACATTGTTTGGAATAGTGTCTAGTAAGACATCTATGAAATTAATGGACACATTAGTGAATTGAATATATAATATGCTGAAAAATCAAATAAAATACTTGCCTCATACAGCAAGTAACATGTAGCAAATATTTCGGTCACATCATTCTTATCCTAATGAAGATAGGTACAAAGAAATATAGTTGAAAACAGCCACCATTTCTGAGAACCTGCTGTGATGTCTCTGACCCCAGAAGCTATTACCAAGACGGTTTATTGGTCTTGAAATCAGCACCTTCATAACAAGGCCATCTCACAACCCTAAGTGAACTAGGAGAACCAGTACTAGATGGATCTAGAAGCTCATATTATGCTAGTCATTTCTTCTTGTCTACTTTTTTTGTATTTAAATGATATAATCAGAGTATCTTTTCTTCAAGACTAGCATTACTATGAAGGAAAACAGATATTTATATTTTTAAAATATAATTGGGAGGTTTCTCTCTGCTTCTAAATTATATATAGGTTTTATTAAGTAGACTATGACAAAATCAGGGGAAAGAGAAATAAATCACAAGAGTATAATACAGAAGGAATACATATGTGCATATTTTGCTAAGATTTACATATAATATAAAAGTTGTGCTCCTCAAGAGTATTTATACAAGATGATTTACCAATATTTCGACATGGAGTATTTTATTATGCATTTTTGTAATTGGCTATACTGGTTCTCCAGAGTTGTTAAGCCATAAGAAGAATCAGGCCAGAAAATTATTAGAGTGAAATAATATTATATGCCTCTGTGAATTTCAGGTTGTGTTCAATGCTTTTAGAAACCCAGGTTGGAGTACAATAGCCCTGGATGACATAAGCCTAACAAATGGAATTTGTAGTGAGAGTCTTTATCCAGAACCGACTTTGGTTCCCACCCCGCCGCCAGAGCTTCCTAGTAAGTAACCCCATCATGTGTATTCCCTAAATCATGAATCTATCTTGTTTGGGCTTATTTTTATTATCTCAGCCTAACAGCATTTCAATGAAAAAATGGAAGTAAAAATAAGAAAAATGATAGCTAGCCGAATAATATGTTACAATCAATACACAGAGAGTCATCCATTGTTTAGTTGATCACATTTAAAATATTTTAGTAGCTTTATTCTTGAATTGAGTGACTACTAATTTTTATTTTATTCTCATTAAAATACAAATTCGAGCACCACATTGGTGGTGATGACTGTGGTGTTATCATGTTGGTGGAAGGGTTGCTGAGGTGCTCATTGCCTTTTTAGGAAAAGATTTGAAATTCACAACACCTCAGTTAAGACTGAAACACGGCCTTAGGGTTTCTGTTGCAGTGAAGAGGCACCATGACCCTGGCAACATTTAAAGGAAAACATTTTAATTGTGATGGAGGCTTACAGTTTCAGAGGCTTAGTCCATTATCATCATAGTAGGTAGCATGCTGGCTGGGAATATGGTGGAATCTTGAGCATTTATGAGACCTCAAATCCCACCTCCACAGTGACACACTTCCTCCAATGAGGCCACACCTACTCCATCAAAGCCACATCTCTTAATAACGCCACTCCCTTTGGTGGCCATTTTCTTTCAAAACACCATACACCCCCAACTCTGTTTTAGAATAAATTTGACAGCAAATATTAAACTGAAACTTTTACATGACAGCCCTAATGATTGGGAGTATTTACATTCTGAAACAATGCCTTGATAAAGCTTTGTTACCTAACCTTGGTAACTGCTTAGCTGAGCAATAATTGAGATTTCCAATCCTAGAAGAATTTTTAACTCAAAAAAAAAAAAAAAAAAAAAAAAAAAGATTCTTATGCTTACTTTCCTCAGTTCAAATTGGAAAGCTTAAAACCTTCATTACTATTCATATTATCCATGTGTGAAGGAACACATCCTATTACCAGACTATTGGATTTGACAGACCATAAAAGGAGACTCACAGATAACGATACCTTATATAGCACAGCTACTGTCCCTCTATTAGGATATTTTTAGTGCAGAGCTAGTTTTGAGACAACATCCCTCTGTCTGGTGATTGTGGGAGTCTGAGGGAGTCAAACAATGTATTGTCATATATCTGAACACTCAAACACAGAATTTCCTCTTCTCATTTTGTCTGAAACACTTCTGAAACACTTAAAATACTAACATACAAAAGCATGACTTTTTCTACATGCTTTTTCTAAAAAGCAAAGAAGCCTGGCAAATGAGTTTGGTGTATGAAAGCATTTGTAACCTAACCTGGTGACCTGACTTTAATTCATGGGATACACATGAAAGAGGAAAGAACTGACTCCTACAGGTGTCCTCTGACGTTCGCATATGAGTGTATACACACACACACACACACACACACACACACACACACAGATACACACACACACACACACACTCTCTCTCTCTCTCTCTCTCTCTCTCTCACACACACACACACACACACACACACAGGGAATTGGGGTTTCTGTTTGCTTTATTTTGTTTTTGTTATAAGAATCATTTTTTTTTCTCAGCTAAATGACTTTAACAAACCCAAATTCCTGTAGAAAAATAACTGGTATCTTCCATCTTTTAATAATTGGGCTGCCACTACATAAAGACGTAGTTCATACAGGCCTCACGCTGCCAACTTGAATATTCGCTATATGAGACCAAAAAGCTAGTGCCCACTCTCCTTTCATGCTGACATGTTTAGATATTTCCTGAATTATGCATTATTCCCATCATTCATTAAGTCACAGATATTCACTCTATAAATCACAATGCCAACAAAACCTAAGAGGTATAGGTGATTTGTGAAAATTTTAACATGATAGAAAAACAAATATTTTAAACAGTGTAGTATTTATGGCTAATATGTGAGAAAGTGTGAGGTGGGCAAGATTTAATTATGGAAATGTGTGTGTAAAAGTGTCACTCAGAAATCTGAGAGGGGGAAAGAAGTCTGATGCTGCTATAAATTCTGAAAAAAAAACAGGTTTTATTTTAATTTTTTTCAGTGTGGGGATGGACTGCAAGGCTCTGACAGATTAGGCAGATGCACAGGTGTGCTTCTCAACACTATTTTTATTTATCAATTTAGCCCTACTGTAACTCACTATATCTGTCCAGTTTCTAGTACCACATGAATCAATAACACATAAATGTTATTAGACATACTGAGAATGCTTTTGATATGCCGATGTTTTGTCATATCCCTCTTTAGGTCATTGAAACTAAGTTTTTTTTGGGTTAATACCAATATGAACGCACTAATTTGGGCTTTGTGGCATTTGAATAAAGCAGTCTCATTATATTCTGTATGGGCCCTCTACATTCATAGTGTATGTATATGAAATAGTACGTTCAGAATTCTTAAAATCAATATTGGTTTGATGAGTGTTTCTAAGTTTCTATAGTACAATCTCAGAACTCCATATTTAAGACATAAGCCAAATCACATTACTTAAATTATAAAATCTGAGATAACCTTTTTATATTACCGCACATAAAAAATGATTACAACATGGTTTCCCATGTTAAAATCTATATTATGTGTACCATTATTATATCTATTCTGGCCATTAAAGAAAAAAATCACAGTATCTCAATGTACAGAAACTTGGCATCCATGCACATTTTAGCACTGGAGAAATTGTACTGTTAGAAAAACCCATCTGATCTTAAGAAATAAATTTAGAATTTTCCCATAATGTGTTTGTTCCACTTTCTAAGTGGTTCACTTTGAGCCAATGTTTGGCACAGAGAAAATGTTAATTACCATCCAACGAATTCTGAACAATTTCTTTCTAATGCTTTTTGCAGATGGGTCAGTGGAATTTCTATTTGTGCAGAGCTATTCTGATTCCAGATCACTGAATTGTTTAAGCAAAAATAAAAGAAGACCACGGTTGACTAGCTAAAACCTTTCTTTCACTCTTTACCAACCAGTTAAATAAGAAAATCTCAGACAAGTGGGTAAATAATAAAACTCTGTGTCCACTCCTTTCCTGAGATGTTTGTTAGTTCCAGTTTTGTGGTTATTCACAATTGCGGAGATTCCTTTACCATCTGACCTTGGCTTCTGCCCCATGAGCTCCACGATGGTGTCTGTGATGGTGAAACAACTAATTTCAATATTGGCACTCTATTTGGAGAAGTTTATGAAAGTTAATATTCTGTTTCACAAACATCATATCTATTTAACAAACAATGCTGAAGCTCTCTGATAAAGTACAGTATGTGTAAACAAAAAGAAATCTGCACTCAAGGTGCTGGCTGATTTCTGGGGTGCTCAAGTAATTGAGAAAAATGGCTTTGGCCATTTCAATGTTCACTACTTCTCAGGATTTTTCTCTGTCATGTTCTGATTTAAGCCATTATTCATTTTTAAAATGTTACTAAACAACTTGACAAGTTCTTCATGTGAAAATCAATCTGCATTTATGCTGTATTAGCCTCTCCCTGTAGACTATAATTCTGTGGTGTTTATTCAACTTACATTCAGCCCCTAATACACACAGGTATTAGTTGCATTAATAGAATCCTTTGCCAAAGAAACTTTGACTATTGTTTTGCTTTCACGACTTTACCTTTATTACAACTAGCCTCATTTAGTGTTATAGTTGGTTAGATTTATTACAAGAACAAATAAAATTTATCGTTCATGAATAAATACTTAAAGCTATTAGTCACAGGTTTGATTAAAGTATTTACATTATTAATAGTTACAAAAATATCTTAAAATTATTAATTTTTAAAAATTGGACTCCAAATTCTCATGGGAAATTTAATTTTGGATTATAACATAACTTATTAACATGGTCCATATATTATTAAAAGATCTATTGTGTCTTTCTAAAATAACACATAATACTTACTTGAGAATATTAAAAATGACTTTCACATAAATTCAACATGATTTATTATTTCTCAAGTTACTTTTATTATTTACCCCCATAAATGAGTACCATTCAGAAGCCTATTAGTGATTGAAATTATGTCTTCATTTCTTACTTTCTTCCACCTGTTCAATTCAAACTCTCTGTCTTCCTTGCCTCCTGGATAAACCTCCCAATCTATGGACACATACCTCAAAAGTGTTGTGTTGGCCTTAAATAGATGCTACCTACCACTTGAATCTCTCAAGGACATACTCCATCTTTGAAAACTCCCTCAGAGAATGCAGCATAAACACATCATGTGTGCACTGAAACTTTCTACAACATAAGAGATCCATCAGATACAAATATTTGAAAGACAATACCTAGAAATATCAGAAGTGAGGATCTAATCTGGCTAGGGACAGGACCTCTGGACCAGTCAGGTCACTTTACTCCCATTGTGCAGGCATTGATTACCTAGTAGCCTTACATGACAGCAATTTCTAGAGGGTGGCTCATTTGCCTATGGCGCTTTTTCTAATAATCATGGGGTTCTCCCCACTGTGGGAACACTTTGACATTCAAATAAGTTGTGCTGTAACAGCCAAGTGGCACAAGGTAAATTAGCTAATTTCCTACAGTCTTTAACATGGAGGCAGCCACAGAAGCATCTTCCATATAAAGATCAAAGGAGTTTTGCTGGTCAGTTATTTGATATGAAATTGTAATTTGAATATATTTCAAAATGGTCATCTTAAGTACCTTAAGGGAAAGACTTTACTAAGAATATTTTTGTTTGCAGAATGAATGCTGAGTAAACTATCTGTCTGATTAGGTTTAATAGTTACAACTGACATTATTTTAGTTCTGCTCCTACTTATTCATTTTTCATACATAGCACATGGGTGTCTGTTAGGGGGCTTGGGCAGTCTATGGGGCCACGGGCAGTGGAACCAGTATTTATCTCTAGTGCATGAATGGGCTTTTTGTAGCCTGTTCCCTATGGAGGGATACTCAACCTAGATACATGGGTGAAGGCCTTGGTCCTGCCCCAAATGATGTGACAGACTTTGATACGTCCCCATGGGAGACCTCATCCTCCTTGAGGATTGGATGGGGGAGTGGGATGGGGAGATGGTGGGAGAGTGGGAGAACAGGAAGAACAGGGAACTGGGATTGGCATATAAAATAAGATTGTTTTTACTTTAAATAAAAAACAAAATTTTAACATTCCTAATCATAGTCAAAACAAGAAGATGTAGGCACTCATTTTATAATAAACATTAATTCATCCCTGGGAATCCCGATTGTTGCAAAATGTTGAGTAACACGTCCAACCAGAAAACAACACTAAACTAAAAATATTGTTTTGTTGTGGGTTTGTTTGTTTGTTTTTGGGGGGAGGGGTTGTGTTTAGGCTCTCATATAGCATAGGAAGGTTTTTAATTTTGAATCTTTCTGCTTCCATGTTCTAAGACCTTAGATCACAAGTGTGTGCTAGCATACTTTCCCTCAAAAGAATTACAAACAGAAAGAGAAAACATTACTCTCAACTTCCTGACTACCATGCACTTTAATATTTAGCAACATTTCCATCCAACACCTTAAGAACAAACAATAGGAAAGTCTATATTGCTAGATTAGTGACATGCCAGCACTGTCCCTTCTTCTAGGATGGTGGCAGAGATGGGATTTGTCTATTATAAATATTCATGGTTTTCTGAAGGTATGATTTTTTTCTCTTGTGTTTTGCAAAATATCTATATTAGCCAAATAAATATGGGCAATCCTGAACAATATTATAAGCTGTTGAAATGTATAAAGGGAGTAAGAATGTAAAAGTTTGTGAGATCATTTCTAGGAAAGACACTGATGTACCATCATGTCTCCCTAACAACTTATACAACTTGTAAACTGAATCTGTTAAAACTGGCATCCTAAGACATGTAGTTTTAAAATGCCTGGCATCTAGTAGGATATCTATGGAATAAGCAGTGTTGTTAATGACTCTTTCCTAATCCATTTCAGCTGACTGTGGAGGACCTTTCGAATTATGGGAGCCAAATACAACATTCAGTTCTCCAAACTTTCCAGATATCTACCCTAATCAAGCTTTCTGTGAGTCTTTTCTTTTCCAGGATACCAAGGAAAAATGTACATAGCAAAGTTATTAATTTGTCAAAATGGGTACTGCATATTGTCTACCTATGAAATGCATCCTTAATTATTTCTTTCATTTTTGAGAGTATTGATAGAATAGTTACATCGTTTCCCCCATCCTTGGCTTTTCCTTCATCCGAACCCTCCCATATACCCTTCTCTGGTTTCTTTCAAATTTATGGCCAACTTTTACTTTGCTAACTTTTTAAATAAAGGCAAAGTAATGGTGTTCATTATGCATGATTTCAGTCCATTCTTTACAGTGCTTTGCACTATTGTAATTTCAGAATAAAAATATAAAAGTAATGCCCATGATACAATCACCCTTGCTCCAGTTATTTCTCTTATCAACTTCCTAGCTCATCCATGTAATCCCTGCAGTGTGTGTAAAGCATGTTCATGGTTTTATAGAACAAAGTCAATGCAAAGGGTCAAAACAGCTGATGTAATAATTTCCCCCTTAGGAAACACATACTAGACTCAATAGAGAATACAACCAGAGTGGTGTGATTAGACTCCCAACACCAACAAGAGGATAATTGGGACTGATGAAATATCTATATTTAGAGAAAACAACCTGTTAAAAAAATAGGACAAAAGTTGTCACCTGGCTAGTGTTACTATCTAGAGAAACTCAGATAGTTTCCAAAGTTTCTGATAGTTTCAGATAGTTATCTGAAAACTGCATATTCTGCATTGCACATCCACACTCTCCATTCTGTTTTACAAAAATTATAATTCAAGGGCTATGAGCTGTGAAATAGCCATGTTTTTTCCATGTTCATTCCTAGTTAGGACTCAAATGCAGTACAAGGCCAGTACCATGAATGGAACAATAGCAGTGAAAGGGGGATTTAAAAATGTGAGCCTCTATTCACAAGGAGATACATAGCAGTCTCAAGGCTTATAGCGGTCACTAGGGCAAGCGAATAGGCAGACAATAGTCTAGCATGGTTTGAATGCAGAAGCAGAACTTATCTTCCCCATACACACGTCATGCCAAAGACAACATGTAATCTTATCATTGGTATAGAGGTTTAAAAATTCTAAAATTTAGTCAGTGATACAACTAAGAGCAGTATTGTTGCTTTTACTTTTGATATTATAATATGATTACATCATTCCCCCTTCCCTTTCTGCCTTCCAAACATTCCAATACACACCCTTCTCACTCTTTCAAATTCATGATGGCTTCTTTTAACATGAATTGTTGTTACATGCATATATACATATGTATATATGTGTGTTATATGGTATATGCATATGCATACAAATGTATATACTATGTGTACATACATATATGTGTATATGTGTGAATATATACTATATATAACTTTATACTGATTTATATTAGTATATACATATCACGTGTATCATATACATCAATATAGATAAGAGAGAGAGAATCAGTATAATGTTACTTTATGAGTTTTCAGGAATAACCATTTGGTCTTGGAAAACCAATTGGTATGACTTTCCTAGGGGAAGACTATTCTTCCTGTTCTTAGCATTCCTTAGTTGTTTATAGTTCTTCTGTTCACCCAATGTTATCAAATAAACAATGTGACTGTCTGGAAGGATACTCAGATCAGGTCATGCACTACAAATGTTCAAGATTCCATTAAATAAGAGTAAAAAGCCATTATAGAGGGACATTGAAGGGGCAGGCACAGACTAGTCCAAGAAAGCATGACTTTCTTGACTCTTTAAGTAAAACTCCATAACTGTAGTTGGTTAAATTGATAATGTGGAGAAATTTTGCTCTGTGTTATGGAATGTGAATTTTATATAAGAAAATAAAGGAAGTTTAGTTTCCATATATTTGCATGAGAAGCATGAGAGGATCATCTCGCATTTCAGACAGATCAATCTGCCTATGTATCAGAAACAGGGAGAGAAGGAATTTTCAACAGCATCTTCAAATAGGACATCAGAACTGTCAGCACCTTGCACTGTGATAGGGCAATTGTGATGATATATTGTTTATGATCTAATAAAGCTTGCCTGAAGGAACACAATGCAAAGCTAGCCACAGCCACAGAAGCTGGGCAGTGATGGCACACACCTTTAATACCAGGACTCAGGAGGCAGAGGCAGATAGATCTCTGTGATTCTAAGACCACTGTGGGCTACAGGAGAGTGAATCAGTCTAAAAGAGAAACAGAGCTCACATCTTTAATACCATGAGAACATAAGGATCTCAGTGAAGTCTTAGGCAGCAGTCTAGGATTGTGAGGCTTGGTGGAGAGCCGTGTAGTCTGGAGTTGCCATCTGGGGACAGGATTGCCTCTCCAGTTTAAGTATTGGTAGAGGTGAGAACTCTCTAGTGCCTGGTTGTTTTGCTTTTCTGATCTTCAGCTTAAACCCCAATATCTGCCTCTGGGTTTTTATTATTCATGCTACAAGCAATGCATGTTGAGAACTGAATATTAGTGAAGGGCATAGGAGGCAGAACTAAAGGCCAATTCTGCCTTTAGTTTGCATGTGATTGAAGGTGTGAAGAGAGCTAGGGGCCAGTCTACAGTTGGTGCTGCCCTTACCTAAGATGGAGAGAAGAGCCAGGAGTTTTCCAAAGAGACACGTGTGTGTGTGTGTGTGTGTGTGTGTGTGTGTGTGTGTGTGTGTGTGTGTGTGTGTTTTAAATTTAAATCACCTCAAAAACTCATAAAAACAACATTCATTGAAGCAGTTTTTTTTCTTTAAAACTAAAAGAATGCAATATATTTTAATTGGGGAAACTTTCAAATAAATACTAGAGTTTGCTTATTTGATCATGGAAAGTTAGGTGAACTGAGGCTGGCTAGATAGCTTATCGGGTAAATATGCTTGCCACAAACCTCATGTCCTTTGATTCTTGATACCCCTATGGTGGAAGAGAACTACTCCAGCAAGTTGTCTTCTGGGCTGTGGAAGCTTCACCCCCCCCCACCCCCTCACACATACTAAATACAAGAAAACAGAGAAATTTAAATGAATTGGACTATTGCTACCTATTGATGTTCTTAAACTTTGTGCAATAGTATCAATTGGCTATGTAAAACTTTTTAATAAGGTATATTGTTTTGTATAAAATGAATTATGGTGAATTTATATCAAATATAATTGAATTGTTACAATACATATTTAAACCAATCCAATATATTACCTTTCCTAGCCCAAACAAGACAAATCAATGAAAATAAAAAACGACTATGAAGACTTAAGGAAAATAGGAAGACATATGCTGTAAACTAATTGTTGTTATTTATTGTCTTCAAGGTGTATGGAATTTAAATGCACAAAAGGGAAAAAATATTCAACTTCACTTTCAAGATTTTGATTTAGAAAGTATCAACGATGTGGTTGAAGTGAGAGATGGGGGAGAAGTTGACTCCTTGCTCTTAGGTACGATCGAGACTTGAAAGTCTATGCAGCTTGAGACACTTTATGTACAGAGAGAGCACTTTGAAGTGGATGTAAGAACTATACAATTTGCAAAATTAAAGTGTAACAACAGGGTAGCATGTTGATGATATTTATGTCATTGAAAATAGATTTTTTTCATAAAGTTTATTCTGATTATGATTTCTCCACACCCAAGTTCTCCCAAAGCATGATGGGTTTTCTTATGGGACATATTTACAATAGTAACAAGATTATTCTCTTCTAGAATAGTCGTTGCTAATCAGGATTGATATGGTTACAACATAATTCTTAAAAGTTGGCAATAATTAACTATAAGCATACCTATCATGTAGTTTCTATGAATTCTGTGTACATCAGGTGTTTAAAGATAATTATTAAGTCAGATTTCCTTTGATCATAAAATATCCAAATTCTGTTTCTTATAAAATTTTAAGTCATTTTTATTTTATATTTTATCAGTTTTTCTTATTACTGTCTGTAGCAGAGCAGCATCTACTTCTCAAGAGCTGATAATGACACAAACATTTACCAATGTTTGCTTTTTTCTATTTCTATTGGTTATTACTTTGTAACTATACACAAGAAATATTTTTGTCTGAATGGCAAAATACATATAAGCACATTTAAAGTATATTGGGAAAATGTAAGATTATATTATTTAGTTAGTAATTTTTAAGAAAGAACAACTTTTTGCTAAGATTAGCTCAATGCTAAATTAGGAAGATCTTAAATATTCAACTGGGAAGCATGAACTATGATTCCTCACCACAGAGAGGGTTTTATCTAGCTGCTCTTATGACTCATATTCATCATTTGTTATGTAACCTGCTTGAAGTTCTCTAAATCAGGGCACTCACACAAAAATTATGAGAAGTGAATGGAGACTCTCCACGAGACACCAACCTCTGAAGGACCAGAATAACAGTGAGCATTGCCAGGCATACCTGGAAAATCTCACAGAGTTCTAGAACACAGCTTTCTAAAATGAATTCTCAGAGCCACACAGGAAATAAATCAACAACGAAATCCCCTGGGAACCAACAAGATTTGGGGAACATTCATTGGGATCAGGGTACCCATTTGTAAAAGTACTTTGAACGGTTGCTTTTTATTTCATTTTCTGGTTACACTGTGCTCCTAATGAAATCGCTGCTGATATGAGCAATAAAAATAACAATTTATTATTTTACTTCTAATTATTCACACAAATCAAAGAAATAAAAATTCCAGAAGGATATTTAAGTTATATTGTAATTTGTAGATAGAAGTGGTTTTGTTCTGGAATTGTTTTTCTGCCTCTAATAGATAATGCAACTAAGAATCAGCATCTAAAGTATAAGAATATGCACACGCATTTGGTGGGCCATTCTGCTTGTAGTCCATCCTTCTGAAGATGGAGGTAAAATTTTTCATGTGTCTCTGAGATTCAAACACCTCACAGTCTCTTTTCCCTTGGGGGCAGCTGTGTACACAGGGCCTGGCCCTGTGAAGGACGTGTTCTCTACCACCAACAGAATGACTGTGCTTTTCATCACAAATACGAGGAGGGCAAGCACTGGTTTCAAAGCAAATTTCACCACTGGATATTACTTGGGGATTCCAGGTAAGAAATATTGCACATTTCATCATAGCTATATGAGCAGACTAAGGAAAGTAAAATCTCTTTCAAGCCTAAGTCACAATGTACAGGTTTGTATTCTGAGATATCATTTTGTTTTTCTTAGCATAATGTAGACTTTTGTTCCTACTCCATATATTATGTAATGATTATATGAGGTTTTTTTTTTCACAGCAGGAATTCACAAGTTTTTGCATATCAAGTACTTCTCTATTAAGATCCTTGACTTAAAATTTAGCATGAAGTTCAATGTAAAGGAACTGGCTCTGTAAGGAAAGACTTTTCATTTTGCCTAGATCTTACCGAGAGAGGAGGAGGGAGCTGGGTTCCTGAACTGCTGGATGCCAGTGACACCCAATTAAAAAATTAAACATCATTAACTTGTTAGAGGTAGCCAGAACAAAACAACTACAGTGGAGGTGTTTAATGCTGAATGCTGCTGCCATTATAACCTTCACATTGTGTTCTTTTTATATTCCTAATTTAAGCAGCAGGAAAAAAACCAACACATTGTAATACACACTCACACATAAATACACACACACACACACACACAGAGAGAGAGAGAGAGAGAGAGAGAGAGAGAGAGAGAGAGAGAGAGGGAGGGAGAGAGAGAGAGACAGAGAGAGCAAAGACAAAGACAGGTTTAGACAAATATACAAAATGTATTTACTCGCATATTTATGATTAAAACCTTTGAATTATTTGTTGCTGGTGGTTCTTCATGGGCTCTAACTTTCCTTGTGCTGACCAATTACTCAATATTCAGTATCAGCATTCCTGAATGAAATTCATAAATTTTCATTCTTATATATGAATTCCTAGAGAAGGGGAAAGTTTGCATGATCCCTCTCTTATGGATTATTAACTAAGGCTAAATACTGCTGTGTGGTTAAATTATGCTTATATCTGCTTCTTTACTAATCACAGCTGGCCTGAAATGTTGACTCTGTCCTGGGAAGTGGCCTGCTTTCAGTTTTATGACCATTTTCTCTAGCCCCACAAATAAGCCATAATGTTAATTATGAAAGCTACTTAGGAAGAGTTGGATGCTAATCCAATCAGCTAATCTTCCCATCTGGTTTAAAAGCAGCTGCTTTTCACTTAGAAACAGTGATATGAATCAAACAAAATACACAATTACTGAGATTATTGAACTATATATATATATAAATGTATGTGTGTTAGTGGTATTTAATACTTGTGTATTATATGTGTATACGTATGAATATGCATATGTACATAGTATACATATATATGTGTGTATGTGTGTGTGTATGTTTATGTGTATACACATGTGTGTATCGAGATGCTTTAAAGTATTGAGATTGAATAGATCCAGGGAATGTCTGCCCCACCCCAATGGAAAACTATTTGTCCACATGAGCACCTAGCTAACCATCACTGGTCAGATACCAGAGAAGTCAATTTAAAAGAGGAAGGATTTGCTTTTTTCCAAGTTTCAGAGACTTCAGGCAGTCAGACCACAGTCTTTGGACCTTATGTCTGAGCTTATAAGAAAGAAGAACATGATGGCATTTCTTAAAAATTACTAACTAAATAATTTAATCTTACATGTGGCAGAGGCCACCTAATTTATGTTGGAAATGCAAACCTGGATAGTGGTGGCGAAAGGTAAAGGGGGTGAGATGGGGAGAGGGCGAGGGAGAGTCTCCTAACACTTCTAAATCAAGATACAACACCAGCTCACTACTTTCTTCAGGTGAGCTCCATTGCCGAAAATTTCCAGAACCTTCCAAAAAAGATTCACTAGCTAGAGATCAAACTCTTCAATACCTGAGACTAAGGGAGCAAATAGAAAGAGAGCACTTCATATCCCATGCTGTGAGGAAGATGAACCTGTTTCATTTGAGGAATGAAAATGATTCCATTCCTCCATATATCCTCACGTCTGAGGGAAAATAAAATAAAGTATAATAAGACAAAATTAAATAAAAACTGCACAAAATAAACAGAAGGAAAAGAACCCCAGGAAGACTCAAGGGTTAGAATTTACAAGGCTGTCTATCACTTAGGTAGTATAGTGAGTTCCAGATGAGCCTGGAGCACGCCACGCGAGATTTTCTTTCTTTCTTTCTTTCTTTCTTTCTTTCTTTCTTTCTTTCTTTCTTCCTTCCTTCCTTTCTTTCTTTCTTTTTTTATGATGGAGGTAGAGGGAGTAGAAGCAAAGGGCATAGGAGAAATTAACTTTTAAAAGGTCAAAATTGATCTTAAATTGTAATTTAATAAGAAAATGAAACTAGAGTTCATGTAAAAGAAGAAAATGACAGTTTTATTAAATAATGAATGATATATATAATATATATAAAGTATATATAAGATGAAAATAAGCATAGATTTGCTACAATGCATGTATATATATATTCAAAATGTAACTAAAAATTGAATCATTGCTTTGGAAATATTGACCAAGATACTTTGGAACAAGCTACAAAGTAGCCCTGCTCTTTCTAATTTTGTTATTACTGATTAATTTATGACAACTATGTCTATTTGCTGAAAGCTTGTCTACCGCTTCAGGTTTTTATTTCCACTTTGGAGGAATCCATTATTTTCTATTGTATTTTAATTCAATATGTGATATGGGTTATGCTAATTTTTAATGATGTGTAGTGTGCATATGTAATGATGTAAGGATATGTTAGTAGCTAGCATTTAGTGCTTTTAAGATAAAATATACAAAGAATATGGATCATTAAATTAAAAGCAAAATATGTGTTTGATATTTTAAAGAAATTGACTTATGTCCTATGGGTAGGTCATAAGTCTGCATAGGACAAAAACACTGAGTGGCAGAAAAATAAAAAAGTATTTTCACTATTACTGTTTTAAATAAAACTTACGATTCTGATCTTTTAATTATTACATAATAGCTGGTTCCTAATAGACTAGCACTTGCTTGTCACCTGTTTTATAAGTGACAGCACAATGAAGTCCCTCCTCAAGACTTCTGAAAACTTGCACTCATTTTTGGCCAGAGCAGCTTCCAGTGAAATTCTGCCACCCCGATTTTTCTTTCCAGTGTTACTGGAGTCTTTTTGCTGATAGCTTGCAAGGCCTGGGGAGTTATTTTACTTCGTAAAGAGCCAGTTTTACAATCATGAAGACCTGCATGTACTCTAAGTACCCATGTGGAGAAGCTGTGTGGAAGAGCACATGTGCAATTCCAGTGCCAAGGGGTAGAAGCAGGTAGATCCCAAGGCTCCCTGGGCAGCCAGCCTACCCTGTTCAGCTGAGCTCCAGGCCAGTGAGAGAACCTGCTGCACACACACACACACACACACACACACACACACACACACGCCACAATAGAAGCCATGTACTTTTCTGATATCTGATTCCAGAATATTCATATTACTATTACAGTTCTAGCAGGAGAGCATAATAAAGAATGCAAAATAATAAATGCATCGGAAAGAATGATAATCAGTAATGGACACGAAAGACAACATACCAAATAAAAATGCAGAACACAGCAAACTACACCAACATTCAGAAAGGAAAGTACATGGGGGAAAAACAAGACATTTTCTGTGGGTGATGAAAATTAATCAAAAAAGCCTGGTGTCTTACTATGTTTTATAAAATAAAAATCATTATCAAGTCTCAATATTATAGCCTTTCCTACTTAATGTTTTGAGTCTCAGGAAGAATACATTTATACAAGTCATGGGTCTTTACATTCCTATTTAAAAATCACAAATAGCAAGAAATAAAAGAAACTAAAATAGTATAGACTATGAAAGGCAAGAACAAACACAACTCTTCATCAAAATTATTAGTTATTAATTTTTATATGGTTCTTACTCTTGAAAATAGTGTACCAATTATTTTGAAAAATAGCGCACACACACACACACACACACACACACACACACACACACACACAAAGTTTGAGAAAGTATCCCAAATCATGTATTTTAATGCAGTCGATAAAAAAGACATACACGTGTTATGTGAAGGGGTTTGCCCTAGACCTAGCTTTTGGTCATGAGCATCTTGTTTTTAAGAGAGTGATCTTTCTAAATGAAGATTGAGGAATCCCTTGCATAACATCACTGCATGATAGATGTACCCACTTGTGAGCTGGCATTCCTTTCATACCTAGAAGATAGCCTTCTGGGGAAGGGAAGTTCAGTGACCCAATTGTCCTCTGCATAATCTTTTATTTTTCCATCAAAATGATTTTAATAGAAAAAGACGGGAAAGCAGTTACAGAAACAGGGATCTGGCACTAGCAGACAATCAAACCAGTAACAAATATGAGTGGTGGTACACACATCTCTTTATATTGGTGTTCTGCCTTGGCTATCATCTCAAAAACATTGTGGAAAAAAAAAACTATGTTAAAAATTGCTTCCAGTGTTTAACAACTTTGCTTGTCTTCTGAGATAATTTAGGAACTCTTCAATAGAAGTATAATTATGAGGAATAAATATTTTCCTTTATTTATCCTCTTCTAATCACCCCCACACGTTGACCTTGAGTATTCACAGTGGATATTTATTGTGGTGAGTCTTTTACGAATGTGTTCCTGTTGCTTGTTTCTGACTCTCGGTGCCTCCATGTGAAATTGAGTGGAGCATCACAGGCAACTCATGAGTAGCAGCTGGTTGCATTCAGGGCCTTAGAGCCTCCCCAGCTTGGTTGGCATGCGCCTCAGAAACCAATTTAGTTTGCTTTGAAAAACCAAGCATATGGTGACTAAATGAAGCAGGGCTATAGAGACCTCATAAAGAGAAGATGGGAAAATGCAGTTCTGAGCAATATTACTTTTTTCCTCTCTTACCACTGGCATAAAAGTATCAGAATTAAGATTTCAGACTCCAGAAAGGGTAAATTATTGTATTAAGGGCTTCCTAATGACCTGAAATATTGTATGTTCCAAAAAAGTCAAAATCAAGATTATAAATATATGGAAAATTTTGAAATAGTTTATTCACACCTTTACACAAATTTTATAATTTCTATTCACTTTAGCAATATTATACTATTTTCTTCATTCTATAATTTTTCATCCCATTTATTTTGCCTTCCAACTAGCTATCTCTTCTGGGCCCACAGGTATAATCCTAACAGTTTTGATTACAAAAGACAAAAATTATAATTTTCAGACAGGGACAGGGAACATGTTTTCACTAACTAACATGTGCCTTTCAAACTGAATATGACTTTATCACAATGATAGAACATTATCAATAAATGAGTTCCATAAATAAGAACTGTTGCTGTAACTTCATTTGACATAATGATTATAATAGCTATGGAAAATATTACAAATAATTGAACAGTGACCAGTAATGACTGACATTATGGAGTATATTAAAATATTTGATTATGTCTGAAACAAGTGCTGTTACCTGATAAAAATTGATGTATACCGAAATATAGATATTGTTAGAGGGTGTATTTATGTCGGTGCATCTATTTCAAAGTTTTCCTATATTCTAAAGGAAAATTAAAGAAATGATAACATCTAGAAGAAAGAGGAATCTTTCCAGTAAGATATTCATGCTTCTTGTAGAAAATGTAATCATTTGGGGCCATTTGTCATCCCAGTAATCTGTTTAAAAATATGTGTTTGTGAAATAAATTGATAATTACATTTACTAGAGCCTCCTTAATAATATTATGTTTTGAGATATATAACCCACTTTTCTCCTGATATAAAAATTTGCAGAAACAGCCAGTCGTAACTTCCTAAAAATATCTTTATTAAGGTAAATTAGATTTCAGTTAAAATGTAGAATGCTTCAAAGCTTAAAATAGACAAATGGCTCCAATTACTGTTTTCTGCTGCCAAGTGAAAATGATTAGACATATTTCCCTCTTATCTCATTATTTGGAGAGGAAAATGGTAGAAGTAGGGCAGAGAACAAGAATATTAATTTAATAGAGAGATGTTTTAGAGCTCAATGATAGGACACACCCTTGCACGAGGAAAGAAAGGGAAAAATGAAAGAGAAAGGAAGAAAGATATTTTAAGTTTATATTGAGACTCCTATACACACATCGCGCATTTTTATCATATTCACCCCGATTTCCTTGCCCCAGCTCCCCCCTCCGACATTACACTCCCTGCTTTTTTAGTTTTTACTCATTTTATATTTACTTAGTTAGCTACGTATGTGTATGTGTTTGGACATCTGTATAATGGCGCTAATACCAAAGAGAGAGAACAATTTGGGAAGTCAGTTTTCTTCTTCCACCAAGTGAGACATTATAAATAAACCCAGAGAACTACAATAACAACCGGTCTGGCAAGGCATACAAACCAGTACAACAGTGGTACAAAAATATGGGATTAACCAACCATGACAAAGAGAGAAACTACTTGTCAGGAGAGAGAATAAAGATAGAAAGGAGAGAATAGAGGTTGGAGCTTTGTACATATATGAAATTGTCAAATATTTGTATGAAAAAAATCAATAAAATAGAAGTTTCCCCCCCCCCCCAATGCTGTTAAGCCAGCAAATACAGAGCAATTGTTTTCAGAGGAAATACAGAATAAACCTATTATCTATGCTTTCTATTACCTTGTTTTATGTGTGTTTATAATCAATGACACTGAACCTTATCTATATGTGTGCACACACACATATATTTTTGAGTGACTTTTTTTCCATTTTTGATTTCATTTTACATTCCAACCACAGTTCTCCCCTCCTACCCTCTGTCACCTCCCTCCTAACTTACCCCCATCCACTCTTCCTCACAAGTAAGGGCTCCCATGAGGAGTCAATGTAGTCTGGTACAATAAGTTGGGGCAGAACCCGGCCCCTCTCCCAAGCATTAAGATTGAGCATGGTATTCTACAATAGGGAATGGGCTCCAACAAGCCAGCTCATGTACCAGGTTTGTACAGTGGTCCTACTTCCAGGGGCCCCACTGATAGTCCAGGCTTCACAACTGTCTCCCACATATGAAGGGCCCAGTCTGGTCCCCTGGGGTCTCCACATTTGAAGGTCTAGATTCCATGATTTTTCCATGAGCATGTTTCAGCTGTCTCTGTAGTTTTCTCCATCACTAATCTTGACCTCCCTTACTCATATGTTCCCTCTCTCTCTTCGCCTGGATTACCAGAGCTCAGCCTGGTTCTTGGTTGCACATCTCTGGTTCCATCAGTTACTGGATGAGGGCTCTATGATGAGAGTTGTAGCATTCACCAATCTGATTACAGAGGTAGGCCATTTCAGGCATCCTCTCTATTATTGCTAGGTGTCTTAGTTGTGGGGTCCTCCTTGTGGATTCTTGGGAGTTATCCTAGCACCAGGTGTCTCCCTAAGCCCACAGTGGCTCTCTCTATTGGGATAACCCAGTCATTGCTCTTCCACTGCATCCCTCCCTGCCTAGGCCATCTCCTTCCCTCCTCTTCTCATTCTTCCTAACTCCCCCACCCCCTGCCGCCGCCTGTATCCAGTTTGGCCTATAGATATCATCTAACTTCTCTTCTCAGGGTGATCCATGTGTCCTTATTAGGGTCCTCCTTATTACCTAGCTTCTCTGGAGCTGTGGACTTTGGTCTGGTTATCCTTTGATTTGCATCTGATATTGAGTGACTTTTTATGTTTGTTTGTTCCTGGTATCCTTTTATTTTAAGTTGAGACTTAGTGAAATCAATCCAGGTTTGATATAATGATACATTCATGGTACTTTACTCATTTAAAGCCACATGTACCTTCAGTGATGTTTCTGAAGCATTCTGGGTAAGAAAATTTGTAGTATTTAAACATAGAAGCTTCTTCCATGACATGCTAGAGCAAAGGCCTAATGTCAAAGGTGCATAAATGGATGCATAGGATAAACCTTCAATCTGTGACTTCCTTAAGCTATGCCATAAACAGAGCCCTGCCAGGATGACGAATTTCAGTGTAAAGACGGAAAATGCATTCCAATGGGGGATCTCTGTGATGGACATACACACTGTACTGATGGCTCAGACGAAGAACATTGCGGTATGTCTTATTCGTGTGCATATTATATGTTAAATTTAGCTACATGTAATAACAGCAAGTGTAGGTAGGACAAGAAAGATTCAGTCAGAAAACAGAAATATCAAAGACAGAAAATAATGCAAATCAGGCACCTTAGTACTTTCCACATTCACTGCTCAATTTTTTTTTAATTGCTTTTAGGAGGAATACCTAAATGCATATTTTAACCGAATTTTCTGAATTTGGTACTTTAGGAATTTTAGTTCTTAAGTGTTTTTTATTTCTTTTGTTTCAGTTGGTTTCAGGCCAACCCCCCATTTCAGATTACAATGATGATATGAATAATATCTTATTTTATTGTACATTGCTTAATTTCTAAAAGAATGATTACATATATTATGTGCATTGCACTATAAACAAGTGTGGAAAAGAACTTTCTAGATATTGTCCTGAAGCAACTAAGTGTTGGGGAAGTTATGTATCTTTTAAAGATAATATACCTCACAAAAGCAAAGGATACATTTTTAGACTCACTCTGTTTAATTCATTACTAAACATTTTTAGCAAGAATAAAGTAAAAGCAACAACAACAAAGTGTTCATTTATCAGACTACCATCACCAGAGAGGAGTATTTTACTTGGTAACTTGGTTATGTTCAATTCCTTTCTGGGTATAATGACCATAACATTCTTTGCATATAGTAAGATAGTAAGAAGATGATGGAAATCAAACAGCAACAAAAATACACATCTGGAAAAGGCAGCATGGGGGGGGGGAACCAACTGAGATTTCTCCTGAATTTCTGTTTTCATTCATTTAGTGACTAAGTTTGTAAGCAATGCTTGTCACAAATAACTTTTAACATACTGAAATAGCAAAAAACACAGATTCATTTTGTTCATTTGCTAGGAAATAAACTTGAATGTTTCTGCTTTGTTTTTCATTTTATAGTCATTGAAAAGGACAAAATTGTGTCAACTAAATTTCTATTTTCCAATTTCTATCTTCCAAGATACTCCAGAAAAACTACAACCAGTTACTAAGATCTAACTGTTAAGAATGAGCACATTTTAGCTAAGGCCATCATTTCTCCATGAACTTGATCGAGATGATCCTATGTACAATCCAATATCCTTAATGCCTCTCTATGTACTTATTGGTATTTCAAGAATGCTGTTGAAAGTGTAAAAATTATAATAATTTAAGGGATGCAAAGTGACATTATGCATTATGTGTACAATGGAGAATAAGTAAAATTAGCTAATTATTCTATGCAGCACCTCAGATGCTTAATATTTTTGAAAGGATACTGTTAGAAATTTATTTTTTTTTTTATCAGTTTAAAAGTACACAGTTAACATATATTACTGTACACTGGGCCTCAAAAAACTTTCTTCCTTCTTTAAGCCAGTATCCCCACATGTCCCCTGTTCATGTAAAAACATCCTATGCTCTGCATTTTAGTGCGTTTTCTCAATGGCATAACGAACAACAATGGTTTGGTACAGTTCAACATCCACGGTGTGTGGCATGCAGCTTGTGCTGAGAACTGGACCACACAAATTTCAAACGAAGTTTGTCATCTCCTGGGACAAGGGTAAGAATTATACTATGCTGCTTTTTAACTGTTATTAATATGTGTATAGTCTCTTTCTCTCCCTGTGTGATGTGTATATGTGACTTTGTCCTATTACAGGCTATCTCATCCCCAGACAGATTTTCCTGCCTGGTTCATTGATCTCATTTGCTATGGGCCATAGCTCTTGCTGCAAAACATGGAGACCAAAAATTTAGAGCTGTGTCAGCAATCCATTGTCTTAGATACATTTCTTTTTAGAAAGGCCAGGTGCTTACTTTCTTCTAAGATGGTTCAGATAATCCATGCAAAGATGTTAATCTTTGTCCCTATGCATGCTTATTAGTCTCAATGGAGCTTTAATAGCTGGAAGAGCACTGCAGCATTAATGAGCACTATCTTGACTGGCATCAGGAAATGGAAAGAAATTTTGGTGAGATTAAATGATGTGTTTGGTACAGCGGGAAATTATTTAGGATCCAATTTATTAAGCAGGCACTGTAGTCTCTCAGGATTACTTATGCAGATTGGGTACAACCTGCAGTTCCCCACAGATTTCTGAAAATCTCATGAGGCAGATTTCATCAGACTTTACCCCTTCATATTAAACACTTTAATTCCTTTCCATTTGTAACATGCATAAAAGTAAAAAGTACTTGGAATAACTTTTTCGTGTTTTGTTTTGTTTTTTTTTTTTTAAAAAGTAAAGAAATATTTTTACACTGAGGCAAGACCAATGCTAAAATAGCAGTGAGTTTTCAACCATGTTTTCTAAGGAGGAGATCCACTTTGTTACAGCCCAAGCCATGCCCATGGGATTTGTCTTGCAAAATCATTAAAATTAATACTAATATTTAAAGAAAAATTTGTGAGTAATTGAGCTAATGATTTGTTTCCTGATTAGGAGTTCCAGGAGGAGTCATTAACCCTAAGAGTCCCATGCAATATGTCTCCACCTTACATACCAGACTATTAAACTTATCTTCACATTCTAAAATCTAGATAAAAAATAGACTTGCATCAATGTTCTTCTACTGAAAGGTGTTGATCAATACTCGGGTAGAGGAATGACTAGTTTTTTACAATAAAATTACCATAATTAATTGGAGAAAGGGGAAGGGAGAAATATTTTCATTATATTATGAGTTCAAAAAGAAAATGAAAGATCTGACACAAACACACATTTATTTCAACAACTTGACATGAGGAACTGAAACCTGAAATTAAAATTGGCATTTATATTGGCTTAATAAGTTGATAGACAGTATTCTGGTTCCCATATGTAATTTCTGCCAGTGTCCTGAGAATCTTCAAGTATGTAGGGAAAGCCTTAACTTATTTCAACTGTAAACACACATGCATACAACACACAGAGCCACGTACATGAATACACACACACACACATCCTCCAGGACAAGATAGGAGAAAGATCAGAGAAAACTTTACTACCTTTAACCTTGATTCCTCTTTATTTACTTTTTACTTTCTGGTTTTGTTTCCTTTTTACTTAAAACTTTCAAACTATATATTTATATTTTAATTACAATTATTTAGGTGTAAGTAGGTGCATGTGTATACACACAAAAGGGGAGTAAACTGGGGAGGAGGGGATGGAGGGAGAGTGTGAGGGACAAAGAAGTCTGTTCTCTCTTCCATGTCATTCCTGGGGATGGTCGAAACTCAAGTTCTTAGACTTGGTGGCAAGTACTTTTAGTTCCAGCCACAGCACCATATTACCTAGGTGTGATGTAGTGGAAGTAACTCTAGTTAAGTTGTTGGAAAAATAATCTCTACTGTGTGAAAATGTCTTCCAAAGTAATTCCAGTAAATGATACATTTTACTAAAAGCTTATCATTTACCTGAGAAACAAATTACACCCACTTACCCTGATTTAAAATTAAAAATTCATTAATTAAAAAATAACTGAGGAGCAAATGAAATGCAGTCCTTTGACAGCTTCCCAAAATTCATCTCTGATAAATGTATTGCCTTTTTGGGATGGTCCAGACACATAAGCAAGGGATGCCAACAAGTTATAACCCAAGAACTAAGACAGGATGCATGTCTGGGCGTACACCAGTCATCTGGCTCACAACACAGACACACTCTAAATAGACAGACAGACAGACAGACAGACACGCACACACGCACGCGCGCGCACACACACACACACACACACACACACACGCACGCACGCCCTCACATGCATCAGCACACACAATACATACAATTGATTAAAATAAAACCAGCAACACTTAGGAAAATAAAGTTCAAGGACAAAATGCTGTACACAATACTCAATATAGTATCCACAAAGAACCTGCCTTCTTGACAAGTTCTTAAAAACTCATCTCGCAGCCACCTCTTTGGTTGAAGTGCCAGCAGTTTATTTTCCTCCAAACACTATTACTTCTGTAAGATAATAGACCACAATGACAAGATTCACCCATTGATTTCTCTTTTGCTGTGACTGTGGTACCATGCACAGAAGAGGACTTGATTAGGTAAAGAAAACTCTTCTATCAGTGTTTGTTTACTTCTATACAAATATCACAAAATTTAAAGAGCCTAGGTCAGAAAAGCAATTTAACATTGTTCAATTTACCTATTCACTACAAGTTTCTCTAGGAGAATGGTAGGTGTGTTGCTGTAAATGTAGTAACTGCATGAGATTTGCCGTTGAAATTAGTCCAGCTCAGACACAGTGTTACCTAACTGCCCACTGCTGACACTGTTCGAGTGCAATACTTTGTCTCGGATTCTCTGCCAGCCACCATGCCTGAGTCTATAAAAGTCCTGAATTCTGTCCTGCCAACTCAATCCCCTTCTTTCCCTCCAATACGAAAAGAAAGATGTTCCTCCTCCAAAGCCTTTTTAGTTTAATCCCACCTGGCTCTATTCATTGCTTAAAGCTTTTGGGGTGTGAAATGAGCTACAGTGCCTGGTTGTCGTATTTGCAGTATGCATTATTATTCCTTCAGCTTTAGTGTATCCAAAGGCTTAAAACATCTCTACCTAAGCTCTCCCTGCAGGGAGGAATCCTTATCTCAGCAAATGCAGTCTGAGTAGCAAGACAAAGGAGAGGCAACCTAAGCAGGGCCCAAGAAGAGTGGCTGAACACTGAACACCATCTGAGCAGCCTGGGGATAGCCCTTTATCTCTCCCTAGAATTCTTTTATAATTTTATACTCCCTTCATGTATGACCTAAAAAGTTATAATATTTGCATGTATATGCTTCTTTTCTCACATAGAATAGAATTTCCCCAGTCAGGAGAGCCCTATTTATGAGTTTATAAGCTATGAAAATGATAATACTGGTTTGGAAATAGGTTGCTAGGAGACAATAATATGTAAACAAGGTAAAGCTATATAAGATGATCTGTATGACACTAAATCTCTAGTCATTTCAGACAGTTGTAGAAATGGGCTCTGCCCATTCCCTATGGGAGGATACTCTCTCAGCTTAGATATATGGGAGAGGGCCTCAGTCCTGCCCCAAACGATGTGGCAGATTTTGATGATCCCCCATGAGAAGTCAAACCATCTCTGAAGAGTGGATGGGGGCTGGGATGGGGAGATGGTGAGGGGAACGGGAGAACGGGAGGGAGAGCTGGATTTGGTTGTAAAACGAGATTTTCTTTAAATTAAAAGAAAAAAGAAAAGAAATGGGCTTTGGACTTATCAAAATCTGTAGATCTGGAAATTATCACAAAATTTTTAATTCATTTTAATCATCTTGATTCAATTTGTATCACTATAAGAACTTTTTTCAAAACTAAGGGGTAGATAACATGTTGTAGGATAGCTGTACACCGTGTGAAAACATATTATTGTGATTGGTTTTAAAAGGGCCAATAGCTAGGCAGGAGATATAGGCCTGATGTCCATGCAGAGAGAGGAAGTAGGAGGAAATAATCAAGGCCTAGAGGAGTCACCAAGGAGATATGGAGGGAGTTAGACATATAGAATGACAGAAAAGTAAAAAGCCACATGGTAAAATGTAGATTAATACAAATGGTTACTTTAAGTTAAAAAAGCTAGTTAGAAACAAATCTAAGGTACAGGCAGAAGTTTTATAATTAATAATAGGTCTTCATGACATTATTTGGGAGCTGACTGGAGAGTCGGCAAAAGACTCATTATGATGACATTACCTAGGGCTGCTAATATCTATTTCCCATGTATTTTTATTATTTTGTCATTTTTAAGCTAACAGTTTGTCTTATACTTTTGTTGTTTCATATCCTGTTTTTTGGGCATGAAATTTAAATAATGTGCATGAAGAAAGGATAAATTTAAGCTGGCAAGATTTTGAATGTATGTCATCTGCTTCTAATTAATTCCCTAAATCTAATATCCAGTTCTTACACATGGAAGTATGTGTATGAGCTTAAGAACTCTGTAGAGTATAAGAATACAATTTAGGTTTCTGACATCAATATTATACATGAAAAATAACGTAAGTGAATATTTTATAGTTTTTTTTTTTTTGAAAAGGTGCATTGTGTTCTAGCAAACCAGAGATGGTGTGATGCTGTGCTCCTATGGTCCTAGCACTCAAGACTGAAACAGGAGTATTGAAAGGCCAAGGTTAACTGGGGATGTATAATAAGACTAATAACAGTTAGGGACACATAGCAAGACTCTGTCAGTGTAGTTGTGTAATTAAATGCGATCTGTACTATTGTCCCATGTTCATCCAAATCACATAGAAGAGAATAATAAATATGTCTCTTTTTTTTCATGTGAACACTATCTCCACATCATCTTAGGGCAGCCTCAATATCACCATGGAATATCATTTTGGGGATCTCTAGAGAAGAACATGTGTACATTATTCTTAAAAGTCATCTTCTACCCTTCCTTTTGTTTAGAATAGACAAGATAAAGTCAGTAAGTATAGTCACAACACCTATCACGAACAGTAGATATGTAATAAATACAATAGATTAAAATGTTTAAAAAAATCGTAATTTACTATTTTCTACTTTTATTTAAATATCCAGAGATTTTGATAAGGCCCGTTAGGACCTATCTTTAAAAAAAAATCAAAGGAACAGAGAAAGAGCAGTGAAATTGAGTTGTTTAAAATTCACATGCCTGCAATACATTTTCATGTAGCTGTCTTGAGGGTGTTCTCCACTTTTGTACATAAGAACAGATTCTAAAAGCTAGAAATCAAGATAGAAGCAAAATGACAGAATGTTGTGCTACAATAAACAGGGACTATATTTCAGCTTGACCTTCCTCGTTTCTGTAGCAGACATTAGAATCATTTGAGAACTTTGTTACAGCAACATGCTGGGCCTGTATGCCAACTTTCTGAACCCATAGATTTAAAGTGGTTCTGGGTAGTTCATATTTTTTAATACATTTTCTGGGGTGACAGCCGCTGCTATTGACAAAGTACTGTGGGAATATCTTCTAGAAAAGAGAAGACTTAGAAAACTATTTGAAAGAATGCTCAGGGGTGGCACACCATGAGCAGAATAAGAAACTAAAACACAAGAAGAAAGCCGTCTAAAAGGAGATTAGAGAGTAATTATCACCACGGACTTTACCCTCCCAGCAGAGAAGTGAACTAATCAGTTCAGATGTCTAAACCCTGCAGCCAACACGAACAAATAAAGCCTCTTCTCATTCAGGAGACCTTGTATTTTAAGTTGATGTGAGGACTTCTCCCAGAAACTACATGCTGATAAAATCCTGAGCTCTCGATGTACAGTCTCTCTTGCTCGAATGTGACAGCCTTCACCTGGAACTAGTTTACATTGGAAAAGTTTTTAGCCTTTCCTCCCCCACTAAAGTGCAACATATACACATGCCTATAGCTTCATAAGTAAAATAATTCTTCTACTCACATGATAGAGGAGACATTTTAATCTCAAAAAAAAAAAAAAAACTCAAAAAACAATAGTAAGGCTTGTTTTTGCTTTGCTAAATCTATTTGAGATTTTATTAAAGGTATATTAATGTTTTTGTGTTCTTTCATTAAATATTTCTGCTTTTCAAATGAAAGTATAATATACCAAATTCTGTGACATTAGAGAGAGCTTCCAATTTTCCAACTTCCTCTTTAGTGGCTGTAAGACCCAAATAAATGTTCAGCCTATAGAATACATTAGAAGACAGAGGCGTTACCGCATAAACTGTTTTTTTTTTTCTTTTCATTGATTGTGTGGATTGTGAGTGTTCTCTGCACATTCCCTGTGCACACAAACACACTGTTGCTCTTTGCTACAGTCCAAGAGAGACACTGAACATTCTGGAGAGGCAGCAGCAGACCTAATACTACATTGTCTCCTGAGAGCCATAAATAAATTAAAATCATGATTTTAGAATCAGAAGATTGTTGTTAAGAGTTATGGATTTTCCATATGTACACAGTGTCATTTTTAACCCTCTCCTGGTTTTCTTGCCCTCCCCACTCACTCTCAAATTTAAAAGCATGGTTTTATATTAAGATTATGATCTTGAATGAATCTCTAGCTAAACTGTAAGGTACAAGTAAGGATAATAAGAACTTATCATTAAGACACACAGTAGATGATGCAGATTCTACAGATTTCAGCATGAAGAATTGTATGCCTTTTTACGTGGAGGTATCTTTTGCCACCCTGTGGTGGCTCACGAGTTGTCAACTGCAGATTCAGGCTTTAGAGGTCCTCAGAGCAACTATGTCTTCTGTCTTTTAATTGGAACTGCTTGGACCTTAAATTTAATAAAACATCAGGAGCAAAATAGGTAGATGGATAGATAGATATGTAGGTAGGTAGATGGATCTATTTGAAAACTAAACTCTGAAAATCTTATTTCACTACATAGCTCTTAGGTGGTTTGATTTTTCGAAAATAAATTATACTCATTGGAAAGAAGTACTTAAATCATGAGTGCTGTGTTTGTTTTTATCTCATGCAAATTTCATTCAAATTTTAGTATGTATTGACCCATTGAACTAATGACATTCATTCAATAACACAGAAAAGAAAAATGGAAAAGAATCAGATCCTCAAGAGAAATGTGGAGTGATCTTTGTATGATATTGCAAGTTATGCAAACAAGTGTCAAAGGCATTATTTCATGCCCTTATAATAATTCTCTAATGTTTTATAGTAGTGTTTGTTATTGTATATATAATATACTGAGTATATATATATATGTGTGTGTGTGTGTGTGTGTGTGTATACAGAAAATAGTTTCTTCTCTCATACAATACATCCCAACCACTGTTTCCCCTCCTTCTAACCCCCACCATGTCATCAAATTATTTCAAGCATCATTGAGTGATTTAAAATGTAACATTTTTTTTTTTTGCTATTTTATCTTCTGTCATTTTTCCTCTCCCTTAGGAGTTCAAACTCATCAATGCCAACATTCTCTACTGGAAAGGGGCCATTTGTGACTTTAAACAGAGCCCCTAATGGCAGCTTGACACTAACCGCCAGGTGGGTACTAAGATGTTTTATTCTCATTTGGTACACAGGACTAGATGGGAAATATTTTGAAGGCAATAAAATGTCAGTGGTACCTTACACACAGTGGTACCCCATACACCATGAAAGTTGTGTAGTTTCTTTTGTTTGTGTAATGCTAACTAATCTTTTCTGATAGGATTGTCTGACCCTCATTTTTATAAAATACAGTATAATGAAATATAAGTAACTAAAGTTCTGGCATACAGAAAGGGAGATGATATACCTTAATACTGTTCTTATTCTCATATTCTAAATTCCTAAACCCCTAAAAATAAACTGCAAATCCTTAAGTGAGTAGGATCAATGGTCCTCAGACCACCATCAAAAGGCAAGGGGTTAGATGTGAATTAAATACTAATTTTCTTAGCAAATAAATATGAATATCATTTAAAAGTAATCAAGCCTATATTGTGTCTCCTTTTACTATTTTAAATTATATTTATCCCTTCAAGCTTTTGTAGAGTATTGTAAAGCATCACCATCTATGAAAGGCATGTCATGAGTAAATTATGTAATTTCTCCTATTTAGGCACTAGGGGCAGTTTTTATCTAAAAATTGTACTCTTAGTTAACATTCTATTACCACTATATTTTGTTTTAACAGACTTGGTGTCAAAACTAACATAATGCAATTCTTCTATTTGCACAAGTTCGAACTCCCACAGCTCAAACAATAAATCAAATTTATAAAGACCATATTTAGCATCAAAAAGGGTGTTGCCTGTTTAGTATTTTGCAACAATGTTGACTGATGTCATGAGTAGCCCTGTAAATGAACCAAACCATTGGAAAGTTTTCAAACAGCTTCCCCACTTCCTCGCTATAAAGCATTCTAAAACTCCGTGGCTCTCCAGTAGGTTGAGAATTCTACCCACTCCTGTTTCCTGCATTGGTTATTATCAAGAAAGAGAAAAGGAAACCGTTTAAAGCCATTCACAACAATATCATGCATGTTTCAGAAAAAGATAACGTCATTCCATTCTTATGAAAATGTGTCAGCACCAAGTCATATTAAAGCCACTATTATGCCTACACCCATTATATTTAGAAAAGACGTATTCTTTACCATTGTTTACAGTAAAAAAAGCCAATTACCTTGACATTTTCAATCCTTTTCTTAATTGCCCATTTTAATCTGAACTGGTAAAACTGGGACATTGATTTATTCATTCCCTTAGTTAACTTATGCTTTTATTTATTTGTTGTAGGATTATTACAATCAGTGTCATGTGAAAAATGGTGCCTTTCAGAGCATCCTTATTTTAAGGGTTCTAAGAAAAATAAGGGAGAAGTTACTAGAGAAAAACTGAACTTGCTTGTTAAATTGATAATGACCTATAACTATGTCTGAGCTTGATTCAAAATAATTAAGCATTGTTTGATCTTTCCAAGACCACCAGTAATGTTTTAGAAGTCATTTCGAATATAGATTTTTATTGATGAGTACTTTATATGTGAAAAGTGTTTTTGTGAGACTTGTGATCCATGTGGCATCCGATAAACTACTCTTCATTCAAACACAGGTGGAAACCGAAAGGAAAATTGAGACTTTTTGAGGAATTTTACACATAGTGAGAGACATACAATCATATTGATTGTTAGTAAAATACATTTTATTATATTTCTATTGAAATTGTATATTAAGACAGAATATCACCAATAGGATGTAGGTGCACATGCTTATAAATAAGCTCTATTGTTCATGTTCTAAAAATATTGAGATGCCTTGATGGAGCATACAGTATTGTTTTGCTCATTTCTTTTATACATTTCCCAAAGTAAGAGGATTCAAGCTACATGTACACCACATTCTGGTAGGTTCTTAAGTGTACAGCATTTAACTCTAAGTGTGTGCACATGTATACTAACATGTGTGCTATTTAATGTGTGGGCTGTCCTTAGCAGCAGCAGAAGTGTGAAGTATTATGATTCCTGGTGTAACATTGACCTCTACTGGTTGGATTGTATAATACCTTATAAACAAATTTTCTTTATGTATACTTTTGGCTCTTGAAAAAATTTCAAAACTATAGGCGATACTGCTTCAGCAGTGTGTGCCTATTCATTATTTTATAGTCTCCATGCCCATTTCTGCCTCTCTTGCAAACACACTATAATGCATTCATTCACTTATAGAACAATTTAACAGAATGAATCTTTACTAAATAGCTCTGAAATTGATGATATTGTGGGTGATTTTCATCAGTTGTTTCTATTAACAGACTTAATTTATATTACTTCAGTTACCAAATGGTCAATCATAGTCTAAATGTTTTAAGGAGTAAGTCATGTTTAAGCAATTCATTAGTTTCAATTCTTGAGTAGGACTAGCCAATCTTACCGTGTCTTGAATGAACCATCTTTTGGTGTAACATAAACAAGGCACACATTATCTTCCCATTAATTCTTCAGAAGTTATTTTAATTCTTAAAAATGCTTGGAGTGTTCAGAGCTTTTATTCCAGGAAGCCATAATTTGCTCAATAGTGGCACTAAAGTAAAGGAATAGCATCTATTTTTAAAGAGCCATGTGATGGTATTGCTAAAAATCTACAATTTGTAGTAAACATACAATTTCTGTTCACAGAATTGTGGAAAAGAAAAAAAATTAGTTTTTTTTCTCTCACCATAATAACCCAAGCTGCTAACTGTGACATGTCATAGGTGTTTGGTTACAAGGGAATTCATTGAACATAGGGTTGAGTTCTATATATGGTTTTAGAGAAACACTAGAGATATTGAAGCATATTCCTTAAGTATAAGACTATAATGAAATCCAAGTCTAGTGTGAGCAAAATGGCAATATCTATCATAGATCAAATATTAACTATGTTTAATTAATAATTCCAAAGCAAAGTTTTCACCTCATCTCTATGAAATCACAATACATTAAGTTCTATTATAATCACGTTGATACTAAGAGGTTTTCCTAGAACTGCATAAAGAGTAAATGGTAAAAATGCAAGCACAACCCTATTTGACATTCAGGTTGGCCATTTTCCTCTGTGGATTTCAGCTTTCCTAAATTTCATATCTGGCATGTAGGTTTAAATGTCTATTTAACTAACAAAAACTTATTTTCTGTTATAGTCTACAGTGTACACAAGATTTATTGACTCTGTTACATTGCAACCACCAGTGTAAGTATTTGTCAACTTTAAGCTTTCAGTTTAAAATTCCAGACAGAATTTTATGTCGCTTGAAGTTATGTTGTCATTACTTCAATGACCAAATGAATTACCTAGAAACAAGGTATATGCCATTTCTTCGATTGTTTTTGATAGCATGTGGAGAGAAAATGGTGACCCAGAAAGTCAACCCAAAGATTGTTGGTGGAAGTGATGCGCATGCCGGGGCGTGGCCCTGGGTGGTGGCTCTGTATTACAGAGACCGGCTGGTCTGTGGTGCGTCTCTTGTCAGCAATGAATGGCTGGTGTCGGCTGCACACTGTGTATATGGGTGAGTATGGAGGTGAAGGGCTCAGCTGTGCATGACTCATACACCAGGGTGCCAAACACTCACCATCACCAAAGGTTGGCGTGAGACAGTTGGCTCTGTGTTCCCTGTCTCATGCTAGTCAAAGCATAACATGCATATTCAGCTAAGAGTAAGCAAAGCACGGTGGGAGTTTATTAAGAGATGGTAAGTAAACTTGACAAAATAAGGGAAAGTGAGGAAATGTCCAAGAGTGGAGAGGATTCAACAGAAGGGAAAGCCCTGAAATAATCTATTAGCTTTTATAGGGCTGTAGCACAAACTGAACAAAACGTGTGATAGTTGTTGTGAGATTATTTGTTCTCTGGGCTATCAGAGCCAATGCTAAGCCCATACTTTCTGTGCATGCTCCCCTACCCCAACCAGGGAATTGATTGGTGCCAATCATGGGCCACTACCCCATCTGTCCACCTGTCTCCTGTTTTGTTAATTATGACCATTGCCTGGATGGTGTTAAGGGCCTTCAACCTCACAGGTGTATCCAGTGTTAATAATCATACTAAGTTCTCTTTTTATATATGCAAAGTATATATACCAAAAAGTATATATACTTGTTCTTTGTTGATGTTGGTCAACATCTTGTCTATAAGATAGACTGGGATTTACCTGTAGAAACAGATGAAAGCTTCCTTAGGGATCATTTCACTTACCTGCTTTGGAAACAAGAATCTGTTAAAAAGGAATAGCTTTCAGATGTTTCCTGGAAGACTGGGTTGTGGTCTCAGGAAAGCCAGCTAACTGACATGATGACACTGACCTTAATCCTCAGAGTCTGCCTCCTTTCTACTCGCCTGCTTTTAAGACCTCTTAGCTACCTCAAGTTCTTCGTTTCTCATCACTAACATCTCTGCCATCATCATTCAGCCCTAACATTGCCTTTTAACTCTAACATCCATTCCCTCTATGTGAGCAACTGATAGTTTTCCCCATGGTCCCTTTTCTCTTATAACCTAGAGCAAATTATTTCCTCCCTCAGCAAGGTGTCCTTTAGCAAACAGGGTTAACTCAGCAGATAAAAAATAGCATCTGATTTTGTATAGGCCCAAACCCACCAGGAAAATATTTCTACTGTTTGTGATGTAAACTTTCCAATCATTTTCCATAAAACTATGTATAACATTTTTGACTCAAATATATTATTCATTTGTAATATCACTGGTTACTTTTCCTATATACACTGACATTTTAATCTTGTCACAAGGGAAACATTTAAAAATGTAGAACAGATATTTATTGCATAATGTTTGCTATCATTCAATTAGGTCAAATAATTAATGTTTAGCAAATCATCAGTAGGAAAAACACATTCACGAACTGCCCTCAAATTATGAGCACATTGTGCTCTAAAAGTCTGTGAAATAAGTACCTTGCAATGACTTAATCCTTGGGTTGCATTGTTAGTGCTACATGTACTTAAAATTTGGAACTAGTTTCCATGTATAAGTTGATTTTGTAACCACAAAGATCAAAATCCATGCCTAATTCTAGGATTGATTTCCTCTCATTAAAAGCAGTCATTCCTAATGCAGTACCATGAGTGTAAGGAGAGTAAATGGAGAGAAATGAGGAGAAAGGAAGAAACGAACAGCCGGGCCAAAGAAACTATTCATCTACTCTTACACAAGGGCAATGTCAAGGTTTTAGTTAACTACTAACAATTCTCAGTGAGATCATAAAAGAACAGAAGCTTCTTCCTAAGATGTATGGGAACCTATTACAAAATGTATTCCTAGCATCTAAGAACTGAGTGGGCACTGAATTCCATAACCTCACCTATTAAGGTTAGGGTGAGTCTCCCATGACAGCTTAAGACTCTAAGAATGAACCCTGGGATCAGGCTTGGAGAAGGCAGATGCACATAGGTTCAAAGAGCTAAAGTCTCCTTCCATAACAGTCAAGGAGAGTTACTGGGTATGTATAAACAAATTGTCAGACACTTCCAGGGAAGAGCAGAAGAGGCAGAGTTGTGATGTTGATGAACTCTGTTGATCCCACCTGCATCCAGATGTCCATGGCACCAAATGCAAATGCAGACCACAGAAGTCTGTAGATCTGGGACTCTTGACCAGATGGTAGCTTGGTTAACCAATTAGTTTCCCGGGGAGCTATCCAAGGAATTTCTCCATCTGCCTTTATAGTTCTCTGATGTTATACACAGAAGAATGCTAAGATAACTAAATAATATCCTTGCTCACAGTAAAAGCAACCTCCTCTGACTTTGCTGTCTTCTGACAATTATATTTGATGTTTTTCCTAAGACACCATGAGAAACAAGTACAGTAGGCATTCATTTCTCATCTATACTAAATATTCCTTTGCTCTTTTCCTATACTTCAAGTTAAAGTTGATGATCTCTATCACAAGTATATTATAAATCAAAGTTTTAGCTAAAAGCTTGGCCCTTTCTGTTGCACATGGACAGATATTAATCAGCAATATTGTCTTATTAGCTTCAGGTTTGGTAAATTCCTGTTTGACATCCTCACAAAGCAAATTATTTCTAAATGTCAAATAGGTCTAGAACAGAATTAATGATATCATTCACTTATCTAATCTATGGATGTATGTTTTATAGGTCAGTGATACCAGTATAATACCTATTCAAACCACAAATACATGAAATGATAGAAAGGTTGCCCTAACTATTATAAACACATGTTCAATCACACAGAGTACAAAATGTCTTTATCTACTTTCAGTTTGAACACAAATGAGTAAAGGTGAGCCATACTACAATTGTAAACATTCAGAATTGTCCTGAAATATCTGCATCTTACTATCCTTCGATGTTCAATAGAAATATAGAAACAGTTTCTCTTTCTAATTTTCTCATCTATTTCTTGTTCTCACTGGCAAAGCAAAATTTTCCAAATTATTTTATTGACCTATATTTAAAATATTTTGACAGAATAACAAAATGGCATCAATTTTTTATCTTATTCCCTAATTTTATCAGTAAAAGTGATTTCTTAATAAAAGAAATATTGTGATCCAGATACTTAATGAACTAATACTACACAACAACGTTAGGAAGGCTCTTTTATCCAGTAGATGAGGAAGTAGACATCTCTTCTATCTCCTCAGACTACTTAAACTCCCCATTTGACACTTTACTAACACATCCTTTAATCACATATTTTGTAATAGACATAATGTATGTTGCAGTTAATAGATTTCTCAAAAGTCTTATTTTCTACAGGCTTCTGTATCAGATCTCTAAAGTCAGCTCTATGTTGAGAAGAGCTACCACCTTTAATTTCACTGATAAACATTATCTGACTTCAAATATAATGGACATTACTAAATCTTTCTGATGATTTTTTTGCTTCCTGATTTCCATATGTTCATTCAGTAAAGTGATTTTGCTAAGGACTCACCTTGCACTAAGGATTTTTCAAATGTTAAGGATAAAATATTTAAATCAAATATTTTAGAGAATTATATGTACACATGTTCCCAGTACAAGCCAAGTGAAGAAAGTACTAGGATAGTTGGAGATCAGTTTCACTGATCCACTTGAAGGAAAAAGTTTAAGAAGTAATAGATAACATGATTATATGATTATATATCAAGACCCATAGCAACAAAGATAGTGTGATGTAGGCCTATTCCAGAAACCTCAAGAATCTTTGCTACTTGATCTAGATCTTAAAGGAACAATAATACATTGGATGTTGAGGCACAGTCTAGGTAAAGAATATTGGGCCATGATAACTGAGATGAACAAACATTAGAGGCTGAAAGATGACTTTATTTTATCAAGCTGATGTGTGGGGATAAACTTGCTAATCAAAAGTGAAACTGTAAAAAGCAGGTAAAAATTGATGATGATAACCTAAGATCATAGCTGAGGATGATGGGAATTTAATAATAAAGACATCTAAGCATACCGGTACCAGGAAGAATTAAGGGGTGACTATAAGTAACAGTGGGAGTATGATAAAATGTACAGTGTTGAGATGAGGAATGAACAATGAGGCAGTAAAAAGGAAGTAACATTTCTTATTTTTATACATATATGAGCTATGTATGTATATGTATATGTTCTTCTCTCATGCAATACATCCCATTCACAGTCTCCCCCATACTCCTTCTAGCTCCTCCTAACTTTCCCTCTTGCCCAAATCCATTCTTCCTCCATTCCTACTCAGAAAAGAACAGGCTTCCATGAGGCAAACAGGACAAAACCAAGATACAATATGTCAAGGCAAAAAGCCCTCATAAATAGGCTGGAGAAGGTAACAAATAAGGAAAATGCAACAAATAGTAGGAAAATGGGGTCAAGAGCAGGCTAAAGAATAAGAGATGCACCTGTTCATGTGTTTGGAGTCCCACAAAGACATCAGGCTAACAGCTCTAACATATATGCAGAGGCCTGGTACAGACCTGTGTGGGTCCCTATGCTTTCTGGGCCATGTTCTCCTGATGCCCTGCATCCCCTCTGACTCCTACAATTTTTCCTTCCCCTCTTCTGGGGTTACCCAAGCTCTGAGGGGAGGAATCCAATGAAGACCTCCAATTTAAACTACCTCTGCATAATTTCTGTCTGTGGGTTTTTATTGATACTGGTCAATTTGACTCTAAATTATAGAGAAGCAATGATTAAAGTGTAATAATATGCCGTTGGTATTTGAATTAATGGCATCACTAGATAAACCCATGTATATAGGTTTAAAAAAAAAAGACTAAAGTAGAATCCTAAAGTATTCTATTACTTAGAGTTGATTGTGAGAGAGAGACCCAGAAGAGGGCAGAGGAAGAAGGCTTAAGTGAAAAGAAATCACAAGTTCATGGGCTGTTCTGGAGGTCATGCAAAGTAGGGTGTTCAAAATGATTCCTTATTTCTATGACTAGTCCACAGGTGGATAATGATGATTTGTGGCTTCCTCCAGTGCCTGTACTTGGCTTTCTTGCATTTCAATGTCATTTATACTCACTCATACACAGAATAAATTATGTCCTAGTTTCCTATCCACTTTTCATAATACTACTACTTCTTTTTGCTCATATAGATTCATGTCCTTTCATGACCAATTTATTATAATGATTAAAACAATCATCATAATTATTAATTGATGTCTAAATTGCTGAAAGTTGACCAATTTTACCTAATTTGGTCTGCTTCTTTCTGAGTTCAAAATATTTTTTTTTTTTTGGTTTTTTGAGACAGGGTTTCTCTGTGTTGTTTTAGAGCCTGTCCTGGAACTTGCTCTGTAGACCATGCTGGCCTTGAACTCACAGAGATCCATCTGCCTCTGCCTCCCAAGTACTGGGAGTAAAGGTGTACACCACCAATGCTGGATTGTTCTTAGTAATCCTTGAAGAACTTTTTATTCTGTAGTATCAATTTCCATTTCAGCTGCATCTTAAGTTTTACTCCTTAAATTATCATTAGCTGTACTCTAGGGACCCTCATCTTGTTCAGAAGAGAATAACTGTAGAGTCAAAAAAAACTTTTGTTAGGAGAAAGCAGGGTTATAGACAAACTTGCTGAGGCTGCCCTTATTCCATTTATACTAACAGAGGGAGGGTTCAGTTTAGACTTACAAAATTCTACCTACACTAATGTCTGCTTCCCTATCATGTTGCTCTTCCATGATTCTCTTCCTATTTTTATTTCCTAAATCATTTGTACCTGAGGCAACACCACTATTTGGAGATAATGCTTGTTTATACATCTGGTGCAATATTAACTTCCTAGGATGTGTGCTAGGTTTTAAGTATTTTTACCACACCCAGCAGATGGAGGGAAATTTGTCAGAATTAAGTCAACTTCCACATCTAAGAAGCCTTATGAAGTAACAGCCAATGACTTAGAAATAGCTATCAATATGACCACCTGTCCACTTGTTTTCTGTCTTCTGCCTTCCTTCCTTCCTTCCTTCCTCCCTAACTTTCTTCCTTTCTTCTTTCCTTCCTTCCTTTCTTCTTTCTATTATATTCTATTACAATCTACTATCCCTCATATCTCTCTTCATTTCAGAGCTAGTGATAAATCCAAAGGCCTTGCCCATGCTAACCATGTCCTAATACTGAGTTCTACTCCCAGCCCAGCTCTTCCACTTTGGCCAGCATGTAGGATTTAAGAAGAAAGAAAATAATTTAAAATACAAATAATCACTACTTTTCAACAGAAATGACACCCATGAAGACTTTTCTATCTACTCATCTGGAATAATAATCCAAATACATTCTTTCTTATATAAGTGTTACGAGCATGTTTTCCAGCCTGCCTGGTCCCACAGCCACGCCAGCCCCAAATAACACAGAGAGAAGCTGTATTAGATATAAAGCTGATGGTCTGTTACTAGCATTTCTTATTGGCTAGCTCTGTCTTAAGTATTAACCCATTTCCATTAATCTAAGTATTTCCATGTGGTCTCATCTTACCGTAGAGAGGGCCCGGAATTCTTCTGTCTTGGTACCACATCTTGAATCTTCTCCTACCTTTCCCTGACTCCTCCTTCTCTCCTAGTCCTTCCTATCTTGCTTTGCTGTTTACCAACAGTGCTTTATTCATTAACCAATAAGAAAAACATATTTACAGAATGATACCTCCCATCATATAAGTTGCCTTTTTCATTATGTGTTTGTTATAGCAATAGAAAAGTAACTAATAAAATGTCAAAATATGTTTGAGGAGTCATTTTAGAAGAAAAATAACATTAGTTAAGCTTCTTTAATCTGATTAGGAATATCAAAGTGGAGCCACCTGTGGAACCCAGCAAAACTGGTTTACAGGAAATTAGCAATGTAGTAGTGGTTATCAGAAGCTGGGGAACCAACAGGGGAAAGTAGGGGTAATCTGACATAAAGTAGAGGTTAGTTGTCTACTACACAATAGTGTGACTACAAATAATAGCGATATTTGTTCCAAAAAGGTGGAAGAAAGCATCTTGAGAAGTTTCACCCCAAGAAGATAATAAATTTCAGAGAAAATGTGTTTACTTACTTTGACTTAAACTTTACAACATCATATATATACACATGTATCAAAACACCAAATGGCATTCCCTAAGTATATCCCAGTTTTCATGTTAGTGAAGATTAATGAGAAAAAAATACCTAAAAAAGGAACACTCCTTAGAGAAATAGATGAATACTACTGAATGGAAATGTATACATTTCTAACTTTTTATGTTAGATGACTTCTAGAAAGTTCTATTCTAGATGGAAAATTACTTGAAAAGATTTTTCTTACTTCAATCTTCAGAAGAAATGTAGATCCAACCAGGTGGACAGCATTCCTGGGCCTGCATATGCAATCAAATCTGACTTCTCCTCAAGTAGAAAGAAGGGTGATTGATCAAATTGTCATAAATCCTCATTATGATAAGCGAAGAAAGTTCGATGACATTACTATGATGCACCTTGAGTTCAAAGTGAATTATACAGGTAAGAGAACTATATCTAGCCACCTAGTCTGCTTGTAGCAATCCAAAGTGACACTTGAAATATCAATGCAGGGTTAGTTCACAAGACTTAGTAATTTTCTGCAGACATCTTTATAACCTAAAAACAATTGAAGTAGGAAAATTAAGAAATCTTCATCATAGTACTTAAATCTAACTATGTGGAGATCTACTAAAATGAACTCTTAGAGTTCCTCATGAAGAAGCACCAGGAACTCATCCAGCCTGTTTGTTTGTCATGCAATAGAAACATTTGTCCATCTGCCAAAATGCATGAAGCAAAACACAGAAGCAAAAAAAAAGAAGTAAAAGAACTGTTTCATCCATGTGGAGACAGTTTTAAAGGACACCAAATAATATCACCAGTTCAATCAATGAAGGGTTGTCTTAACTGCCTATAAAATGCACAAGAATTCACCTGATAAAGTGAATTTTTCCTAAAGAGCTTTGTTCAATCCAGGCTATTACTCTGAAGTCTTTTCCAAAACCTGGTTGGGCAACATTGCCACCCACTATAAAATTAATTCATTTTTGCATAATTTTATAAAACATTTATCAAGATTACATTCATGTTTGATAAGAGAATTAAATTAATGGAATAAGTCTCCATGTTGATTATGAAAAAGTCATATGATTACAGTCCTTAGTAGCATTACACTGTCCTCAAGGGTAGTCTTCATTTCTCTATCTCTCATGCATCTTGTGGGCATCAGAAGCCCACTGAAAGTTAAAGGACTTGTAAATTGATGCTGAAAAGTCAAACCTGATCCTTCTGTAAGATCCAACTGAAACAATTGGGAAAAAAGTGGTTTTAATATGGTCCTATCTGTCAAAGAATATTTTAAAACACCATCTAATATTTTGCTTACACATATGTATATGTACACATATAAAGAGGATAAATAAAGATGTAAAAGAATATTCCAACATTTTACAATATTGGGACCACTTTGAAATGAGTACCATAGTTATTTAAAATTCAAACACAACTGACAAATCCTGAACTAAGGCATTATGTACATATAAAAGATTAATGAAAGAGAAGAATCCAAACAGTCTACCATGCGATCAAACACAGACAAATAAACACTGCTCTAAAATGCATCACCCCTTAATATCTAAAGTTGTTCTGGTATAATGAAATTCAGTTATAAATTTTTTACATTAAATGTTGGAAATGGTTGATTTAAAAAAATGTTAGAAGCATGGGTGACATTTTGTGATTTTTTTTCTTTTCTTTTTGCTGCTTTTTTGTTTTGCGTGATTTTTCAGATTATATACAGCCTATTTGTTTGCCAGAAGAAAACCAAGTATTCATTCCAGGGAGAATTTGTTCAATTGCTGGCTGGGGATATACTGAAATTCAAGGTAAGTTATCATATTTGAAAATGAGAAAATATATACTAGAAAAAAGTATGCTACTGAAATTTGCTGTACATATTTTCAATACTTTTGCATCTTTTAACCTATTACTTTTTGAAGAATATTCTGAAACAATTATTGGAATTACATTCCACGGTTACGCTCATATAGTACCACAGAATATTTTCAGATTGTGTCAGACCCAATACTAGAGCCCAAAGTACTGCTGGGAACAATATGTAAATTGAACAGTTTTGAATGTTTAGTGAGGATAGGTAATAAGAAAGTTATGAGCATGTTTTTCCAACGGTCTGGTCCCACTGCCTCGCCAAACAACACACTGAGATGCTGTATTAGATATAATTCTGTTGGCCAGTTACTAGAATTTCTTATTGGCTACCTCTGTCTTAAATGTTAACCCATTTCTATTTATCTAAGTATTTCCACGTGGTCTCATCTTACCGGAGAGTGGGCCCCGGACCTCTGTTCTCTCCAGTCTCTACATGTTGACTCTTCCTTACTACTTCCTGGAACCTCCTAGCCCCGCCTACCTTGTTTTCCAATTGGCCAACAGTGCTTTACTCATTAACCAATATGAGCGACATATTTACAGAATGACATCTCCCATCAAAGGAAGGGCACTATTGTCTAGCAGGATCATGTGACTTCTGTAATCATAAATGATAGCCATGATAGGTAAATTACCCTGATGTATTTAAGAAGAAGAACACATTTTTTTTTCAAAGCACTGCCTTTTAAAATGCCCTTTGGAGAAAATGTGTGGAATGGTTTAGTGGTTTTCCACCTTTGATTTTATAAGACTTGATGTTAGGAAACCTCATCACAACATCACACTTAGCCTGTGTAAAAACACTCCACGTATATATTCCGTTCACTTCTTTATTGCACTTTTGAAATGAAATGGGAGAAAGGAGTTGGATCATTATGGCTGAGAGGTAGTGTGTACATGAATGAACGCCCTGAGTTCAGTTGAAGAGAGGGAGGAGGGGGTCGTATGGAAAAGCAGGAGGAGGAGTCAAGACTATGATGAGGAAAACCAGAGACCGCTGAGGCAAGCTAGAGGGAGCTCATGGACTATGGACTGACAGCTGGGGACCCTGCATGGGACCAAACTAGGCCCTTTGAATGTGGATGCAGTTATGTGGCTTGATTTGTTGAGGACAGGGCTGGCAGGGAGACCAATATATATCCCAGGTTTATAAACTGGCTTTTTTGGATCCCGTTTTCTATGGTGAGATAGCATGCTTAGCCTTGATACAGGGGGGAGGGGCTTGGTCCTGCCTCAACTTGGTATGGCAGACTTTGTTGACTGCCCAAGGAAGGTCTGACACCTGAGGAGTGGGTGGGGGGGGGGTGTTGGGAAGGGTGGGAAATGGGGGAGAATAGCAGAAGAGGAGGGAGGGGTAACGGGTTGAAATGTAAAATGATATTTTCCCTTTATTTAAATTTGAAACAAGGTTGTTTTACATGTCAATTCCAGTTCCTACACCCTCCCATCCTCGCCTATCATCCCCACCAAACCCCAGCCCATCCCATTTATGCTCCCCAGGGAGGGTGAGGCCTAGGCCCTCCCCTATGTATCTAGGCTGAGAGAGCATCCCTCTATGTGATATGGGCTCCCAAAGCCCATTCCTATACTAGGGATAAATACTGACCCACTACCAGAGACTGCCCAGTCCTAACTGACACCCACATCCAGGGATTCTAGGTCAGTCCTATGCTAGTTTCCCAGCTATCATCTGGAGTCTATGACCTCCCCCTTGTCAGGTCAGCTGTCTCTGTGGGTTTCTCCAGCCTGGTCATGAAGCCTTTGCTCAATACTCTTCCCTGTTTGCATTCCAGGGGTTCCGCTAGTGTTTAGCTGTGGGTGTCTGCTTCTGCTTCCATAAAAGTATTCTTTAAAAATAGAGAAAAACAACCTTGCTGATCTGGGAAGCATCAATTCTGAGGCCAGTGCTCATCTGCCTGAAGACTCAGCAAAATAGTCCATGACAGTCACATTTTCTGGCTGACAGTACCTCTTAGCTGCTGTCCACTCAGTATATAGTAAGAGACTATGTTTTTGTATTCCCTCTGCTGGGAAAACATCATGATTTATTAAGTTTGAAACTTAAATAGTAAAATGATTGCTAGACAGATGTTTTGTCTTTCAAATTTCCAAAGAACAATTTATAGCCACAATGTAGACATCAAAAACAAATTATCTGCTAACAAAATTTAAGACTCCTTATTCCATTGAAGATATTTTTTGGAGCGGAGCAGGCAGGCATGGCTTGCTTATTATTCCTAAAATATATGTTTAATTAAATTAAAATGTCTCCAAAGGCAGTGTGGAGCCAGTAGAGGGAAACAGTATCAGAAATCATTTAGGATGAAATGGCCAGACCATGTTTCATTCCTTCTTAGTTTTTTCATAGATTTTATTAATTTTGCCATATGGTTTTTATCCATACAATTTCATAAAACTCCATTTTGTGATCTAAAGAGTTTATTTTACTAGTTAATTAGCTAAGGTATTTGGAAAGAAAAGAGATAACTGTTTAAGTTACATAATCAGTATTTAAAAATAACCAAGTTTGGCCATATATGGCTTTGTGTGTGTGTGTGTGTGTGTGTGTGTGTGTGTGTGTGTGTGTGTGTGTGTTTCTGTCTGTTTGTGTGTGTGTCTCTGTGTCTCTGTGTGTGTGACTGTTTGTGTGTGTATGTCTCTTTGTGTGTGTGTGTGTGTCTGTGTGTGTGTGTGTTTCTGTGTGTTTGTGTTTGTATGTGTTTGTGTGTGTCTGTGTTTGTGTCTGTTTGTGTGTGTGTCTCTGTGTCTGTGTGTGACTATTTGTTTGTGTATGTCTCTTTGTGTGTGTGTGTGTGTCTCTGTGTGTGTGACTGTTTGTGTGTGTATGTCTCTTTGTGTGTGTGTGTCTCTGTGTGTGTGACTGTGTGTGTGTGTATATGTCTCTTTGTGTGTGTGTATGTGTGTGTCTGTGTGTGTGTGTTTCTGTGTGTTTGTGTTTGTCTGTATGTGTTTGTGTGTGTCTGTGTTTGTGTCTGTTTGTGTGTGTGTCTCTGTGTCTCTGTGTGTGACTGTTTGTGTGTGTATGTCTCTTTGTGTGTGTGTGTGTGTCTCTGTGTGTGTGACTGTGTGTGTATGTCTCTTTGTGTGTGTGTATGTCTCTGTGTGTGTGTATATACATGTGTGTGTGTGTATCTGTACATGTTCTCAATCTTACGCATGGAAACTATCATGAAGAAATAAATATGTCTGGAGAGAGGGTTCAGCAGTGAAGAGTGTGGAGACCCTGAGCCCTGAGTTCACGCCCCAGCACCCAGGCTAATTAGCTCACAACCCACTGCCTTTAACTCTAGCTCCAGGGACCAGGTGACTTCTCCTGTGCTCTGCTGCCACTCACATTCTTAGGCACCCCTGCATGCACATATATAACTCAAAAATAACCAAAATCAGATTTTATAAGAGAAGGAAATACTAAATAGACAGACATTGCTCATAGTCTCTTTTGCTAAGGAGCTCTGTCACTTACTCAAACAAATTTTGAATCGAGGTGCAAGTACAAAGGGAGGCTTCTGTTTTTATTGTCACACTAAGGTCTGCCTACCCATTCTTGATCTTTGTAGGGTAAATGACAGAGAGTGACTGAACTTTCCTCTCTATTTCAGTCTCTTGTGGTTGTTTTCTTAATTTGAAATCTGCCAGGTTTTGGAAGCCAATTGTGGCTGTGTTGTTCACTTGGCTGGAGGCAATTTGTACATTTTCTTCCCAACTCTGTTTTAATCATTGTTCCTTTATAGTTAAATCTTTCATGGTAGCATTGTTTGCCACAGTAGGGAAGAGGGAAGATTTGGGACTTTTCCCCCTAAGATAACAAATAGCTACATTTACCAACATACACTAAGACACACACACACTCACACACACGTGTGTGTATGTATATATGCGTGTTTGTACTGCACTTAAATCACATGCATAAATGCACACTTGTTCCTTTCCTCAATATCTTAATTTTCTTATGTGTAAGTGAAACATAGCTCAATATGTGGTTGTATATGTTTCTACAATGCTGCCTGGCAGATGTAATAAATAACCTTTAACTTTCTATCTCTTTTGCTGCACCAAATAGAGTTGCTAATCATGAGGGAGTGCTTGTGTACCCTTTCTAGAGGAACTAACACCTGTCTGCTTCACAAGCCTCTTGGGAGTAGTAGTTCAGTAAACAGAGATTCACACTTCCAATCATTAGTTGCATAAAACAAATGCAAATACACAATGCTACGATATACTTCCTTTTCCTTCTCCTGCATGGGAAGGCAAGCTGATTGCCCCCAGAGCACAGCACAGTTCATCGGAGCTTTGTCCCCTGCAAAATGTGCACCTGCTCCCACACACAGAACCACAAAGAAGCTGAATGCCATTATACAGGAGGGAGCACCTCCTCAGGTGCTGAATGAAAAGCTCCTCTGAATCTCCAAGTCCCTGTGCTGATTTCCATGAATGAACTCTTTGTGCTGGCAGACTTCATTTCTATGAGCAACACTGTAACTCTTTAAAATCACTGAAAATGCCTAAAGACCACCCTAGTCCAATCCATGATTCTTAGTACCCCTTAGGAAAGAAAGAAATGCATTCCTGCTATCCATTTGCCAAAGAGTGCAGGTGGGTATACTATGTAAGCTTAAAATGCAGGGTTAGTAGTTAGTTCCATTATACATCCACACAGTACTTGATAATGAAAGCAAAATGCTGGAATCAATAGGATGGATGGTGTTTCATCCAAGGACACCTGTTAATCACTACTGACTGGCTGTCTGCATCACTGTTTTGAGCAGGTTCTACTGCTGATGTACTGAAAGAAGCTGATGTTCCTCTTGTATCCAATGAGAAGTGCCAGCAACAGCTGCCAGAATACAACATCACCGAAAATATGATATGTGCAGGATATGAAGAAGGAGGTATAGACTCTTGTCAGGTAAATATAGGATAATAGTCATCTTATACATTTAAATATCATTCTCTTTGTGTAGACATAATTGGGGAGTCAAGAAATAACTAATGATCTTCAATTCCACTTCTTTCATGGTAAATCCAATTATTGATCACGAGTGACTTTCGACAAGCCACTTGTCATTTATCGAGAGGGTTAAGTAAGATGACACACGTAAGACAATCAGCAAACATTAAAATCCAATTAGATTTTATTAGGACACTTACTAAATACATTTTCTGGTATGTCTTAATTACTTGGATATTAATAAAATATTAATGCATCTATATCTACTGCATTAAACTATAAAGTATTACAGAACAAATGATTAATTTATATACGTGAAAATAACCATTTTTACTGTGAGGAAATGGTTTCACCGTGTTAAAGGGTAGCAACATGTTTCATGTAGTCAAACACATATAACATAATTTGACAACACCTTTTTAACAGACAGGCAGATAAATGTGTAAGTTTTTCCCTTAGTTAAATCAATTTCTCAAGTCATGCTAAACTTTCAGATTGGCTTTACATTTATCTGCTTTGATGAACACTTGTATATTCAATACAAATAAAATAGCTTTACATTCATTTAAAAATTTACCTCCAGATCTTTATACCTTCCTTGTAAAATGAATAATGTGCTAAAGATAAGACACATTACCACTTAAGATGTGATTTATAGAATTATTTGCAAGAGGGAAATCCGCTGTACAATTTCAATTACAGTTAATAGGGTTGCATGGCAGGCACCTCACATATGAGGTAGAAAATATGATATCTAATGCTATTGATCTTAGAGTTACATTAGGCCAGTAACTCTTTCCAGATCTGTGAAATTATATGCTTGGCTCTGCTTTCTACAGGACCTAAGCATGCTGCTCATTAGCAAGAAAGAAATTCCTAATGGATAGAAACATTCCATACAGTAAAATGTTCTTATAACCGAGTAACCATCACTCAAGATTGCCACATGATTTTCTTGGTCCAACTTTAATATTAACTGGTGAAATATTAACACATATTACTTAAAATGTTGAATATATCACTATTTGAATACATTCACTTAATCATTATATTATAGCCTCAAAATTTTTCCAACCAGGGGGACCCAATTCCTTTGTTTATTGTAGTCTTTTGAATTTAAAGTCAATAAGAGAAACTACAGACTGTCTTTTTATGGATGAGACTAGATGTCATTTCCTTGTCCATTCAGAAACTATACTCTTTGTCAGTAGCTTCACAAACATATCCTACACTACATGGGATGGATCCCTTTACCCAGGAACTTGTTTAAATTGCAAATTTAAGAGTCCTTCACAAGCTTGCAAATCAGAATTTTAAATTGAGTCTCAATGATGTACGCTCGTGACTATAACAAATAGTAATGTTCTATTTGTTACTATAACAAATAGTAATTGTTCTAAACAAAAATAGTAACTAATCCTTTCAGAGTCAAAGAAGTTAGTGACCTGTGTTTGTATTAACAGACACTGCATATTCTTACATACTATAAATAGTATCAAAGTAGAAACAGATAGTTTTAATATTTTGTGTTCTTGCATTAGTTTATGATTTAAATAGTTATATTTCTTTGAAATAACAGAAGAAGAAACGTCACTAAACAAATTATAAAGTCAAGGCCAGGAATTTACATAATGGCTGGATAATGGGAAACAAAGCCAAGGCCCCTAGCCATGCAGACATCTAGGAGAAAGGTAGAAAGCCTTCTGCAGGGTCCATGTATCAATGCCAATGAACTTATCCAATATACACTAAGTAAATTAAAACATTTGACCCTAACATCAATATCTTATACTTACCTAGTAAAACTATCTTCATAAAATAGGAGGAACCAGGTAGCTCCTTTTAAAAACACCAGATTAAACTTTGCTTTAGTGTTAATAATTTCTAAATAATATATGACATTGTGAGCAATAGACTTCTCCATGAATATTTCTAATATACAGATCCAAGCCTGAGGCTATGAAAGTAAAAATCACTGTCCCTCCCTCAGACAGTATTGTCAGTGATTGCACCTTAAATATAGGTAACTTGTGACTGGCCAATACCACTTGTGTTCCTCTGTGTCCAACCATGGATCAGGGAGTGCTTTGACAGACCACCTCCCCCCTTTTTTACAGCACCAAAGGATGTTTAAAATATTAGGCAAGGGGTCTCTCAGGATAATTCTTAACCTGGAGCCAAATTTTAAATGCTCTATTACAGCAGTGGCTTTTGATCAAGTATATAGTGTTGCATATCGTTTTATGATATAAAAATAAATAACTTGCAGGGTAGTGCATGCCTTTAATTCCAGGAGAGGCATTCAGATCTCTGTGAGTTCAATGTTAGTCAGATCTTCATAGCCAGTTCCAGGCCAGCAAAAGCTGCATAGTGAGGCCCTGTCTCAAGGGAAAAAAAAGACAAGTAAATAACCAGAATATCTGCATAAGTAATATGGGAGAAATATGTATCCATTTTTCATGCTATTTCATGTTCATAGCATTTCTATGGACATTAGAGAGGAATCATTATGCACAAATAAGATCTATGTGGTCATACCTATACAGGATCAACTATCACTCATATCACTTACACCGTGACAAAAATCCACCCACCTATAATTGAAATCTAAGTGAAAACACATGTTCTGAATTCTAGAAAATAGGAGATCTTCTTATTTCACTTGAAATATTATTAAGGTGTTCAAATCTCATTAGTATCTGACAAAACTTTCACTCACATAAGAAATAAATCTGAAACCATGTGTAAGCTCTTAATTCTTCCAAAATCATGATGGGGAATAGCTTTGCTTTTTACATAAAGGCTTTTTCTGGTACTTTACATGTTACTTAATAACATGATTAGCATGTTGATGTTGACGGAATTTTCTATTGTACCATTTTAGAATGTCTAACTATGTTGAAATAAAGTAGCGAAAGTGAGAAATTACTTGCTAAGAAATGCTTCACCACAGGCTGGAGAGAGGGTTCAACCATTAAGGGCTGAGCTCACAACTGAAAATATAAGAAATGCTCCACCAGAATGATAAGCTTTGTGTTGTTACCATTTACCCCATCTCCTTGAGGAGCAAATTGCAGATAGCTAGGATGATGGCAAGAATACAGGCACATAACTGGCAATTGAACATATTTCTGTACATTTATTTATTTAATTAATTAATTTTTTGATTGGTGAGTCTAGCAAAATTGTACTTATTTATACTAATTGGCCACGTACCCACAGCCTTTCTTTTGTTGTTCACACTTTAGGGTGATTCGGGAGGACCATTAATGTGCCAAGAAAACAACAGGTGGTTTCTTGTTGGTGTGACATCATTTGGAGTTCGATGCGCACTGCCTAATCACCCTGGGGTATATGCCCGGGTCTCAGGATTTACAGAGTGGATACAAAGTTTTCTACATTAGACATTTCTTCTGACCCAAACATGAAAGTTGGGCAATTTTTCTTTGTTTGTTTGATTTTCCTTTTTACTCAAAGTAGCACGTCAACTGAGAGTTTCATGAGAATGAAAAAAAAATTCTTTTTCTTCTAAACCAAATAATTTAAATACTGGGATAAGGAAGAACGACAAAACAAATTCAAATCAATCTTTGCAACATAAAGTAACTCTAAAATGCATTTTTGTTTCATAATAAACAATTATTTTTATAGACATCATTTCCTTTGTTTTGAATCATTTTTATCATCTTCTATTGTGTGGAGGGTTATTATTTTAAGACATTCTGCATACATTTAAGCAAAAATAGGTAAAGAAATGAAATGTAATAGTTGGCCTGAAGGGTGCAGTTGTTTGAAATGAGCTGTTGTAACTCATCTAATTTCGCTTTAGTGTACCATCAGAGTCACTCTTGTTTTCTTGCTTTACCATCTGTATGCATTTCAAGTTAAATGTAACATTTTCCTGTTCATAAAAGTACATTTGTTATAAACTCATATTGCAAACATAATCACATCTTCACTGTGCCTTTCATCCAGGTAAAGAAAACACACAAAGTCTCTCTCCTGACCATAAAATGTAAAAGGAAACTACCTAATAATGTCATTCTACACAAATATTCTTTATTTGGGTCATTTTAATTTAGCATTTACATCAAGCTGGTATTTTCTAAAATCTCAAAAAACAAGCAGGTATTTTGAGGAAATTCAGCTATTAAATTTCTTTCTTAGTTTATATATTTACAGAAGATCTTTAACTTGAAAAACTTGTTCTGAAACAGCCGAGTTTCCCATGGAAGTCAAAAATGTATAATAAATTAATTTTCTTTACTACTTTAATCTCTTGGATCATTTCCAGAGTAACTACAAATGTCAATTCAGTTTACGACACAGATCCTGCTAAAATCCATAGCAACTTAAACACAAAATGCACATATGCACACACAGAGAGACATATTTCACACACACATACACACACACACACCCACACACTCTCTGACATATTTTTGCAAGAATTGAAACAATGGAAGGATGAATCGGGTTCAAATCAGTTGAGTAAGAGGCAGCACTTGCTGTGATTTGCATTGTGGAAGAAGGGAAGCTTCAGCTACACTTAGAGACAATGATTACAATTGGGGCAATCAAGAAACACTGGAAACAGCTGTACAGACAGGAATGACCCTGAAGGTTGAGGACAGAGGTCAAAAGACAGTCAGAGCATGGGAAACATGCCATTAAAAGAAGGTTGAACAAGATGATGCAGGACTGGATGTTCCCATATACAACAACACAAATAGGGCTCTCAGAACACACTCTGCTTAGGAAAACAGTTACTACTCACCTGAGCCTAGCAAGGAGAAAGGAGCACAAAGATTGGGGTGTGTTGTTTGTTTTGAATTTGTGAAAGCAGCTCCATATTTAATGGCATTTCCCAACATGTATTTAAACAATGTTCTGCAAATACAGAGTAGTTACATCACATATTGGTTTGTTTTGTTTTTTGAGGACCAGCTAAAACTTCCAGAAATGCTTAGAATGGTATCGTGTCCACCTTCTAATGGGAAGTAAATGTCTTTCCCCAGCCTTGTTACAGATGGAGTTTGCCACTGACATCTGTAGTTACCCTGACCCGGATAGCAATAAAAGGGGGAACAACAGCCTTGCCTGACCACTTTGTCCTTCCACCCTCCAGCTGTTAGAGTTCCAAGAGGCACAGACAAACCCCCGTTTCCGTTCTCACGGTTCTAACTAAGGGAAGAAATTGGTGGAGTTGGCAAGGAAGGAAAACATAGATCCAAGCAGCTGGGCTCCCATTTGACCCAAAAGATGGAGGGCCACAGAAAGGATGGGGGCCGAATGAGGACAGCTGAGCTTAGAATGCAGTTGCCCATCTCAGTCTCAGAGCAGCAGATAGAGACCAGAGGTCCCATTTGCCTCTTATTTAAACAAACCAATTCTATGTAAGGGAAGTACTGGCCGACAAAGACTGGCCAAAAATATGAAGTTTCCCTGTTCACTCTATATCCTTGCCTTCCATGTTCTTCACATGTAATGTTTATTTTCATCTTCAGGTAGTGATGAAACACAACTGTTCACTTAAGAATTTAGACAACACCAATGATCATTCCTCAGAAATAAGCACTTTTTATTTGATCAAAAGTAACATCGGGACATTTGAAGACAAAATAGTCACAACTCTCTCTTGAGAAGAACAAATGCTACCTGTTGAGGAAACTGGATCAGACAGAAGGGAGCCACAGTTCACAATCATGAACAAACCCTCATCAAAGATATCTAAACATCAATGGCATCTAGCCCCTGGCCCGTGAACTGGTGTGATTTGTAGTTTTTGTTTTGTTCTTAATTGATAATATCAGTGTATTCTGCTTAGCATCACACTGCTGAAAACCATTCAGGCCTATATATCAATACAAGCTAAATTCAGTTAGAAACCCTAGCTGAACTGCAGCTGTCTGACTCCAGGGTCAATTCCAGCCCTCCAACAGCCACCCTGTTCGGTTGACAGGGAGGAGCTGCACCTTGAGTCCAGACACTTGGAGAACAGCTTGCAATTCTATAGGCAACGTGTGAAGACCTGTGATTTGTACTGTGATGCCACTTTTTTCCAAGATAAACTACATTGGTGTATATACACTATTAATAAAGACATTTTATTACAAAACTCAGTTTAATTTTAAATTAAGAATAATTGTAAGGCACGTGTCTTGCACAATTGAAGTTAGACAGTTCTTGCCTTTAAGTAAAGGTTTTCAGGAGATTTAAAACACAGTCAATGAAACAGTTTCTTATTTCTGAAGAGATTTCCTAACCTTATGCAACCAAAAACAGAAATGGAAAAACATGAACTATTTCTGCAAAAAAAAAAAAGAATAAAAAAAGTTTTCCCAATGGAAAGATTTCTTTGTGTCTATGTGAATTCAGTATTTTCAGTATTTAATCAAAATAGCATGTATGCAAAAATGAAATGCCATAAATATAAATATTTGAACACTCCATATTTATCAGACACTTTTGCAAAGGTAGAATGTTTCTGCACACTGTAAATGTGAATCCAAATTATATTACATGAAATAAAGCAATACTGATCAATTATGAAAATGAAAAAAAAGCAAAAGTAACTATTTCCAACACAGGCACTCCAGATGTGTCCACTGAAATTTACTGCATGGTCAATTTCATTTACATGAAGTTTGGTGCATCCTTTGGCTGAGAAAGCAGATCTCCTCACTCCATGATCAACACAGCATATTTTGTAAGTGTAACTATGGACATATAAAAATTATTTTGACGTTTGCCTCAAGGGGGAGCTTATAGTTCATCTTGCAGATCCTTTGAGATTTTTTTTAAGCCATTCCAAGCTAATGATGCCATTCCTTACACTGATCAAGAATTACAAAACTATGTTTTTTTTTTTTCTGGAGCAAAGTCAGTTAAATATTATACTTCCATGCCACTTTCCTTCCTTGTGCTCTTTGAAATCCACAGTGTAGACTGGTTTGGGCTAGTTTTTGTTCTTCCTTTACTGAAAAACATAAAAAGAAATGAATTCAGTTCCTGAATCTGTTTATCAAGCTGGTTGTGTCTTCATCCAAAGAGAGATGCTCAGACAGTTAGGATGAGTTCTTCTTTCCTCAGCAGCATGTTTTCTATTCCTACAAGAAAGTCTAGATATCACTGTGTGAAGATGACAGTCTGTATGAGACTTGAAAATAAAGCAACAGACATACCTGCATTTGTTAACTCACCAAAGAGTTCAAACACACATGCATAACAATGCTTGACTGGGTACTAAAACATCCAGTTTCCCCCAATAAATCTTGTTTTCTCTGGCCAGATTTCTACATATTACTTGGGTACTCTAAAATAATGTCTGTTGCAGTTAGTGTCAAATCATCCAAACACATGCTATGGCCCTAAATGTAAGGAATGCCTATTTGCCTTCTGCCATCAATCTTCCTGAGCTCCACTTAAGTCAACTGTGTACAGAGAGCTTAATTTTGCCCCTGTCTCAAACCTACTTAGGTCATTTGTGTACAGAAAGCTTAATTTTCCCTCCCTCTGTTCAAAACAGACACATTTGGTGACTTAGGAGCTTGTGAGTTCTGCGTCCAAGATATGTCTGTCATGAAACTTCTGTTCTGTAGAACTGGACCCAGGCCCTCATGGCAGCCCGTGCCTGGGATTCTGATGGTTTTTCCTATAATGGTCACTGCTCAGGCTACTGCAGAAGTGTCTATAAGTTTCCCCAAGTCATTCTCTACCATATACATGTCAATATCTGCATTTCTTTGCTTTAGTTTCCTTAGGATGGCCAATCATCTGGTCTGTCCACATTCCCCATGTTTAGTACTTACTTCTATCCCTAGGTATTCACACTTCAGCCTCCACACTTTTGCCAAACTCACAGAAGCAACCCTGCACTATTCTACCATCCTGTAGAATTGTGAAACTTTCTAAGGACAAATAAGGACTATTTCTAAAGCCCGGTGCATTACAATGCAAAATACTTTGTTCATATCAATTTGAATGTTGTGATTAATAAAACTCCAAATTACATGTTATATAGATATTCCTTCAAATGAGTAAAGTCAACATAATTAACTCTACCAAGTATAACTAACATGAAGTGAAAGTAAGCCAGGCAAACTTTATGAAGAGCAGATTATTTTAAATGGTAGGAAGAGTAATTACATTGTCAATGTGGCTGTGATTGTAACTAATATTTCACTTAAAAGATTCCTTTAGTTAAGGAAAGGAAAGTTATTGTGGCATGGGTATGGAATGAGAAACCGCCATGTGTACCAGTTGGAATTTAAACTTTCTGCAAGGCACTCAGATGATAATGGAGTGGAGTCTGATGAAGTTTCTCCTGGCTTTCCTGGAAGAAAGGAAAAGGGGAGGATCTAAGAATGGTGAACACAGGACGTCAGCTCATCCGGCAGCTGAGAGTGCCCAGTTTTGTTTCTTTTTTCTGACTCTGAAGTTTGCAAACCAGTGAAGCCAGCCACAGATCTTTTCAATGAATACAACCATTATTTGGGAGAAAGAAAACAAGCCTCAGGGGAAATGCTTTTACTCAACACATTAACACATTTTCCTTGACAAGTGAGAATGTTTGAATCCTATTTTAATGTTTACTTATGAATTTGCTAGTTAAATGGCCACTTTAACAGTCTGTCTGGTCTAAGAGGGCATTCACAATCCCCCTACACTATTGCTCTCCCAATGAGAAATCAGACGGGATTCCATCTAGAGTCTTCAGAATTAGAGCAAGAAATGACATATTTTCTATTGTGTTTATTATGTATAAAATATTGGAAAATAAATTTTATAGTGTTCCATATGGCTTTTAATGAAAGTCAAGAGGGTCACAAAATATATTAATTTTCCAGACTTCATTTAAAAGCTCTTCATTTTTAGCTTAAATGATTTTTATGTTTTCAAATATGTTATTGTTTAGTTTTATTTCTCTTCATCTCTTTTGGGGTTTTTTGGGGGGGATGATTCAGTTTGTTGGAAGTCTTTGCTTATTTGTTTAGATATGTTCTTGTTGTGTAGCCCAGGCTGGACTCAAACTTGCAGTCCTTCTGCTGTCCTGCCTCTGAGTTCTGGGACTCAGGCCTAGATTAGATTGCTTATAAACACACCTTAAATATCTATAACTAATGAAATTTCATATGAGCTCACACGTCACATCCACCACATATGCTAACTGTACAACACAAGGCAACTGAAGATGACCCAACTGAGCCACCGTCTTCTTGACTGAAAAGCAGAAACAAAAACGGAATCAATTCACAGGATTTGTGAAGTATAAAGGAGATGCTAGGTTCTTCACATAATCTAAGTACATACTGTAATTCTTCATGTGCTGGATTTTTACTGACAGGGAAGAACATTAAAATTCTTTAATATAAATTAAAGACATAGTAATATTTTAAAAAATTTTAAAGATCTCTCAAAGTACATTTAAGTATTTTTCTTCTTAATTATCTTGACAAAAATATGGGTATTACCTTTTATGCAACATCTGGAAACAACAGGTTCCGAAAGCAACAAGTATCAGTAAAAGTAGTGGAATCGTTGGTATAATAACATAAATTAGATTGGGAATTATACCTACAAAAACAAAACAGTTTTAGTGTTCAATGATAGATCAGAAGAAACCCAAATGCAAAGTTATGAACAAATTTCCCTAAAGATTAAGGTAAAGTAAAATTGTTACCAAAATGTAAACTCCAAGCACAAGACTTATAAAAAAAATAAAGATACTTTGACAAAATTATGAACAAAACTGTAATTCCCTGGTTGACATGCTCAATTGAATATGCATGCTTTTAAATTTCTACTACATTTCCATTTCAGACATAGGTTAATTTTCGTATCATGTTAATAATCTTAGCTGTCTCATTTTATCAATTCTTCTGCATCATTGGAGAAGTTAAGACTTTATATTAAGGAATAGTAATTACTATAATCATTGTTGACTTAGTAGTTAATCATCATAGCCAATAAGCTCGATGTCAGGAGAAAATGTAAGTATCTGGCATTAAATGACAATAAGCACATACTAGGTGGTGACGATGTAGTCACAACCCAGAGACACAAGACTCTGGAGGCAATGACATAATTTAATAAAAGTCTGAAAATAGGTCATCTTTTAGCCCTTCTCTTTCACTCTCCATGATGGCATATATTTTTAGTAGATTCCAAAGAAAATCACCAACACTCAAGACCTACACAACATGAAATGACTTTACTAGGCGCATTTCAATATTATAAGAGGAAACATATCTGTAGTTTAATCATTTCCTGATAGATTTATTTCTCACAGATCACTCTCTTGACTTCTTTACTTCATGTCTTGATGTGTGTGTGTGTGTGTGTGTGTGTGTGTGTGTGTGTGTGTGTCCCACATGGTTGTTACAGGGGGCTAAAAATGGAGACAATAGTGACTGTGGAGTATTTGGCCTTTCTTCTCAGCCTCTATCTATGAGTTATTGATTTTAAAATACTTGGGTCTTTGGGCCAATATTAACAAAAGAAATAGGATAAATGTTTCTTTACATTTGTATTATGTCATGTCACAAAAAATGTCTGCTGGCTTTGGAATAATGCTCTCATACACTGTAAACATTTTTTTAACTTATATTGGTTTATTATTATATTATTACATTATTTAATGAATAGTCAGACAGAAAAACCAGACCAGGAGAATTCTGATAAGAGGAAGGCAGAGAGTCAGATCACCAGCCAGACACAGAGGAAGCAAGATGGGAATGCCTAACTGAGAAAAGGTACCAAGCAATGTGACTAAACATAGATAAGAATTATGGGTGAATAAGAGTTGTAAGAGTTAGTTAGTAACAAGCCTGAGCAATAGGCCAAACAGTTCATAATTAATATGAGTCTCTGTGTGTTTATTTGGGACTGAATGGCTGCGGGACTGGGTGGGACAGAAACATCCAACTACAGCTGGTTAATAAGGGACTTACACTGGGGATTGCATTTTTTCACTCTGTCTTCTGGGTGACAGCGAGATAGAAAGGCCATTGTGTGTACCCCTTTCCAACATGCTATACAGTGATGTCACAGTGGTAGAATGTAATTGATCAGATAGAGATATTTTTACCAGGGAAGACTATATAAACTACAATGAGGCTTATTTTATACCTCATCTCTCCTGCCAGAACAAGCCCTAAACATTCAACGGCAAACTGGTATTAAACATGCCACTGTATGTGATAACTACTACATTTTATTGGGAAATGCTTTGTAGATACAGGTGTTAATGTTGATCACTTTGTTTCATACTAGATACTTGCATCTGAAGTGGAATTTTTTTTAAAAAAATATATTATTGTATCCAAAACACATCATTGCATAATTATTTCTAATGTAGGTCAAAAGTAAATGTCTTTGGGCCCGTAATTAATGCACCGCATCCTTGAACCACAAGAAAGGCTTCCCTGGGATCAAGATGAAGCCCTCCTTCTCAGTTATTTGCTGAGGGATACAAATACACGGAAGGGACTCACCTGCTTCCGTAACAACCACATTCTCATGCGTGTCTCCAGGTTGGTTTGTAAGAAATGGCTTTTCAACAGGGTCTGTTGGCTGAATCTCTGTAAATAATGAGCATAGGGATAACAAATAATAATTAAGCAAGGAAAATGCAAACATCAACAAAAATAAAATTCTTTCATTAAACGGCAAAAAAGGTTGCTTTAATTTCTGAATAATTTGCAGTCAAATATATATTCTGAATTTAAATGCACATAAAATTAACTAAAATAGCCAATATTTCATAATCTCTGAATAAAAGAACCAATTTGATAAATTCTTTCTATAATCCCAAACTTCATTTAGCAACCAAAAGAGGTAGAGGCAGCCTGCTCCAATCAGTAATGACAAAGAGGCCCAAAGTTACAGGGGTAAACAATCATTTGTGAACTTCAAATGTAACACATATGATACAATTGAAAAGAAAACAAAGGTAAATCTTCCGTGTAATTGCCTTTCCTGTGCAATAATAATTAGCAGATAGTTCCGTAGTTGCATGTGGTACTGCTGATTCAAGCAACAGCCATCTGAAAAACCATGTCTGTGCTACCCAAATAATGACATTCCGAAATGTGAATTCCAGTAGGGCCTGTTCCTTTTAAGAACAGTAAGTACAGATTTACAGCTCGTTTCTTTTCTAGCTTTATGGGATTAGATCTTTGAATATCCAAATGCATGAGAAATGCTTGAGTTCTTACCATAGTCTGGTACTACCATATTTTATACTTTACCCCCAAGAACCCAATTCTTACTGTAACAGTTTAGTCAAAAGTAAATTGTATTGGTGAAGACAAAAACAAAACCTAGCTAGGCATGAATATATTACACTCCTGCCAGCTACCCCACCCACCAACCGCCCAGCTGAAGACTGGCGTGAAGCACGTTTGGTTGATAAGCAAGCCTACTGTGGCTCTGAAGTCTCCTTCTGCTTGCACCTAACTACAAGGCCTCCTTCCCACACCCCCAAATCCAAACCAAGGATAACTCTTGTACCACACATCCATTTGAACTTCCTGCCTAACACAGGTTAGGCTACATGGTGTGGCACGCACAACCCTCCGACCTGTAAACCTCACATCTGGAAGGTGATAAGAGCAAGGGATCTCCTTTATCTCTCCTGAGCTAAAGTGGTCCTCCCTCCTCTGAGGTACATACTATAACTCCACTAATACTCCTGAAGTAAGTGGAATTGAAGGAGATTTTTCTTCAGATTCCTGCCACGCTATCCATGATGTGTACAACTCTAAATGGAGTTCTCCTTGGGGAACTGGAGAATGAAGGTTATCTTTCTCCAGGATCCCCATCATGGTTTCTGGGACAGTTTCTTCCTTGATGCCGTTGTTTGGGGGTTGGAGAAACTGCAGTTTCTCTCTGTAAGTCTACAGCATCCTTTTATTTATGGCGAGTCTAGGGGTTCACAGTGTTCTGAAGCTGTCCTGGGCTACATTTTGAGTTACAAGTTAGACTGGGTCATAAAGTAAAATACTGCCTCAAGAGCAGACAACAATAACAAACCCAACTGTAAATGTTTTGGTGTTAAAAAATTAGACTCATTACTCTTGTCATTTTGTGTACGAAAAAGTTACATTGAGCATTTTCTGTAGTCACCTCATCAGATCTAAAAGACAAATTTAACACTTAGAAATACTGCTATAGAATGTGTATCAGTGGACCAAAAGAATGTGTGTGTGTGTGTGTGTGTGTGTGTGTGTGTGTGTGTGTGTGTGTGTGTTTCACTAGAGAAAAGGGAAAACATAAAATTGAATTATCCCATTTCTGAAAAAACAGGGCAACTTTGTAACATTTTCATCACTGTTGGCCATTCTATTCAATAATATATGGGAGTAGAAATATAAAAATAAATAATACACTTCAAACTTATCATGAGTATAATACATAAATACATTCATACATATCACATAGCCACGTTCCTTCCTTTAACCCTCTTATTAATAAATGTCAAATGTTGCATCAAATTTAAAATATCACAGAATCTTAACTACATTTCTCTAAGACACGACTGGAAAGAATAGAAATGAATAATAGACTTCAGCTCTGCAAAGAGGTCCAGGGGTGTAATGACAGATTTAGCAGCCAAGGGCAAAGAATAAACTCACCAGGGATATAAAAAAAAAAGTTGGCTAATATACTAAAGAGCAGGATAAACATAAAAGAAGGGGAAGTCTAATCCAATAATCCCTTGTGCTTCATGGCTTTATGAGAAAAGGAATTGTGTAATTTCCAAAGAATAATGAGAACATGGGTACTTGGATATAATTGCCTTCTATGGGTACATATTATGAGGTCATGTTGACAGTCCTTCAGAAAAGTTAAAATGACCCTTTCCAACATTGTGGAGAAAAATAGAAAAATAAATATATCAAGGTTTACATATCTAACTTGAGTGTCTAAGATGATCAAATATATAAGTTTACACGTCTCTGATTAGTCCTTCTTGTAGTTTAAATACCAATTCAATTGAAGTGTTTCATTAAAGTAACTCAATTTCACTACATTCAGTGGGAAGCCACTCTCATGGGACTTAGATCAAGGTAATTTTCCCAGTGTCTGTGTATAACAAATAACTGAACGAATGTTTCTAAAGAAAAATAAAAAAAATGTCATTTTTCAAAAGATACAAATCAGAAGAATGCATAATGTGACCTTACTCTTTTTTAACTATTGAGAAAGGATTTAAGTTCAGGTGAAGGACTACATGGAGAGCACTATGCTATAACACGGTGAAATAATATGCCTGAAGAAAGCTGATTGTTCCCCTAAACTCAGCAGGATGAACCAAGGGACTAATGCTCACAAGTGTGCAAGTCTATAGGCCCTTTGGTAGCTGATACCTATTTTCTACACAGTCTCTTAAGCATTTAAGATCTTTTCACATAGACATTTGTCATTTATAAAGTATGATTACAACAGCAGAGTACAGTTCTTGTATAAATTATTATTTTCTCTTGGAAATGCCTCTCCCAGCAAATGTTTCCACCCATTCCCTCTTACCCAACACACTGGCAGGTTTGTTCTCCTATAAACAATATGCTTCAGTACATTAACAGGGAAAGCTGTTAGGTGATGCCTCATCCACAGGAATAATAGAGAAAGGCTAGAAACCTTAAAGATGAGGCCTGATATAAACAAACAGGCACAAAATCTACTATAGCTACAGATGTTTCTTACCAGGTTCATACTTGCAGATGTAATTGTGCTTCATGTTACACCTATCATCATTCCACTGGTAAAGGTAGGGACCTCCTAGGCCGGGATTGGCAGTTGGTTGATGGTACATGACAACACACTTTTCACTTCCACAAGAAGGTTCATCAGTGTACCAGTTTCTACAAATAAACAAGCAAAGGGACACTTAGCAACATGTGGTCTGAGCACTTCTAGGTATCAGGGCTTTTCTTTTGTCCTGATTCCTCCAGGACAACAATAAACACTTCCGGATCCAGTCATAGCTTACCTGAACTGGGAGCTGCTTCCATCAGACCACTGGTAAAGATCTGGGCAGGCGCCAGATGTTTGGCCATCTCCACTTCTCAAAAGTCCAATCCAGAAGTCTCCATCTGAAATCCCTGTTCCAGGTTTTGTCAGGTTCTGCAACATGCTCTCTATTAACTTCTGTTCAGCTTCATTCTCAAGACTGAGGAGGACACCTCCTTCAGTCTCACAAGCCAGCCGTGCTTCCTGGAAGCTCACTCGGCTAGACAGTTCATGGAAGTAGGCCATTTTGTAGCAGGGATGTTTCACATCAGCAAAGCACACCTTTTGACCTAAAACAAACAAAAATAAAACTGATTGTGAGGTCTTTTCTTCATAAGTTTGATATTAATCACAATAAAAACAATTCAAAATAGGAAACACTATTAAGAACTCTTTTCTCCAAGATATGTTCATGGGTGTAATAGTGGCATGGTATTTATGGGAGTAAACAACTACCCTCTGATTATACTTAAGTCATGCCTCTCCAGGAGGAAACCCATGCCTACTATGACAAACCTGGTCAATAACTAATGATTGTGGAGCTCACAAGCCACAAGGGTGAACATATTAGTGTTATTTCGGTGAATGGACATATTACCAAGGTTTCCCTCTTACATTCATATCTCTCTAGCCATAGATTAGAGCACTTCTCAAACTTCATCAGGAAGTTTCTCTGTGCTGTGGAAGGTGGTTAGCACAGAAACTCACAACTAATCCAAATGTAAAGAGTAAGTGACTTTAGAGTGCTCAGCCAGAAATAGGACATCTATATCAGACCCTCCTACCCAAAGCGTAGGTACCACCATGGAAAGGGTGTAGAAAAAAATGTAAGAGCCAAATGTTGGGGAGGACCAGAGCAAAGGAGTGTCTTATAGACATGGCAGGACCACAGTCAGTCTATAAGAAACTTCATTAATTGTAGAAAGGGTAATCATGTTTGAGTACTGTGGTAAGTAAAGAATTTATACTTTATACTCTTAACTACAGTTCATCATGCTGAACAACTATATTACATCAACATTACAACATCCCACTAGTGCTGGAAACTCAATCTGTGATCAGGAATGACACTCAAGGCAAGAGCAAGCAGAAATAAATATAATAAATGCAACAGTATTTTAGTGATACTCATTCAAGATCTTGACAAAAACTGCAAATATAAAATAGTTATTCCAGCGATGAAAACAAGCCAGCTAACTGGGATCTGAACTTAGGAGCTTCAAACTGAAAGGTACAAACAAATTAATACATAGACTAACCTGAAATTAACAAAAAATAATGTATCAGTAGAAAAGGTCATGGGAAATGAGCTAGAAGCATCAGTAGGGAAAATCATCTGAAATAATCATTGACAGGAAGCAATGGAAATCCCAATGCTAAGTTCTAATAGAAATCACACATAAATTTGAAATTTTACCCTTGCTTGTTATTAGGTTTTATGACGATTTCATTTTTAAAATAGTTGTTCCTGGTAAGATTTCAATTATTCTTACACGTGTATATTTTTATTATTGCATTTAAGAAGCAAGCTCACATCCTATTTTCATCTAGTACATCCTTTACATATTTCTAAGTTTCTGAATATATCTTAGCTACATTCCCCTGAGTTTCCAAGTTCCAAATTTTCACTCCCTCAAGCATTTTCATTAGATACTGCTTTTATTTTTTAAGATTTTTTATAAGATCTCAATGGAAGTAAAAAAAGTATAGTGGGATGTTTATGCTGAGTAACATGAATTTATATGTAATAAAACCAGGTCACTTAAAGGGCTTCCTGGATATGATTTAAGTGTTAAAATTCATTACTCATTATATTTGATATATTAAAAGGTAAGTTCATCTCTAGTCTATACATGGTGAAGGGATATAATGTGATTGAAATTCACTCATGTATAAAATTAAGATACTACTTACAATAAAAATGCATAGAGATCTCTGAGTATAATGTAGAAATTCCTAATACTCTTTATTATGTTACATTGTAAAAGGTAGTGATTCCTAGAGAAAGGATTGCATTTTAAATAATTCACAACTAATGCTCCATGGGTCCTGGAGAAACTGCCACCTTGGCACTCTGTACTAGGCAGTCTTTCCCTATAGATGGAGTGAGTCTGTGATCGCAACAAATGAACAGAGATGATGATGCCTGCATCATCAAGACAGAAGCATTTTATCTGCTGGAACAGATATGTTAACCCCAAAGGACATTTGGTGAGTGCCAGCTGAGTCTTCATGTTTGAACTAAAAAGCTACTACCAGGTCAGGGAGAGCAAGACTGTTTCCAAGAAATTTTAGACACACTGCACAATTATTATGGCTCACATAGAGTCAGTTAATGCTGACTGGATGAGTACCTTTACACATAATTCTACTTTACTACTCGTGTCTGCCTTATTGTGCACATTTGGCCCTAGCTGTGGCAAAATGAGCAGGAGCTGGAGCTATGGAGCTTGCTGCTGCACTTGGGCTGATCCCATTTGGCTGCAATCACAGTGGAACTCGAACAGCTGGGAAACAAATGTTGCCCTAATTCCCAGACAAGTTCTGCTAATGCACATCTTATGTGACTTTCCCGATTCACAGAAAATCCAGCCTTCTTAGAGAACAATTATGATGACTTGCCTCATTGCCCTGGTTGATCACATGAAAACTTTCCCTGAACTTTTGTAAACATCATATTCAAATAAAATCTTTCAGAAATGTTTTATGGAAGGATAATTTTTCTGTAAGTCACAAAGTTAATGCTTAGGGCACATGCATACTGGCTAACTACAAAGAAGTCTCAATTCAGAATCTCTAGTTAGAAATTACTTGGTTTTAGCTACTCTACAAAGGCCTTCCTCTTCAGATTCTAGAAACACTGATAAAAGGAGAAGTCTGAGATAGCCTCATGTACTTACTTTTACAAAATATTCTGGATGTGCACCTGGACCTAAATAATCTTCAAGTCTAATAACTAAATATTTAAATTTTCTCAAATAAATTTGCATAGAATTATAGAAGCAAATATTCACCCCTATCAGATTTGTAAATACATGGGCCCACACTGAACCACAAACCTAGATAAGTACTTTTCTTTACAAAAGGCTTGAAACTAGTTTTGGCGAGTACCAAGAGTAAAACACATGAAGTTATGACAATTTGTTTCTTCTTCTTGAGTAGAAACAATAATTTGGTTTTACTCTCCTCAAGTAATTTTTTGTAGCATGGTCTGCAGTTGTGAGGTTGTCAAACATTTCTTTTTCTTTCTTATCAACATTAGATAATAATTCATGTAGATCATGTTGTTCCATAAAAACAGAGAAGAAAGTATAAATTTCTTTACTTCAGTTATGCTGCACACTTAATTGAAAAGAAAATGAACATATAAAAGGGACAATGTGATAACTCTCACCTAAACCAGATTGGATAAACTTAAGATTAATTACTAGAATCCAAAAACAAAACAAAACAAAAAACCCTTTACCTAATTCTTTCCTATCCCCCTCAAAACACACTAAAACACATGTGGTATTGAAATATATGAATTGCATGATCTCTAAGAATAAATCAATTGTCTGGAACTAAGTGAAAGAAGGTGTCATTTATTCTAAGTGTTCTATTTGCAATTCTCAAGAACATACCAATTTCTAGAGAATTATTATTTGAAGTTGAGACAGATTTATTAAGGTTAACTTATATATGCAAGATGGGTTTTATGATTCACTTAACTGCAGAGTGCACGATAGCTGGCGTCTATCCTCTTATACTAAGAAAATCACATTTTCCATCTTGGGTCACTTCAGGGATGGTGGCAAGCAACAGTCTTTCTGATCTATCCCTCCAAGAAACACTACAGGCTTTCTGAGGTATACTGATATCTGAAATAAATATAAAGATTATGAATGGAAAGCCATTCATAATAATTCATAATATTATACTTGAGAGTTTAAACATCCAATCAAAGAGAAGTTCCTTAGGTCCCACAGAACTGAAAGTAATTGGAATGAATGAAACTTTCATGATCACATTTGTTTCCTAAAAACTTGTTTCACAGAACTAATCCTCATAATTGTCTGAAGTTGACCAATAATTTGAAATAGGAGATCTCACTGCCAGTACAATCCACACCTTTGGAGGAAGTGGGAAAAACTGAATCTGTTGACAGGTAACTAAGAGGTTCTTTTTAAAAAGCTATTCAACTGGAACAGTTGCTTTTGCCCCTAGAAAACTCAACTCTAGACACAGGGCTTCTCACCCTTCCCACCCTTCCCACATGCACAAGGCATTAATGTATCAAAACCATTCAATCCTCCAGGCCACTGTATGAGGCTGATTTTTCTCATCCCATCTGTAAAATAAAAAGGGCTCACAAAGACAGAGTTTAAAAGTTTGTCCATGTTCACACAGATCATAACTGCAAACAGGGTTGGAAACAGACTCAGTGGTTCTGCTGCCCACTTTCCATGGTGTCTATACTTTCCCACAAGCAATAGACATTAAAAGACTTAATGAATAATAATGAATAAATAATGAATAAATGGACATGCATGAATCTATACTGTGTTAGAGATATTGATTGAATATAGCTATTGGTTGGTTATTAATAGCTGGTATAAGCACAAGAATGTGTACTGGAAAAGTGGTTTTTGAGTATGTATTTTTTTATGTTGAATAATTAGATCAGAGTTAATTTGAGGGCACTTCTATCTCCAAACGTGTGTGTGTGTGTGTGTGTGTGTGTGTGTGTGTGTGTGATATCTCATTTGTTCTTTTATTTTCTCAATAAAACAATTAAAACCTAAATTGGGCATCATCTCAAATACTATCAGTACAGACATAATACAGCACCTAGTTGTCTGTATGGATGCATCTGTATATTAAGATCTGGTATAGAAGGGAGATGTAAGTGGTAAAAATTACTAATGAAGCATCAGCTGCATTTCCCCTTTCCAGAGCCCTTTTAAAAATACAGATTTTTTTTTTTTAGCATTAATGTACGGATAGTGCCACCATATGATAATGATGAACAGTCACTAAGGAATAATGCCTGTGATAAATGAGTAGTTTATTAAATGCCTAGTAATAAGATTAATTTGCTCCCTTTTTGCCCAAGAGATACTTAAAGTAATTGCATCTTTGCAACCTGCACTGTCATCATGTCTGCTTTGATGATGTCATGGGATTTTTCTGTAAGCCAGAATATGCAATACAGTTCCACTTGCATCTTCCTCGCTGTTAAATTACCTTTTAGAAACCAGTCGCTGGTCATCACACATGTGACATTCTATGTTCTCTAGATGATAAAGAGAAATCTACATATAACTGGCTCCACTAGCTAACTCTCCAAAGTGGCCTTTTCACTCTCTGCTAAATTATGGAGGGAAGGGACTTAAAGTCAGAGACTCCAAACAACCTGGTAAAAATAGAGAGTAATTGTTTAGTTGCGCATTTAAAAATCATGTGTGACTCCACAAAGCACATGGATTGCTATAGGGAAGTCAGTAGCAGGCCCAATAACCTTGTTTCTAAAGGGCTGTTTTCCCGTAGTCTCGAAGATAAAGTTTATCTCTGCTGTAGTAGCGTTAAGACTTTGCATGTAAAAGAGTTCTAGAGAAATTTGAGGGGTTCCTTGAATATGATTAATGCCACATTGAAGCATGAGATGTTTGGGACTAGTTCTCCGAACTCTAGAAAGAATAAAAGAAAGAAAGGAAGAAAGAGAGAAAGGTTTCATTAAAATATTTCAAATGTCTTAAAATAAAATGTTACTTGCTTCTCCCAAGCTAAAGACCTCAGTTTCAATCCCCCATTTTCATATTATACCTTAAGGAAAAATCTCAAACTTTGTCTGAAGACAAATGCTATTACCAGCTAGTGACTTTCTGAACAGAATGATTAAAGAGATGCAACAGATGCTCTCTACCCATCTGTGCGGAGTAAGAAATCATCATACAATTCAGATCCTCAACTGAGTTTCCCAGTGTGCATCACAAACTCAGTAAACTCACTGATTATTATCATCAGACTTCTCTGTGTGCACTGTGCACTGCATTAGTGCACTGGACACTATTAAATCTTCTGTAGATCAGCTGATGAAGTTGATGGAAATGTATTTATCCTTAAACTATTTTCCCTTTTAAATGATGTGTTTAAAAGTACTGGAATGTATCTTGTTGAATGTTGTGAAACGTGAGAAACATATCTGGAGATTTAGTTTGTCAATGTCTGTCTTTTGAGGATATGGCATATAAGTGATTATTAATATTACAAAGGAATTATAAGTTGTCTTCCTGAAATTTAGTAAGTATGTTCGGAATAGTGGACAGCAAAGCTGTCTCAGTTTTCTCCGGACACGAGAAGGGACTGGGTAACTGGCCCTAGTGGCATAAAATGGTTGCTGCACAATTCAGAAGAAATATCAACAGGCTGACAGTGGACATGTTAGGAAATATTGTTTGAAAAATAACAGATTTTAGGCTGCTCTCTACTCAGCCCATCACAGCTAGAATTATTCAAAGCCTATAATTCCTAAATCAGTTTACAGATAAATTTCAATGTGAAGACAATCAAATTATTCATAAGGAAAACATAACTAATTGTTCTAATCTCAAGTCAACATCATAATTTATACTAAATCAAATAAATCATGATCAGTTACTCAGAAATTTTCCAGATGTCATCCTCAAGATGCCCATGAATTGTTAAAGAAAAGCAATAGCCAAAGTTTTGGAATAAGTTATATAGAAGTACAATGAAATTTAAACTTTTCATCAACAAGGAATTTGAGTTCAGTTTTCCACCCTGAATATCTCCCTCTTCCTTTGGAACTTTAAGGCATATACATAATATGAGAACAAAGAAACATTATTAAGTTAGTGGAATGCTTCTGTTTGTTTAAAAATGCCATATGTTCAAAGCAGAATCTCTTGCTGTTCATTTATTTGCATGAAAATTTCTCGAAGACAAAGGGAGTGAAATATGCAGTTGGTTCCTCCAGACAGAACTCCATGGAGTCCTTTATTTCCTGCTAAATTAGGGAGGGAAAGGATGTAAACTCATAGGCTCTGAAAGTCCTGTGAAAAGCTACTTGAGGCAGACTGCTTACCTATACTTTCTTGAATTGTATCTGACTGAGTGACATACAGGGATTGCGGAGGGGCTTAAATATGCTAGATCCTAAAGATCTGATTTCTGAACTCTTTTAGTTGCTGTCATCTTGCATCTATCAGTGACGCCCATTGGGCAGATGGACAAGCTTTCAGTGGACCACATCTGCTGTGTACTGCTCTTCTGAATTCACCAAACTCATTGCAAGTGTTTGATGAGCATAGCATGAGCTTTCTGCGTGGGGATCCGTAAGTATTAATGGGGAGTGGGTATGATGTGAATTCCTCAATGATTAGACAATGAACTCTGGGGAAACAAATAAATAAATAAAACAGAGACAAAGCTAGGAAACTTGGTAATTTTGACCTCTTTCCCTTTTACTGGTTTGAGAGAATTGACTGCACTTGTGGGATGCACGGACCCAAATTCCTTACCAAGAATACCTCAAACCAAACCTCCACCCAATTCCACTTGGATGTTTCCTGAGTTGTCTAACTAGGAATGAAGTGTGCAAAAAAAGAACGGCGCCAGTGCAATGCCTCTCCCTGTTTTTTGCCAGTCCTCCTGAGAACAAAGGCTGCAAACTGGGACATGGGAACTAGGCTGGTCTCAGAAACCATCCTTGAGAGCACCCTGGCTGGATTGAAGCCAGACCAACAGGAGGTGGCATTCATGCTGCTCTCTTTTGCGTCCACACTCTGCCTGCCTAGCTCTACCACACCCCTTTCGCAGGTGCCCAACCCTGCCTGCCTGTGATCCGCGCTCTCTATCTTCCAAAGAAAAGTGGAAAATCATTGCTAGAAGAGATTGCGCTGCTCCGGGTTTAGCTAGAGCTTCTTCCACAGCTATAAAGACGTTTCAAAAAGAACTAAAACTTTCTGTTTTGCGGACAGAGGGTGAAAGAAAAGGAGAGCATGTTTTTTCACCGTCTCTCTGGTTGCCCAACTCAGTACAATTTTCCAACTCTTGAAGGAGTCCCCACCCTAATGTAGACTGCCTCTTACCGCCCTGGAGTCCCAAGTCTCTGCTCAGACTTACCGCTGACCACCCGTCGGGCAAAGGCTGAGTGGCTGCAGAGCAGCGCAGCTCCCAGCAGCAGGGAGACCATGCGGATCATGGTGGCCAGGCTTCTGCAGCAGGTGTCCAGTGAAGCAAAGGCGGTGTCCTCCCGCAGCACAGCCCCCGGCCGCTCTAACCAGCAGCCTCCTCGCTTTCCTGCTGGGTACTACTCCCTCCTTCCCAGCACAGGAGCTAGGATCCCTGTAAGCATCGCCTTCAGCGGGAACCCGCTGCCAGGCTGCCCGGTGCGGCACTGGGCTGGAGCGCAAGAGACTGTGGGCGTGTGTCTTTCTGGAGGCAGGGAACAGGGTTAGGGATTCCTGTGTCTGTATCAATTGCAAAGGTGAACTAAGATCCCTAGCGCAGACCTAAGCAGCCTTCTTCGCGTTCCTCTCAGGTTTCTGTGTCCTAAGGGGTTGAGCTGGTGTACCCTAGTCCTGGTTCCTGCCGCAGCAGCAGCGGTGGCAGCAATAGAAACTCTGCTCTGGCTGCACCGTCTTATATACACCCAGAGCCTGGGGTTCCAACCCCTAGCTAGTAATCATTTTAACTACTTCGCCTCTCCTGCCAAGCAAAGCATCTGGCCCCGCCCCTAAAGCCTGGAGCCACTTTGAAAACAGTATAGTCAGCAGTCCCTCCCCCTCCACTCCCCTGGTCCCCACCCCCTTCCCATTTGCCAACAGACTTCAATACTCATTTGTGTAAAAATGTGACAGCTTTGCTATTAAACTCGGGCAAAAGTTGGCTCCATTTTGGTTTTCTCAAAGATAAATGTCCACGGGGATGCCAAGTCGCAGGGCCTTTCTCTTTTTCTGCTAAATTGCTTGATCATATGTATGGCGAGATGCAGGGCACTAGCCACTGTTTAAGATGGATTGGCAGAGTGGGAGCCAAAACCTGCTCAGTGAATTATATAACGTGGCAGCTTTTTTTTTCCCACCTAGCTTCTGCAAATAGATTACTTCTTCCCAACAGGTTGCTTGACTAAATTGCCACAGAAGCAAATTGAAAAGTATCTTGGCAACGAGTTTTCCCTCTACTGATTTCAATCTCAGTATTCGAAACTCCGGGGGGGGGGGGGAATCAAGACAAAATAAAAATTCTAGATTGTTGGGAACTTCATGGATGTAAAATGAGTGAATTTCTTTGAAACCATCCTTCAGTGCTACACGGTGTCCACTGGATGTTAAGTCTCACTTTAAGGAGACTTAAACCCAACCCTGACCCACTCTAACAGGCCAATGACTGCTGGTTTTCCACCTTCAAAGATTACAGGAGAGACAGAACATCCACCTGATGCTCATGTAGGTTTGGGGGAATCTTAGCCCTTGTCTTCTTGCTTACATGGCAAATGTTTTAACTGTTGAGCCATTTCCTCAGCAGCCATTCTATCACTTTGTTGTTCTGTTTATTGACGTGAATATACTATCTGCTGGTAGAGCAATGGACAACTGATAAATGTTAATTTGATAGAGGGCCTATCATTTTTATGACCAGTTCATATCCTCAAGGAGGAGATGCTATTGGGTTTTTGAACAGATGATGGTAAATGCAAAATAATAATAATAATAATCGCTTGAACACAGGACCAACAGGTGGCTGAATTCCCCCTCAAGATGCACTTGTTTATTTCAAAGGGTCTCTAAGCCTCATTCAGGAACTAGTGACACTCTTGAAGGTGCAGAAGTATTTGTTGTTATAGGGAAACCTAGCAGAGTTCCAGTGATCATAGTGATGATAGAAACGTAATTAAGAATTACACAAGCAGGAAGATGCCTTTCTATCACTTTAAGTTTTGTAATCATTGAATATGTTCTAAATTACAACCGTTCAGGTAGTACGTTGCTTTTAAGTATGGATCTCTACTAATGGAACATTTTGCATTAAATCTGAAGAATTGGTCAATTTTAATTAAAGTCAACTTTAATTAAATTTTCTCTTAGTAGCTCCTGGTAGGTCATCCCTGCTCCAATGGCATATATAGACACAATGGTTTATTAAAATAAACGGAGGTTTATTAGAAGCAATGGTTTATTAAAATAAACGGAGGACACAAGTTGTGTGTGGTAGGAAGGTGGGAGTGGATTTGGGAGGAATTAGCAGGAGGGATTTCATGAATATGATCAAAATACATGCATGAAGTTCTCAAGATTTAATAAAGCTACAAAAATAATATACATACAATTTAACAATGCTATTGTTATGCATCCATAATGAGTCAATGTTTTTACTCTAAATTTCTTAGCAAACCTAATTTCAATATATACTAATACAATCAAAATGAAACATCAAAACAAGGAGGTAAAAGTTACCTCTGCTTAAGATGTCTGGTTCTATTAGGTACATAATGGACAAGTTCCTTCATTTGATCATATCCATTCACATCTTCTTCCCTCCAATTCTGTGTATTGCCTTTACCCCATCACACACTCCCCCAGCTTTATTTCCTCATTTTAATGTATTATTTTGTTATTATAATGCTCCAAATCCAACCATTTCTTCCCATATATGGGTGTGAAGCCATCCACCAGCATGTGGGCAAACTACCAGTTGCCACATTTCCAAAGGAAAGAGACTTCCTTCTTTCAGTAGCTATTGACCATCAATACCTCCTTCCATAGAATGGGACATCCGTGTCATTCCTTATCCATGCTGGAATTTTGACTGGCTTTGAGATGGACAAGAAGCCACACCTGCTATGTGTTTATGCATGCATGGAACTTTCAAGAAACAGAAAGTATAGAGTTGTATGTAAAATATACAACAATCTAGTGTAAAGATACAAGTAAATGAATAACTTTTATGTTATTGTTTAAATGCTGTAAATAAACAGGAAACCCATAGAGACAGTTATATTTGAGTTATTCTAAGGGTGAATGGTGTAGTGTTAGAAAGTTCTTATAAAAATGTAGTAATACTTTCTTCAGTTCTGTACCCCATTTTTAATAGGGTTACTTGGTGTTTTGTTGACTAGTTTCTTGAGTTCTTTGTATATTTTGGAGATCAGCCTTTTGTCAGATGTAGTATCGGTGAAAATCTTTTCCCAGTCTGTGGACTGCCATTTGATCTTGTCCACTGTGTCATTTGCCTTACAGAAGCTTCTAAATTTGAGGAGGTCCCATTTATTAATTGTTGATCTCAGTGTCAGTGTTCCTGGAGTTATGTTGAGGGAACATTCTCCCATACCAATTTGTTCAAGGGTACCTCCAATTTCTCTTCTAAGAGGTTCAGTGTGGCTGGATTTATGTTGAGGTCTTTGATCCATTTGGACTTGAGTTTTGTGTATGGCAACAGACATGGGTCTATCTGCAGTCTTCTACACACCATCATCCAGTTGTGCCAGCACTATTTGTTGAAGATGCTTTGCTCCCCCCCATTGTATTCTTTTAGCTGTTTTGTCAAAAATCAGGTGTTCATAGGTGTATGGGTTTATATCAGGATTTTTGATTCTATTCCATTGGTCTACCTGTCTATTTTTATGCCAATACCAGGCTGTTTTCAGAACTATAGCTCTGTAGTAGAGCTTGAAGTCAGGAATGGTGATACCTCCTAAAGTTCTTTTATTGTATAGGGTTGTTTTGGCTATCCTGGGTCTTTTGTTTTTCCATATAAAGCTCATTATTAACCTTTCAAGGTCAGTGAAAAATTGTGGTGGGATTTTAATGGGGATTGCATTGAATCTGTAGATTGCTTTTGGCAAGATTGCCATTTTTACTATATTTATCCTACCTATCCAAGAACATGGGATATCTTTCCATTTTCTGGTATCTTCTTTAATTTATTTCTTTAAAGTCACAAAGTTCTTATTATACAGGTCTTTCACTTGTTTAGTATGCGTTACCCCAAGATACTTTATGTTGTTTGTGGCTATTGTAAAGGGTGATGTTTCTCTGATTTCTTTATCAGCCTCTTTGTCGTCTGAAAAAAGTAGGGCTACTGTTTTTTTTTTTTTTTTTTTTTGAGTTTATTTTGTATCCTGCTAGTTTGCTGAAGGTGTTTATTAGCTGTAGGAGTTCCCTGGTAGAGTTTATTGGGTTGCTCATGTAAACTATCATATCATCTGCAAATAGAGGAAATCAAAAAGGCTGAAAGACACTTAGGAAAGTGCACAGCATCCTTAGCTATCAGGGAAATGCAAATCAAAACAGCTTTGAGATACCATCTTACTCCTGCAAGAATGGCTAAAATTAGAAACACCAATGACAACTTATGCTGGAGAGGATGTGGAGAAAGGGGAACACTCCTCCACTGCTGGTGGGAGTGCAAACTCATACAGCCATTTTGGAGATCAGTATGGTGGTTCCTCAGGAAAATGGGAATTACTTTACCATATGACCTGCAATCCCCCCCAAATGATCCACATCCATGCAGCAAAGACATCTGCTCAACTACGGTCATAGCAGCATTATTTGTAATAGCAAGAACCTGAAAGCAACCTAGATGCCCCTCAATTGAAGAAGGGTTAATGAAGATGTGGCACATCTACACAATGGAATACTACTCTGCAGAAAAAAATTAATGGAATCCTGAAATTCACAGGCAAGTGGATGGCACTAGAAGAAACCACCCTGAATAAGGTAACCCAGTCACAAAAAGAGGAATATAGTGTGTACTCACTCATATATGGATTTTAGACCTAGAGCAAAGGATCACCAGCCAATAATTCACACCACCAGAGGAACTAGGATACAAGGTGTATTCTAAGAGATTCTTATAAAGTCCCTCACAGAAGCGGAAAGGGAAAAGTCCCCCTGAGCACAGGGGAAGTGGGGGATAGTGTATGGAGAGAGAAGTAGGAGAAAGAGAAAGGGAGGAGATGAAAGCATGTGCGACTAGGGAGATTGAGCCAGGGTAGGAATAGAAGACGAGAGAGAGCAAGAGTGAGAGAGCAAGAGAGGGAGAGAGAGGGAGAGAGAGAGAACTTAAAAGAGGGAGCCATTATTGGTTTGAAGAGAAAACTGAACCTAAAGAAAGGTCTAGAGACCTACAAGACTGCCACCAAGTGTGGAAAGGCTACCATAAATGCCCTTCCCGGATAGTGAGATCAATAACTAACTTATCCACGGAGCCCTCATCTAGTGCCTGTTGGAAACAGGAGCCAACACCCATAACTAAACACTGAGTTGAACTAGAATCCAGATGCAGAGGGAGAGGACAAGACCAGGCTGCAGAAACACATGGAGAGAGCTGACCTGAACAAGGAGGAGCTAACGGGCTCCCAGACTGATAGCTGGGAAGCCAGCATGGGACTGACTCAGGCCCCCCTGAATATGGGTCTCAGCCAGAAGGACTGAGTAGTCTAAGGGACCTCAGACAGTGGATGTATCCCTGGTGCACAAAAGGACCTTGCGCACACATCCCCCAGGGAGGGATA